TCTTCCCTTCTTTTTTATTAATTTTTTGTTTTTATTTTGTCTGTTTCAGTTATAGAAATTTTTGTCACATACTGATGTGCAAGTATTTATAATGAAAAAGATGCCAGCATTAGTCTCAAATTAAAATTTAAGGCTAGGAATGGCATTCAGATATGTGATTTGTTCATATGGATTCAACAACCAGGTTGTAGGACAAAGTGACCTCTGAATCACACTCTTATAGCACATTTAATGTTTAGAATTTCTAACTTCATATCCCTTATTTATTTTTTCTTGACATCATGCAGGCTGTGTTTAAGAGACTTATGACAGATGTACCATTCGGTGTTCTTTTGTCTGGAGGACTGGACTCATCACTTGTTGCTGCTGTAGCTTGTCGCTATTTAGCCGAATCAGAAGCTGCATGTCAGTGGGGATCACAGTTACACACCTTTTGCATTGGCTTGGAGGTTGAAACACTTGTCTCTCTTTAGATAGCCAAACTTAGTGCTTACTGAATGTAGGGCTAATATCTTGTTTAGATAGCCAATTGTGATGCTTTGCAAGTCGTCCTCCCCCTTTCTGTTTTTCTTTAATAGTGCTTGTTTGGATGATGCTAACTACAACATGTCCTCACTTTGTGAACAAGAGATGTCTATTAACATAGTTCTTGAACCTCAGGTTGCCAATTTGTTTTCTATCGGTTTGTAAACTTGTAGACATGGATTTCCTGTTTGAACAAGTATATATTACATCTTCTAGTAAAAGAATCATACACGGGTGGGCTTCTTCTGTTGCTTATGCCAAATGACATCAAAATGTCACTGATAAAAAGTTGTACACCCTGTGTGATGAAGGCAGAGAACGTGACAAATTTAAATAAATAAATGAATGTCCTTGCTATAGATGTTCAATGACCTTTCTGATGCAAATTTTGGCACCGGACAGCTTTTGATGTGTTTTCCTGGAATCAATCTTTTACTGGATTTTATCTTTTCTGAAATTTTTTCTCTACATTCAAATGATACATTTTCAATCTTCAGAGCTCTCCAGATTTGAAAGCAGCAAGAGAAGTTGCAGATTATCTTGGGACTCGTCATCATGAGTTTCACTTTACTGTACAGGTAATTGAAGGATGCAAGAGAGGAACTTTCGTACTTAGGCTCAAGGGTATATATTAGGTTTATTTCTTACATTTAAAAATCATGTAATCTATTTAGTCTTTAATTATTAAAATTGAGGAATAGCACTGTGTTTAATTACTGTTCCAAAATTTTATTATCTTTAGGTATTTAATGATTTAGGATTGCTTGTAATAGGCTTCACACTTCTGGTATATTGATTATAAACACAATTGCATTTACCTCGTCTATCCCCTCATTCTATTTCTTCCCAAAACTCCTGTCTTTCTCTTGCTTTTCTTCTATTTTTTGATTTCAACATCAATGGGCTCGAGGAAACATTGTCCTACATTAGTAATCCCAGGACAGAAACAAAGATCTACATTCATCCCAAGAATCATACTGATAATTTGTTTCTTTTCTTTAATGTTTCAGGAAGGAATAGATGCTCTTGAGGAAGTTATTTACCATATTGAAACATATGATGTGACGACTATCAGAGCTAGTACACCCATGTTTCTTATGTCTCGGAAAATTAAATCTTTGGGAGTGAAAATGGTTCTTTCTGGGGAAGGTTCAGATGAAATTTTTGGAGGTTACTTGTATTTTCACAAGGCACCAAACAAAGAGGAATTTCACCAAGAAACATGTCAGAAGGTACCCCTCAAAACTATCTCTCCGTCCTCTCCCTCTGGCTGTTTCTTTTCTGTTTTATTTGAGGGAAATGGTAATTTACTTTCAATATTGCTGGATTTTTGTTTTACTCATTTGCAGCAATTATAACTTTTGTTTTTATTTTTATTTTTCATATTTAACTATTGTGACTACTCAACAGATTAAAGCTCTTCATCTTTATGACTGTCTGAGGGCCAACAAATCAACTTCAGCTTGGGGTGTTGAGGCTCGAGTGCCCTTTTTAGATAAAGAATTCATCAATATTGCCATGAGCATTGATCCAGAATGGAAAATGGTATAGCACTTATTAATGCTGGTGTTTCCCCCCATTCCCTAATTTTATATGTGTTAGAAGCTCATGTAATATTATATATAATTGGAGGTCTTTGGTGTACTGCTGCCCATCCATAAAATTCAGTGTCATGGCTCAAGGAAATGACCTACTACCTGGGTTTTTTTTCATAGTATTAATAGAATACACATCAATTTTCCCTACACAGTACAGGTCCTTGTTTTCCTTCTTCATATTTATTTCTTAAGCGCCATGACCTTCGCATTTGTATTATGGGTGTTCTGTCATTTATGCACCCATTTTATTTTCATTCTTAGGTGAGACAAGCATCTTGATGTTCGTTATTTGTTTCAGTGTATGTAATACAGATTTTGGATGATCTCTGGCCAGTGTTTCGGATTATAAGATCACAGAGTTACTGCTATGAAATTATTGGGATTGTGTTGATTGTTATTTTAGCTTTTGCCAATTTATCATGTCAAACTAAAAGTTCTTATTGAGTTCCTACATCTAAGCACTTGCATTTGTAACTGCAGATCAGGCCTGATCTTGGGAGAATTGAGAAGTGGGTCTTACGCAATGCATTTGATGATGTTCAGAAGCCATATTTGCCGAAGGTTTGTAACTTTCTTGCTTTAATGCCTTACATGGTTATCGTTTTGCATATTTTGTTACTTTTTTTCTTGGAAGAGTTTCAGTAAGTTGTCGTGTATTCAACTTGCATACACAATTTGGAATTGTTCCAGTGCAGATAGCGAGAGGCCTGGTGCTTGGCTATGTATTGTCAGTCGAGTGGCCTCTCACAGTCTGCAGTGTGGAGTTCCATGCCCTATTTGTGCAATATATACCTAACTTTAATTTTACCTTGTATTTTTTGGGTTATAGCACATATTGTACAGGCAGAAGGAACAGTTTAGTGATGGTGTTGGTTACAGCTGGATTGATGGCTTGAAAGATCATGCAAACAAACAAGTATGCATCACCTTAACCCAGAGTAATGATTTTGGAGGGAAATGTTCTCTTGCTAGAGTGTGGCATGTTATGTTACCATACTGTCAATTTGGACTATTGATTAGGCAGCTCCTATCTGAATGCGCGTTCCAAATTGACAGTTTGACAACATAACATGTCAAATCTGTTGCAAGAGAAAATTAATTTATTTCTGGCTTATTTCATGTTGCAATAATTCAGTTTAGAGTTCTAACTGTACTTTGTTCAACAACCCATGGCATCAAACATTAGAGATACTTTTATCTGCATATAATTAATTATCTTTGTTTGCTTGTATCTGAACAGGTAACAGATGCCATGCTGACGCATGCTAGCTTCATTTACCCTGAAAATACGCCTACCACAAAAGAAGCATACTGCTATAGGACTATATTTGAGAAGTTCTTTCCAAAGGTAAGATACAAGTTCTACAAGAAGCGAAGGAAGGGAACCTGGCTATATGAAAGAAATATATTCACTCACGTTATCATTTTAGCTTTCTTGCATTTCTTTATTTATTATGGAGTAGGCGAACGATTTCTCTACATGCTCTTTTCTAGTACTAAGAAGGCTAATAGTATCTAATGAAACCATGATGGGCATGCCACTTTCTTTGCTCTCATGTTTTATAAATCTAACTTGATTAAAATGGAACATTGTTTATTTACGTGAGTATGATCAATTTGCCATTTCTGAACAGAATGCTGCTAGATCAACAGTTCCAGGTGGCCCAAGTGTGGCATGTAGTACAGCAAAAGCTGTGGAATGGGATGCAGCATGGTCGAAAAATCTCGATCCATCTGGCCGTGCTGCACTTGGTATTCATTCAGCTGCATATGAAGAAGCAGTGGATGCAAAGAATAAAAGTTCGCTGAGTGGCTCTCCTAAAAAATTACAAGGGGTTGGAGAGAAAGCTTCTGCAGTTGTTTGAATCGAACTCTATCAAGTTTGTTACGCCGCACTTGAACACACGACCGGACTTTGTTCTAGTTAACATCTTTAGCTATAAGGCATTGTTAATTTTTACTTTTCTTGGGTGGTGTTGGTATGTAGTTCATTTCCCATCAGTGTCATTCCTGTCCTTTCTCAGGCTTCTTTTGTAGATTACAGATTAACTAGTTTACTGGTGCGGTCTCTTTTCATACATGCGGATTAGTTCAATTTTCTTGTTAAATAGTTATATCTTTTAAGTCTAATTCTATAAGATCATATATTTTGGCTTTCGTATTTCAGATGTGTATTCCAGTACTTCTGTTAGTGTTTATGTTTTTGGATCTACATCTATAGCAGGGGTTTTCGGAGGGTCCTCGTAAGTTTTGTTTTTTGACATTAAAAAAAGTTATAACTTACAAACAATTAGGGAAGTAGGAAATTAAAAAAAGGAGTAGAAAGTTCATTGAAAACTAAGAGGAAACATCCTTGAAGTAGTAGGAAATCCTTAACCAACAAAAAGTGAAACAAAAAAAAGCAATAGGGGAGAATATCCGTAGCATGAGAATCAATCCCAAGACTCTTGGCATTAGAAACACTTTCAATTTCTCAATTAAACTTTTACGTCCAAAGTCACATTGATTCTCCAGTCTAATGGCCGCTGGCATGATGGGAAAGAAGCTAATCGTCGGCAGTCTAGAATGCTAATTGGTGCGAATAATAAGCAAACATGATCCAAGAGTGCATCTTCTTGTACAGATTTATTACCAACCAGTACAGTATTTGGTATTTACAATCACTATCTAATCAAAAAGGTTGTACAATGCTTAGGTGTTGTTTATGTACATGGAGGGACCTGTCTATACAAACGTAATAGGGAAATTGGTTCACATATACAAAAGACTAGTCATCAGTTGTTAACTAGGTTGGCATCCGGCTCCAGCTACAACATTTAGCCTCAGCTAAGGTGATGATGCTAACCACCATAGTAAAATGAGGTCTAAATAAAGCATTCACCATCGGCAAATCCCAGGTGCCTCCGTACGGCTTAGAGCAAGTACTTCCTCATACTTAGTAGCATATACAAAGCCCCACAGCTGCATTGCAAAAAAATATTCATCACATTTTATCTCTTTTCATTTGGAAACAGTGAGAAGTCCTTGTGAAAATCGTGTACCCGAGGGACCATGTGCATGGGCATATATGTGTGTGTAGATGTGCATACGAGAGAGAGAGAGAGAGAGAGAGAGAGAGCACACCTCAACTTCTTTCACCTCAAAGTCTTCTGAGTGTGCAAGACAAGGATTCCCATAGGTTTCCGAGAATGAACTTGATCCACTCAATCTTATAGACCATAAAACAAAATTGAACGAAGTTACAAATGCATACAAATTTCCCTCTTTTAACAGAGGGCTCGCTGAATATAAAATATCTAAGGAAAAAATATATTTTAAAAAAAAATTAAGAGGCAAAATTCTCACAGATCACTGTCCAAATAGAGTGCAAAATGACCACCACCACCAACTGCTAAAAAGTCAGTGGAGCACAATGTGAAATAACGATTTGCACCTGCTTAATTCCAGCATATTTAGTTAAGTATCTTCCAGGTATTTTTAAAAAAGTCAAGAAAACATAATATTTAAACAGGTTTCCCTCTCTTAAGATGGCAACCATATGCATAATTCAAATGCATATTCAAGTCTCTTCCAACAGAAAGAAGACAAGCATCATGTGGAATTTGAAATGGTATAGTTGGAAACTTAGCCTTTAGCATGTTCTGTACAATGGGTTATGTGCAGCTGCTTTTAGAACCATAGTGTCAGGATCATTATGGCCATTAGGATCTGGACCAGATATGACGCATAAAACTAAGAATACCATAGTTAAAGAAAGCAATCACACAATACAACTGCTACATCAAAAGAATGAAAGCAATCAAATGAAAATTTTATAGTACATTTATTACAATGTAATGCAAATCTTAACCTAATAGATGTTTCATGAAGATTGCATTCGTTCAAAATGCTCTACTGCTACTTCACAGGAACACCTCCTTACTCTAATCAAAGCTGAAGTACTAACAATAAATTTACCCTAATTTCCAAACAATATGGAGGTGGGAAATACACATTTTTAATACATTTAACCAGATGACATTTTTCAATTACTCCCTCCAAGAATATTTACTGCAAGCAAAAAGTATGAAAGTTTTTTTTTCCCTATCTTTTATAAATATCAAAACCATTTTTTAAGGCATGAAAAAGACCAAGCATGCCACCTACATAAGTTCAGAAACTGGAAGCAAATAGGATAAATTAGTACCTGTAGGGCGAAATATAACAGGATTTCCAGGTGTAGTTGTGAAAACAAATGTATCATTTGTTCCCTGTTTAAAAAGTTGGCATGAATACAACATACATAGAAGGAAATAATTGTAGATGAACTGAAAAGCCAGTATGAGTTTCAGCAGGACCTGATACTTCTTGTTGGTTGGTCTTAGAGGTGCCTCCACCAAGCCACCAAAAACTGCACCTTTACGGTCTCCAACAACCTGAACAAATATATTTAAAATAAGTAAAAAAATTATTTTGGATTATACACTTCTGTATGAACTAAAGCATAACAAGTCTAAGAATTTGATAATGAGTTAATGACATAATGCAAAAACAAACAAAAAAATCAAGGAAATTCTTTGATATACTTTTCAAAACAACGGAGCTCAAGGATTTTAGTTACTAATTGTTTGCTTTGTGTCACATTCTCTTGCTTAGCAGATGATTTATATCATATACAATTATAAAATAAATAAGTTGGTCTAAAAGGTTTATCTGACCATTTGTTGAAATAATTGGTGCTAATAGTCTGGTTAACAATTACCAGCAAACTTGGGCCAGGCCAAAGCATACTTCTTCTGTATAGGCTTGACAATGATATGCCATGCCTCCATGTACTGCCAGACACAAGGAATACATTGGATGGTAAAATAATCGTGCAGTAAAGATTAATTAGAATTTTCAAAAGATCTAATTGTAATTGTGCAAATGAAAATTCATGTGTCTGCACCTATACAGTAACAACCATTTCCGTCCTTGAACAAGCGCTGGCATTGAAGCATAAAGAGCAGTTCTAGTTATTTCTGTAAGAAGTAAAGAAGGTTCGGAGATGTCTGGGAGATCAACCAAAGCCATAGGCTTTTCGGCTTTCTGCACTTGCCTCATCTCAACTCCAGTAAATTCCAAGTCATTCCTATCATCAACTTTCATGTCAGGGTTACCCTTGCGCTCTTGACTCCGATATCCACCAAATCTCGCAGCTTGATAGATAACTTTACTAAGTGACAGTTTCCCCTTAGAAAGTAAACTTCTCTTTCCACCATTTCCTTTGATTGCAGAATCAGATGATGGGTTACTCCTATCCATTTGATTATCAATTTTCTCATCTGCATTTGTATTAGTATCTTCAGACTCTGATGACAATAGAGAGTAGAGGAATGCACTAAAGGAAGAAGTGTCAGGCCCATCAACTACATTAACGGGACTCTCCTCACTACTTGATTCATTTTGACTTCCTTTGGACTCATCCTCATCTTCCTGTGGAAACGAGAATTACATAGTCAGGGCTCGGAGAACTTCTTGTAAAGTCTAAATCTAAAATGATCTAGTTCAATAGATGTGAACAAAAAATATATTCGTCTATATTAGTTATGCAAACTCACAACCTGATGTTTTCCAATAAAAAACAAAATGCCTCCATATTATTCCAAACTGAATGACAAATATAGGAACACAAAAGCCAATCAGTGATCCTAATTATAAACTGAACTAAAATTTTCATGTATCTAAAAGTTCTAATCATTAGTAATGAATTTCAGTTCTAAGTGCAAAATTCAATCAAAGCAAAATCGGATAAAAAATAAAATGTTCCCACAAAAAAAACTCCAAGAGTAGAACTCCCTGAATCTTACATATAGCTCCAGAACATAAAAAATCCAGGAAAACCCATATACTAAGCTCAAGACAGACATACCGCATGAGTTGGGTTTGCACCCAATGAACAGAATACTAATTACCAGAACTTAAAGAAACACCAGACCAATTACATCATAAAACAAAAACCAATAAACAAAATAACCCAGAAAGCATTTCAAGATAGAACCAAAAGAATAAAGAATAAATAGACAGAAAAAACTTACAGCATGAGGAGGAGGAGGAGGAGGAGAGGTTTTGGAGGGTTTGTCAGAAATGGGATTGAGCAAGACAGTGGTGAGATCAGATACAAAGTGGACTGCCTTGCTCCGAAAAGACCGTGGCCTACCCATTTCCAAATTTGCACTCTATGTATCACCAATCAAGATCAAATCCCAATTTCCCACCACTCATCAGTCGTCCCAACCCAACCCTTCAGCTCATTTTCTCTGGACTCGATTGATTGATTCTAACTAAATATTCCCACTTTATTGTTTTTGTTATTTTGGCTTTTATAAAACCAAATCAAACGTTCTCTTTCTTCTCCGGCCAGTTCGTCGAAGTCTCAGCCAAAAAAAGAAAGGAAGCTTTCTATGAAAGAGAGAGGGTTTTTGGATTAATAAAAGACAGAAGAAAGAGTGAGGTCAAAGCTATTTTCTTTTCGAACTTTGTTGGGCTCACAGGTCAGGTGTCACCTAGCAGTTTGTTAGCACCAAGTTTTAGCAGTTACCAAAAAAAATAAAAAAATTTCCAAAACTATATGAAATTAGGATCCGAGACTTTGCAAAAACAACAAGGTTTTAGCATCTGGTGAGCCCCCTAACTCGGCAAACTCGGTGAGTCGATAGAGGTGAAGAAGTGATGGTTCTGAAAATATTTTAAAAAAACATTATTTTTAGATATGTATAGATGTTGGGACTTTTCAACAACAACTAGGACTTCATGGCCCAATGGATAAGGCGCTGGTCTACGGAACCAGAGATTCTGGGTTCGATCCCCAGTGAAGTCGTTCTTGGTTTGTTCAATTTTTCCTTTTTCTCTTTGTTTTTTACCTTACAAACGCGGCGTTTCGTTGAGTGAAGCATCCTCTTCTGGCCACACGTGGTAGACAGCTACTGCTACGCGGCAGTAGGAAAAAGAAAACGTGGAGCCCACAAAAGGGGGATGGATGGATATACGGTGCATAATTGGGTTTCTTTTTTCTGTTTTTGTAATTAGCATACTTGTGTTATGTGAAAAAGACAAGAGAGAATTAGATGTATATTGTCAGGCCAAAAGGCTAAACAATAGTTTACCATTGAGTTACCATTGCGCGGATTTAACTATACAAATGTAAAAGAATATTAAAAGTTAAAAAATTATTTTTTAATACAAATAATAGGCTAAATTACAAAGAAAAAAGGGTTTTTCACATATACACACTATCAATATACCATGAGGGTTTGAACATAAGACCACTTATCTTCAAATCAATGTCATTTTCCATTGAGCTATAACTTGTTGGCCAAAAAAATTGTTTGAGTTCTATACTATATAAACATAATTCCATAAAAAAATTTAAATATTCATAATTTATTTAATATGAAGGAGAAAAAAAAAAATTGAAACTTGTTAGATTGGATTGAATAAATCTGTCACGAGATCAAATGATGTCGATTTTGAATTTAAAGATCCAATTCAATCTGACTAATCATTTAAACTCATGAAATTTATTTAAGGAGATTCACTAATATTATACCTAATATAAGAGCCCAAATTATAAAAATAAAAATAAAAACTTTATATGAAATGGACTTTAGAAACACAAGTCCATTTAAAACATAACAAAAAGACTTTTAACTTCTTTTAAATTACAAAACTGCCATTGATTTCTTAAAACAAATCCAACTCTAAAATCTCATAAATAAAAAACTTAAAACACTCAACAGGTAATCAAAATAATTTAATAAACAAACCTGTCAATTCCTACTTTTACAGCTCAACCATAAATTTTGCCACATTGCACTGCGCCAGGACAGGAAGTTGCCTCAAAATTTAGGAAAAAAGGTACGTGTAGCTCCTGGGATAGTGACAACATGAACTGAGGAAATTGTAACTTGTACTGCATGTGGACTAAATAGTGTACGTGTACATTATCCCTGTCACTGCCACTACGAAACATCATCATTGCCTTAATAATTAAAAGACAAAATTATGGGCGGCACTTTCATTTTTCATTTTTATTTTTATTTTTATTTTTATACCATCGATATTGACGTATTAAACCTAGCACATATAAATACTATTATACACTTAAGCGGTAAAAGAAACCACCGTTACAACGTATACGCTGGTAATAAAAGGGAGACTTCATGTCAATTGAATTCTATATAAGGACCAAGCTCCGCACTCTCTTATCATTGCCCTCTTACTCTTCTTACATACACAAAATTAAGAAACAGAGAGAGAGATAGAGAGAGAGAATGGCGACTCTCAGAGTACCAGATGTGGTTCCTTCTCCAGTGGAAGATGCTGAACAACTCCGCAAAGCTTTTGAAGGTCTTTTACTGATCACATCTTCTTAGACTCAGACTAAATTAATTTTACTGATCACATCTTTTTGGTGTTTTCTTTGGAGCAAATGAAATTTGATCATTTGGTATTTGACATGACTTTGTTTTCTGATGTGGTTGATCATCTAAAGACTAAAGTTGGTTTGATCCATCTGCATCCATATTGTTCTACTTTGTGAATATGTGTTTTGTGGGTTCTTATGTTAATGTGATAATGATCAGGATGTGTTTCTTTCTATATGATCTTTTCTTTCTATCAGTAAGTTAGCATCAGTTTTGTTGAATCAATCTTTAGATCTAGATCTTTTTAATGATTATCTTGTTGAGCCAGTTTGAGGTTTACTATTGACTAGCAAGTATTTGATGTCTTTCTTATAATCTGATATGGTTGATCATCTAAAGTTTGATCTGCTTTCATGTTCTCTTACTTTGTAAGTATCTGTTTACTGGGTTCTTTGTAAGTATTTATTTCTCTCTCTTTGATTTTAAATTTCTTGGGATCATTTTTGTTGGATCAGAGTATTAGATCTACATCTTTTTTAAAATACTTTAACCAATATTTTTGTTTATTTTAATCTTGACTAGTTCATGCTTTCTTTTATATGGGATTTGCATAATACTCCATTCACTTGAAAGGGATCATCAATGAAAACAGAGTTGGGAGAAGAGAAGATGATGAAGAAAACTGATGCTTGATGTCATAGACCAATTTGAATACTTGGCATCTAGCTGCACATATTAATTAGGGATAGAGGTTGAAGATTTGTTGCATTATCAAGGCACTTTTATGGTTGTATTCTAAATCAGCAACTTGATTTTCGTAATCTGTGTGCAGGATGGGGGACAAATGAGGGGTTGATCATTTCGATATTGACACACAGGAATGCAGCTCAGAGAAAATTAATTCAGCAGGCATATGCAGAAACTTATGGAGAAGAGCTTCTTAAGTCACTGGACAAAGAGCTCTCAAGTGAATTTGAGGTCAGATTTGGATGCATTATATCTCTCAGTTGAATACTGGTTTTACTTTTAATTTTGTTTTCAAAGGTTTACTGCTTGAATTTCCTATTTTTCTGCATTAACCAGAGGGCTGTGCTGCTGTGGACACTGGTCCCTGCTGAGCGTGATGCATTTTTGGCTAATGAAGCTACAAAGAGGTTCACTTCAAGCAACAAAGTGCTCTTGGAAATAGCTACTACTAGGTCTTCCCATGACCTGTTGCTGGTCAAGCAGGCGTATCATGCGCGTTTCAAGAAATCCCTTGAAGAAGATGTGGCATACCATACATCTGGAGACTTGCGCAAGGTACAAACCTTCAATCTCCAAACTCATTCTTAATCTGATTGTGCTCTCAAATGTCAAGTTGGCTAGTTGAAACCGAATCGTCTTGATCTTCTATTGTATCCAATTTCTTTTATTGAATTGGAAGTAATTTGTTCAAACAGCTTCAACTACATTGCTGCCTAGAATTTCCTTTTTCTTCCTTGTGCTCTGATTGTCGACTCTGTCACAGCTTTTGGTTCCTCTTTTGAGCACTTACCGATACGAGGGAGATGAGATCAGCGTGCCCTTGGCAAAGAAAGAGGCTAAAATACTTCATGAGAAAATCTCAGACAAAGCCTACAATGATGAGGAGCTCATCAGGATCCTCTCTACCAGGAGTAAAGCACAGCTGAATGCAACCTTTAATCACTACAACAATGAGTTTGGCAATGCCATTAACAAGGATTTGAAGGCTGATAAAGATGATGAGTTCCTCCTGTTACTGAGGCAAACAATCAAAAGCTTGACCGTCCCTGAAAAATACTTTGAGAAGGTTCTGCGCCTGGCTCTCAACAAGCTCGGGACGGACGAAGGGGCTCTTACTAGGGTTGTCACCACCCGGGCGGAGGTTGACTTGCATCGCATTAAACAAGAATATCATCGCAGGAACAGTGTTCCTTTGGACCAGGCAATTGTCAAAGACACTTCTGGAGACTATGAGAAGTTTCTTGTGGAACTGGTTGGACATGGAGATGCTTGAATCCCACAATGTTTTCTTCCATGAGTTGTTATCTTTCCTTCATTGGATGCGTCTTCTTCTTTTATGGTTTTGTGTGGACTTTGTTCAATAAATCTTGCTAGTGCGGTGAGTAAAGATTATGGATGGACTTTATTTTATATAATTTATGTGCATCTTCTTTTGTATTTTTGCTAAAGGAGTTGTGTTTTGTGTTCAATTATATATATATATATATATATGATAATGTTGGACTTCTCTTTTTCCCTTTTCCCTTTCATATTTTATTTTGACCAATTTAGGGATATACGTGTATTGGAAACCAATACAATTTAGTCCATTCGTATTCGATTCAATATAAATTAAATTGAATTGTGATTTTTTCAATTCGATACAATCATATTAGATGTTTAAATGCAATTAGATTCAATCGAATTAATATTGGATTATATTAGATTGGATGATGGAAAAGGACAATAATAAAATATTAATAGACGTAAATGTAAAATATAAATGAAATATCATAACAAATTGTTTTGATTATATGATATATTAAATATTACTTTATTAAATGACTTAAAATATTTATAATTTTTTCAACTATAAATATCTACAAGAACAAAATAAGCTTAAAACTAACTAGATTGGATTCTCATAAGTAAATCAATCATCCAATTCAATCATGTCGTTTTTTAAAATTAATGATTGAAAGTTTTTGAAAATTACGGATCAAATTCAGTCCGCCAAATTATCAAAACTGATTGAAATTTAATTAAATTGGATTGGATTGGATTAGAATGAATCGATTAATTTAGATGGATTGAATTGAATCTTATACACCCCTAGACCCATCTAGAACATGAAAAATGACAAATCTCAAAAAACTAAAATAGGACATAGCATTTTAAAAAATAATAAATTTATAATAATATGTATATATTAATAAAAATAAAATATAATCCAATTCATATACCATATATAGTTTATTAATTCAAAGCTTTCCGTGTAGTTTATTATATCTGTAAATATATATATATATATATATATATATATTAGCTGGGTATGAGTTAAAAGAGTTTTTGTTTGTTGGATAATCTTTATATTGGCCCATAGGAGAAAGTTTTTAAATAATTGGCCTTCTAAGCCCATTAAAACCCACCAAACATGAAGAGGCAGCCAATTACTGAACAATGTTGGCGAAAAAAAAGTTTTGAACACCGAACCTAAGCTCAGTCGCGCGAAGAAGGTTCAACAGACGAGGTTGCAGAAGGAGGTGAACGATTTTGGGTGGCTGATTGACGAATTGAAGGTGTTTATGGATTCGGACAATGCAGATGTGAATCTCAAGGACGATTTGGATCTGATTGAGGAATTTGGGAACGATTTGCATCTGATATGAAGAATCTGATTCAGGAAGCTGATGAAATCTGGGAATTGTAAGGTAAGAAAATTATGCACCATCAAAGTAGGCATTGTCTTCTTCGCCAGGTTGTAATTTCAGATTAATTGTCACACATTTTGCTTGTGATTTTCTCAAGCAAACCTGAGTTTGTACTTCCTGCTTAAAAATCATGTTCTATCTTTTTTCTTTTTCCCCAATTTCACTGTTATATATGTGTTTGTTTAACTTTAAAAATGTCTCCTACATGCACCCATCTGGATAGGATTAATTCCTGGAAAAAAAAAGAACAGAAGATGTGAAGAACTTACTCATTTTAGTTTCGTATAAAAAGGAACACCATTTCTATTTTGGTATAGGGCCTCCTGTATCTTACTACTGGCACTGACCACGATTTCTTACTAAGGTTTGTAGCTTGCATTTTCTGTAAATAATTTAGAAATTGAATTTGTTTTGTTAAATGCCAGACCAAATTTGCTTTGCTGCAATTGATTTGTTGCTCCCATGAGATTCTGAATTATATATCCTATGTTTTTCGTTGTTTCGAACTTTATGTTTATCAGTAACCGCTTATCAAAAAAATTAACCCCATATTTATTGGCAACCGCAGTTGCCTTATAGCTTACATATTGTTTTCTAACATTTCAGTGTAATGAAGAATAGTGAGTGTAGACCACTGATGGCCAAAGAATAGAGAAGCTACTATATTCTATAATATCTTCGTACAAACTTATATAACATCGTTCTTCTAAGACATCAACTCCTTGCTTCTTTCTATGTTAAACCATCTCCACCATGCACTAAGACACTTTCATTTGGTTCCGCTACTCTCATGCAGAAAACATTATTACACTCCAAGCCAGATCTTGTCTTTCTCTACCACCACAACGCTGTGCACACATGCCTCACCAACTTACTCTCATACCGACCTCCTCACACTCAGCTCCAATGTCCAAACCCTTCACCAAACCAAGCAAGTCCATGCTTCTGCTCTCCTCAATGGTTTACTTCCCCACAGTGTCTCTCTCTGCGCCTCCCTCATGCTCAGTTACGCCACTTTCAAATACCCGGAAACCTCTCACCATCTCTTCGAACAAACAGTTCATCGTTGTCGCACTGCTTTCTTGTGGAACACCCTCATACGGGCTTATTCCATTGCTCAAGTTAATGATAATTTTCAGACTTACAATCGAATGGTTCGAAGCGGTGTTGAACTCGATGATCATACTTTTCCTTTCGTTCTCAAAGCGTGTTCAGACCTTTTGGACGTAAAAAAAGGGATGGAGATTCATGGGGTTGTGTTTAAAGTGGGCTTTGATTTTGATGTTTTCGTTGGAAATACACTTTTAATGTTATATGGTAGTTGTGGGGATATGAGAGATGCAAAGAGGGTGTTTGATGAAATGCGTGAAAGGGATGTTGTCTCATGGAATGCGGTTATTGGAGTGTTTACGGCCAATGGGTTTTTCGTGCAGGCACTTCATTATTATAGAGAGATGAATTTGGGAATTGGGTTTAAGCCAAATCTTGTTAGTGTCATTAGTGTGTTGCCGGTTTGTGCAGAGTTGGAAGATGAGCGGATGGCGATCCAGATTCATTGCTATGTTGTGAAGGCTGGTTTGGATCTTCTGGTCACTACTGGAAATGCATTGGTTGATGTGTACGGGAAATGTGGGAATGTGAATGCTTCAAAACAAGTTTTTGGTGAGATGATTCAGAAGAATGAGGTTTCTTGGAATGCTGCTATCACTAGTCTCTCTTACATGGGGCATAACATGGAAGCCTTGGCTACATTTAGATGGATGATTGATGTAGGGGTGAAACCAAACTCTGTCACGATTTCTAGCATGCTACCAGTGTTGGTTGAACTTGCATTTTTTGGAGTTGGCAAAGAACTCCATGGTTTCAGTATAAGAATGGGTATTGAATCGGATGTCTTCATTGCCAACTCACTAATTGATATGTATGCAAAATCAGGCCGTTCAAATGAGGCATCCAATGTTTTCCAAGAGATGGATAAAAGGAATATTGTTTCCTGGAATGCTATGATTGCAAATTTTGGTCAAAACAGGCTTGAGTTGGAAGCCATTGGACTTGTGAGACAAATGCAAGGTCATGGTGAAATTCCCAACTCTGTCACCTTCACAAATCTTCTTCCAGCGTGTGCTCGGTTGGGTTCCCTTCGTTATGGAAAAGAAATCCATGCAAGGACAGTCCGCATGCTATATGCCTCTGATTTGTTTGTCTCCAATGCTCTGACAGACATGTACGCAAAATGTGGCCGGCTAGATCTTGCTCGGAATGTATTTAACATCTCCCTCAGGGATGAGGTGTCTTATAATATACTAATAATTGGCTATTCTCAAACTACGGATTGCTCAGAGTCTCTGAATTTGTTTTCTGAAATGAAGCTTGTGGGAATGATTCATGACATTGTTTCCTTTGTGGGAGTTATATCAGCTTGCGCAAATGTAACTGCAATCAAGCAAGGCAAAGAGATTCATGGGTCATTAGTAAGAAAGCTTTTCCATACTCATCTATTTGTTGCAAACTCACTTTTGGATTTTTATACCAAATGTGGACGAATTGATCTTGCTGCTAAGGTCTTTGACCGCATTCCAAGCAAGGATGTAGCCTCTTGGAATACTATGATTTTGGGGTATGGAATGCTAGGTGAGCTTAACACTGCAATCAGTCTTTTTGAAGCAATGAGGGAAGACGGTGTAGAATACGATTCAGTTTCCTATATTGCAGTTTTGTCATCTTGTAGTCATGGAGGGCTGGTTGAGAAGGGGAAAAAATATTTTGAGGGAATGCAGGCACTGAATATAGAGCCGACAGAAAAGCACTATGCTTGCATGGTTGATCTCCTTGGCCGAGCTGGCCTTATGGAAGAAGCAGTAGAGCTTATTAAAAGCATGCCCATTGTACCAGATGCCAATATTTGGGGTGCCTTGCTTGGAGCATGCCGAATCCATGGGAACGTAGAGTTGGCTAGTTGGCCAGCAGACCATTTGTTCAGGTTGAACCCTGAGCATTGTGGGTACTATATACTTCTTTCAAACATGTATGCAGAAGCTGGGAGATGGGATGAGGTAAACAGGGTGAGGGAACTGATGAAATCAAGAGGAGTGAAGAAGAACCGTGCTTGCAGTTGGGTTCAGGTTCAGGACCAGGTGCATGCTTTTGCAGTTGGAGAGAGTCTGGAGACATTAAATTCAGATAGTTGGATCGCAGAATCTTAATATGTTTTTGACATTCAAATTAAAGTTTGACGGATTGTGCTGAGAGGATAGCAATTTAAACTTTCAAAAGGAGTTCAATTCCATCCAAAGATGCTTCATCAGCTCCACCTCAAAAAATCAACATCCAAAATTTTGTGGGATCACCCACTTCAGAGACAGAGAAAGAAAGAATGGCGACTCTTAGAGTACCAGATGTGGTTCCTTCTCCAGTGGAAGATGCTGAACAACTTAAGAAAGCTTTTGAAGATCTTTTACTGATCACATCTTCTAAGACTCAGACTAAATTAACGCAATCATTGGAGCAAATGAAATTTGACAATTTGGTGTTTTCTTTGGAGCAAATGAAATTTGATCATTTGGTGTTTGACATGACTTTGTTTTCTGATGTGGCTGATCATCTAAAGTTAGTTTGATCCATCTGCTTCCATATTGTTCTACTTTGTAAGTATGTGTTCTATGGGTTCTTATAATGTGATAATGACCAGGATGTGTTTCTTTCTCTGTGATTTTTTCTTCAATTAGTAAGTTAACATCAGTTTTGTTGAATGAAAGTTTATATCTAGATCTGTTGAATGATTATCTTGTTGAGGTTCACTATTGACTAGCAAGTATTTGATGTTTAACATGTCTTCTTATAATCTGATATGTGTGATCATCTAAAGTTTGATCTGCTTTCATGTTCTCTTACTTTGTATGTATCTGTTTTCTGGGTTTTTTGTAAGTATTTGTTTCCTTCTCTTTGATTATTGTTTGAATTTCTTGGGATCATTTTTGTTGGATCAGAGTATTAGATCTATATCTTTTTTTAAAAATTATCTTATTGTGTCAGTTTGAGTTTCACTATTGACTAACAAAAATTAACAAATACTTCAACTAATATTCCTGTTTATTTACTCCAATCATTATGATCAATTACAAGGCCTTGGTGCTAAAGTAAACTACTTTAATCTTGACTAGTTCATTACTCTGGAATTTATTGCTAATATAAAAGAGACAAGAACTGGTAGTTGAAATCCTTATCTGATTCATTGACATCCATCCTAAGCTTTTCATTAGGTCCAATTCTTTTATATGGAATTTGCACAAATTTCCATTTACATGAAGGGGTCATTAATGAAAACGGAGTTGGGAGAACATGTGATGAAGAAGAAAACCAATGCTTGATGTCATAGACCAATTTGAATGCTTGGCATCTAGCTGCACATCGAGGCATTAACCAAAACTTCTCATATTAGGGATAGAGGTTGAAGATTTGTTGCATTATCAAGGCACTTTTATGGTTATATTCTGTATTAACAACTTTATTTTTTTAATTTGTGTGCAGGATGGGTGACAAATAAGGCGTTGATCATATCGATACTGACTCACAGGAATGCAGCTCAGAGAAAATTAATTCAGCAGACATGCAGAAATTTATGGGGAAGAGCTCCTTAAGTCACTGGACAAAGAGCTCTCAAGTGTTTTTGAGGTCAGATTTAGATGCATTATATCTTTCAGTTGAATACTGGTTTGGTTTTACTTTGAATTTTGTTTTCAAAGGTTTACTGCTCGAATTTCCTATTTTGCTGCATAACCAGAGGGCTGTGCTGCTGTGGACACTGGTCCCTGCTGAGCGTGATGCATTTTTAGCTAATGAAGCTTCAAAGAGGTTCACTTCAAGCAATAAATTGCTCTTGGAAATAGCTACTTCTAGGTCTTCTCGTGATCTGTTGCTGGTAAAGCAGGCGTATCATGTGCATTACAAGAAATCCCTTGAAGAAGATGTTGCATACCATACATCGGGAGACTTGCTCAAGGAGGTTCCTGCTGAGCGTGATGCATTTTTAGCTAATGAAGCTACAAAGAGGTTCACTTAAAGCAATAAATTGCTCTTGGAAATAGCTACTTCTAGGTCTTCTCATGATCTGTTGCTGGTAAAGCAGGCGTATCATGTGCGTTACAAGAAATCTCTTGAAGAAGATGTTGCATACCATACATCTAGAGACTTGCTCAAGGTACAAACCTTCAACCTCCAAACTCATTCTTAATCTGATTGGGCTCTCAAATGTCAAGTTGGCTAGTTGAAACCGTATCTTCTTGATCTTCTATTGGTATCCAATTTCTGGTATTGAATTGGAAGTGAGTTGTTCAAACATCTTCAACTACATTGCTGCCTAGATTTTCTTTTTTCTTGCTTTGCTCTGATTGTTGACTCTGTCATAGCTTTTGGTTCCTCTTTTGAGCACTTACCGATACGAGGGAGATGAGATCAGCGTCCCCTTGGAAAAGAAAGAGGCTAAGATACTTAATGAGAAAATCTCAGACAAAGCCTACGATGATGTGGAGCTCATCAGGATCCTCTCTGCCAGGAGTAAAGCACAGCTGATGCAACCTTGAATCACTACAACAATGAGTTTGGCAATGCCATTAACAAGGATTTGAAGGCTGATAAAGATGATGAGTTCCTCCAGTTACTGAGGCAAACAATTAGAAGCTTGACCGTCTCTGAAAAAAACTTTTGAGAAGGTTCTGTGCCTGGCTATCAAGAAGCTTGGGACGGACGAAGGGGCTCTTACTAGGGTTGTTACCACCCGCACAGAGGTTGACTTGCATAGCATTAAGCAAGAATATCATCGCAGGATCGGTGTTCCTTTGGACCAGGAAATTGTCAAAGACACTTCTGAAGACTACGAGAAGTTTCTTGTAGAACTAGTTGGACATGGTGATGCCTGAATCCCACAATGATTTCTTCCATGAGTTGTTATCTTTCCTTCATTGGATGATTCTTCTTCTTTTTATGGTTTTGTGTGGACTTTGTTCAATAAATCTTGCTAGTGCTGTGAGTAAAGTATGGATGGACTTATTTATATAATTTGTGCATCTTCTTTTGTGTTTTTGCAAAAGGAGTTGTTTTTGTGTTCTTTATATGATAATGTTGTGCTTAAATTACACCTTTTGACCAAGTGAACAAGAAGCTCTCTCAAGTGGCCTCTATGGTAAATGCTTTCTTTCTTAGCCCTGCATTGAGGTTGAGGTGCAAAACCAAAATCTCTTTCAAAAACTAGCACCTTAGGCTTTGAGGTTGGGTTGAAGCCGTGAAACATCATCAATGATGAAGATAACATCCTGGCTCATAACAAGGTCTCGAAGCTGATGCTGCTCTGAGCTTTTCAAGCACAATAATATTCTCAATTAAACCACTCACTTAACAGCACCCATAGTTGGTGCACAACTATGTGTGGAAACTGCTGAGGTTATCAATCTTCTTTTAATCCTCATTTTCGTTTCATTCACCTATTCTATATAACCACACATCACATTCCAATCCCAAAACCCGGATCTAAGGCCTCTCAACTTTGACCCGACAACTCAACTTTGGTGTTCAACCTTGGACCTAGTCCAAATTCCAGGACCCTTGAAATGGCATCGGGACCTCTATACCCTAAATTCACCTTTAGTTCATTCTAACTCTGAACAAAATCTATAGGCTTTATAACATGCACTTACATTCAATAAGCTCAAAAATGAAATTATGATATGGGACTCACCACCTTGAGCAAGTGGCCCACTTTGTTACCCATCAAGGACTCTGCAATAACTTTCAAATTCACACACATGACAATGGCATGTTTACTAATCCGTAATCGTATTATGAGGAATTGAATTGAGGAGTTAGATTGAGGAGAATTAGATTCTTAATCCCTATTGAAGTTGTTTACTAAACCATATGGATTGAGGAGAGTCAAAATCCGAATTCCTATTGAAGTTGTGTACTAACTGTTGGCGAGTCCTTACTTAGTTAGGATTTTAGTTCCTTACTATGTTAGGATTTTAGTTACTTACCATTTATCTAGTCATATTATAATTTAGATTTATTTCATATTATAATTTATATTTATTTTCTATTGTAATTTAGATATATTTCCTATTTTATTTAGGGTTAACACATCTTTGTACTTGTATAAATACCTTCATATTGGAGAAGAATAATAATATGAGAATATCTGAATTTTTCCCCCTACTTTGTTTGACTTGGTATCAGAGCTAGGTTCCTAACCTGTGATAACCTCTGCCAAATTTAGAGTCGTTGGCACTCCTCATTCCTAACCCATCATCTTGTATAGTCATCTTCTTTTGTTCAATCCTCTCATATGTATAGTCACCATCTTTTGTTCATCCTCTCATATGTGTTTTCACCGCACCTAGCCTTCACATGCTTCTTTGCTATTGTTCCAAATTTTTATTTTTCATCTTTGTATGCCAGATGGTCTTTCTTGATGTCTCAGCTTCTCTATCTTTGAAGCTTCATAACAAGTCTCTTTACTCCGTGAGTCTCGTCACCGCTCACTGAGCCTCGTCACCGCTCGCCGAGCCTTTCCTTTGACTGTTCTGCCAGTCTCTGTCCTCTTTGGCTGCTCTCTTGAGTTGCCTTTCTGCTTCTCTGTTTCTCTCTTTGCTCCATTTAGCTCTCTTTTATTTATGTTTATCTCTTTTGTTTGTCTATGCCCAGTGGCTGGTGTTTGTTGTGTTCTTTCCCCACGCCATCACTCCATCTCTGTCACTCTAGCTTTTCTTGTTGGGTGTTATTGATTTATTTTTCTATCTCCTTCCCTTTTACCCTTATGCTTATTTCTTTCTACCTTTAGCCTCTTTCCAATATTCATCCCTTTCTATGTCTGTCTATTTCCTCACAGGCACCTTCCTTTGTCATTAAGTTCCTTCAATCACAGCATTATTCTCTTTTTTTTTTGTTCTAGCACCTCACTTTCTTCCATTAGTTTCTTTTTCAAAATTGTCACATGCAATTTCCTATGCTTTACCTTTTAATATCTTTAGTTTCATCCTCTTTGATCTACCGATGTGGTTTCCCCTGCTATGCAGCCGAACTCTTTTCATGTCCTCTCTATTTCTCATCTTTCTTTTACCAACCTTTTCCATTTTGTTGTTCCCTCACTACATTATCTCTCGCTTTCACAGCTCCCTTATATAATATTGCTTCCTTTTGATGGGCACTCTATCTATTCCTATTCCACACATGAAGGGTTTCCTTTTTTCGGTGTCCTTTGCTCTAATTCCCGTTTGAGCACCTTATCTTTGTCTTTGTCTCTGTTAATGATTTGCTGGGTTTCCTCCCTTACTATTCTCATTTTCTGAAGTTTATTCTTCATGGAACAGTTGTATGCTACCACTTTCCCCTCTTGCATTTGTTTCGGCCACGAGACTGGCATGCTTGAGTATCTTCAATTTCTCTTCTTCCAAATCTCGACCATTTACCAGTGTCGGATTTGATAGGGAGATAGATGCAACTTTATTTGGGTGCTGCAACTTTATTTTTCAATGTTGCTTTCTCCAAATCTCGACTCTCATACATCGTCGGATTTGAGGGGGAGTGACACTGCTGCTCATATATTCCGCTGCAATTCAGCTACCTATTTGCCATGGCTGATTCTTCTACATCTGAGCGTCAGTCAGCTTCTGTTTCTTAAGTGTCACTTTTCTTGTGGTTCCGACGACCACTTCTCTTCAGGGGGAGAGGGGGAGTGAAGAGTAGTTGTCTCTCCAATAATGGAAGTATTTGTCAGTGTTATTGCTGCTAACTACTATGTCCTTTGTTGCTGGTGCCAGTACCGTTGCTCATACCTGTTACGTCTCTTGCTAGGGATAATGTTATTGCTCATGCCTATTATGACTCTTGTTGGGGATAGTGTTGACTACTGTTGATGATGCCTGTTATGTCCCTGCCTTGTTGCTCTTGCTGGTGCCAGTGCCTTGTATTGCTGTTGTTGGTACCAGTATTGTTGCTTCTGCCTGTTATGATGCCAGTATTGTTGCTCATGCCTTTGCTGGTGTGTTTCCGTTGTGGTCACGCCCGTTGACCTTGCCTTTGCTCTTGACTTTCTTTGCCTTACCTTACCTTATTTTTTAGAGGTTTGGCTTTACCTTGTCTAACCCTATTTTTAGGGTTTGGTTTCTGCCATATCTACTGTCATGCTCACAAGGTTTCTGTGTTCTGCCTTATCTGCTGTCGTGCTCACAGGATTTTTGTGTTCTGCCTTATATACTGCCGTGCTCACAGGGTTTCTGTGTTCTGCCTTATTTACTATCGTGCTCACAGGGTTTCTGTGTTTTGCTATGTGCCCTATTTTTTAGGGTTTGCTCTTGTGTTTCCGCTGCAAACTTTGCTTTAGTTTGTCACTTGTTTCACTCGTGGTTGACTAAAAGACCTTCTCTACAATTGGTGCTTCTCAAGTATGGTGTTCAGTGACTCGCTTGTTAAGTTGGGCCTGCGAAATATCTTTGCCCAACTTGGGGGGGAGTGTTGGCGAGTCCTTACTTAGTTAGGATTTTGGTTCCTTACTATGTTAGGATTTTAGTTACTTACCATTTATCTAGTCATATTATAATTGAGATTTATTTCCTATTATAATTTATATTTATTTTCTATTGTAATTTAGATATATTTCCTATTTTATTTAAGGTTAACACATCTTTGTACTTGTATAAATACCTTCATATTGGAGAAGAATAATAATATGAGAATATCTGAATTTTTCCCCCTACTTTGTTTGACTTGGTTATGGAATTAGGGTAGGAGTGACATTAATTACTAAAATGTCATCGTTGTTAGGTTAAAATAGATGATAAATTTTAAAATTTTAAAATTGTGAGGATATAATGAGTAAAAAAGATAAATTCATAATCTAATGAGTTAATTCTCTATGAATTAGAATACCACCTCTCACAAAAAAAGAATTGAATTCCTCTAAAATAAGAAATTTCATTCCTAATTTTGTGTGAACCCTGCCTACTTTTTAATTGATGTGAAATAAACACATGAATTCTCATAATTGGATTCAATTCCTAATTAGCAAACACACCAAAGATAACAAAAACTAAAAACTAAAAACTAAACAATTTATAAATAAAAAATTATTTGGAAACTGAGAATAGTTACCAAACAAGTTTCTTGGCTTCAACTTTTTACAAATGAAACTAGTTTCTTGGTCTCAACTTTTTACAAATGAAAACTAAAATGGTTATCAAAAGGGATATCTCTTATTCACCCCTTTCAACCAATATCAAAATCTTCAAACCAAAAAAATAAAATCCATTTCAAAATCAAGATTTGATCCAGATTTTTCTTGGCATCAAAGGACCACACAGACAGAAGAAAAGTGCAAGTTCCCTAAATTATCATCTAATTTATAAATAAAATGGGTCCTGGAACAAAGTAAACACAAACTTGATACAACCAAGATACATAAACATGTTTGTAATAACCCAACTAGCCGAACCTCCTGCATTTTTCTGACTACATTTCATGCCCTAACGATGTATATAAATGTATCGCTACCACTCAGTCTCACACCCACCACTTCAGAACCCAAAATGGCATGAAGGGTTTACATGTCAGAACACAGAGTTCACACTAGGATATGACGAGACCAACATTTATTTGATGATAAAGCAGAGTAAACAAGTCAGAGATTATGAGTTACACCAAGGCAATGCTGCTCTCTCCACCAGGGGGCTTGCGAACACCACCCAGATAGTCTCTGGATGATGCCTTTCCATCAGCAAAGATGTCGCTACCGTTCATCTCTCTCAGCTTAGCCGTGCTTAGGGGCTTTTCAGCAGATCCTGGAGGTTCCTTAAATATATTATTTCCTGTCAGCTCAGCGAACTTCTGGTTATGTATTTTCCTTGAAGTCTTGACAACAGGTTCCTCACTGAACATGATATTACTCTGACCTCCAGCAGGCTGCATTACCGAAATGAATTCAATACTAAATTTAAGGAAAATATTAATTTGCTAATTAGTCTAGCATTATTCGGCAGAGTAATATCAACTTCGATTACATGAAAAAGTTCTCCAGTAGGCTATGTTGCTAGGCTATCACTTCAAACCATTGATCTAATGGATTCTTGTTAGGGCACCCGGTCCAAATTAACAGTTTGACAAACTAACATGCCAGACTACTTGACAAAAGAACCTCAATTATTGTTTGAAGGTGATCCAGATTGAGAGTCTAACAATATTACATATGAAGGGAGAACGGAGAACACTCAATTGCATAGCTCAATACTATAATTATGGAAGTCTGATTTAGTGTTGTAATCTCTAATTATCCAAACTATCATAACTGGACCTGCAACATGAAGATATGAATGAAGAAAATTCATCCAAAGAAATAATAAACTCACATTTGAAACTTTGACAGATGTGCGTAGATTTCGGGGTGCAGGTTCTCCCATGTCTCTGGTTTCTCTAGTTTCCAGGGTGTGCGCGGCAGCCACGGATCGAGGCACAGTTTCAGGAGGAGGACCAAAGATGTCATTTCCAGTGAGCTCCTTGGACTTGGCATTTGATATATGCTTGTTGGACTTTGAATCCGAGTCTGATTGCAACGTCCCACTCAATTCACGCTGCTTTGCAACCTCAGGAATGGTGATCGGCTTCTTGGGTGTGACATGTTCATCAACACTGAATGATATTTGACTAACTCCATTGAGTGCTTGCTGGTAAATACGAAGCCCTGTTTTGTTACTAGCATCATTAGATTCTGGTGCAGCATTGTTGCCTGAACCAGCAGCAAATATGCCATTACCCGTAATCTCCTTCAATTTATAGCCTGAACAAGGCTTCCTGAACCACATTTCATCTGAGTTTTAGATGTACAAATCTTAATCACTAACCCTGTAGTTAAAAAAAAGTACTGATCTTTTTTATAAATAATTTCTGGATCTAAGATGGGTAAACTTGGGAATTTGAATAACAAATTTTGGGTTGCAAAATTTGCAATGCATGTATTTATAGACATGCAAAATTAAGATGACATGAACACAGAATAATCAAAGTCAACATCTTTCTGATCAGAAAAACAGAAAGCTTGTAGCTTTGGTTGAGCAGCTTGCACAGGCTATATGGGGTATTTGCAGAAATTCATAGCAATGAAACATGCATTACTAGATCTGACTTCACAAAATAGATCTTACTGTTTGTTGAGGCTCTGAGCTTCTTCATCAGTGATCTGACCTCCATGGAGCACCTTGCTGATTCCATCTGACGGCTGAAAATACACCACGTAAGCTTCCTTAATTAACCAAGAAAGAAAAAGAAAGACAAAAAATTGACTGAAAAAGTGTCTTCAAGTGGAAGTGGTAACCTGATGAGAGCGGTGACCAGAGGGGGCGGTGGCGGGAGAGTCGGACTGTGGGACCTCTTTCCACGTCAGCATATCGGCAGTGTCTCTGCGAGGCTTTCTCACTGGTGTGCTTCTCTCCATTGTTAGTCTCACTGGGGTGCTCTCTGTCTTCTGTTTTGTGCTTTCTTTTTCTTTCTTCTTTGGCTTTTGTTTTGAGATAATTTTTTAAATTTTGAATGAACGAGGAAATAAACAAATAGTAAAGTAAAATCCCATATTGTCATTTTCGAAACAAAGAGAAGAGAAAGATCTCGGATGTCGCAACATGCGATGCGACCCACTAGGTTTTTAGAACACGTATTGCAGTAATCTACGGTTAATATACGTACATACTACATGGGTGGGTCCATCCCTGGAGCAATGACATTGACTTCAGTTGAACTTGCTCACACGAATACAAATATGACGCATTGACTCGTTTGGAATTGCTTCTAAAAAAGTTACAAATGCTTTCTCTTTTTATGGTTGAAATTTTTTGAGATTGAATTCATAATTCATGCAAAATACAAACTAGCTAATTATTATAATTACGGAGAAATCTAACATCAACATTAAGATAATCTAGTGCGCATTTACTAATGATCACGCATGATCGAAGGAACTCTGGCATGTGCATACCAACTAAGATTTCAAACTCAAAACAATTAAAAAGATATAAAACTTAGAAAAACCAAGTCATAATAATACAAATAAAAATTCTCACAAAAGAGAGGTGAAAAACTCTCATAAATGAGATGTGAAAATTACACAAAACCTAAAAAGAGTTTCTACAAGTTATTCTAAAAATAAAGAAACTAAACTAGCCATATTGCAACTCCATTGTCACAAAGTCAACTCACTTTGCGTAAGTACCAAAATATAACAAATATGCACCAATCGACTTTCCTATTCAGCAAATAGAGTAGATGCACCAAAAAAGGATCCAATCTCAGAGATCTGTTATATAATTATGTCATAAACGAGTCAACGAAACAAAGAGAGAGAGACTATGCAGGAGGGGGGAGCAAAGAGGATGAGAAGGGGAGGAGGCGGATAGGAAAGGAAAAAGAGAGGAAGAGGACAAAAAGCATGGTAGTCACCACCCCTTGAGGGCTGGCTAGGCTAGGAGTTTTCTCTTACGAATGCAATACTTCACTTATGGGTATGGACTTCACTAAGATAATCTCCAATGTTGTAGGGACTTAAACCCAAATTTTCTCCTCCCAAACACTCATCTATATGCAAAGCCTCAAACAATTTTTTTTTCAACCATGCAATCTCAAAATTTGAGTCCCTAGTTTTATTATTTTGTTGACCATTGTTTTAACTTCAATTATTTTTTGGTTATTGTTAAATTTTTTTATTTATTTTTAATGTTCGTTGATGTGTGTAACCAATCAAAGTGCGCCGATCCTATTCAACCATTCCTCAAGGGTGGACGTGGTCTTCAAGTCGTACTTATGTATGTATCTGTCGTATTTGGAGTGGCCAAGTATGGTGGTGGATAGCTCTAATTTCCCTAAAAAGGAACATAAATGGGTCACTGAAGAGGTGATGGTGGGTTCACCAACCACCCTCCAATGCGTAACTCGGTCTTTCTTCCTCAAAGAAGGCTTTTAAAGTGTTGTACTCAAGTGTGGAAAAAGTTCGAAGTACCTTTTTAGGTGGGAAGTTCCCTTTTATATAGGGAAAATGGGACATTTGAGTTATCTTTTTCTGATGTGGGACTATTAGGTCATTAATACATGGTATCATCTCATTGGGTGATTTGTGACAAGTAGACGTGTCATCCTTTCCCTTTTTCGAGGACAACATGTGTCAGTTGGATATGACGTGGGCCCATTCTTGCATTTGTTACTCCATGTGCAAGCCTTTAAGGGAGATGCGCCTAGGTTGTGGCCTCATGGGCTCCGATTAGGCATGGCCGGCCTTCCTTGACCTCTTTTGGGCCTCTTCACGAGGTAAAGCCTGTGTAGCCTATCAACCCTTCGGGTCCATCCACGAGTCATTTTATAGTGAGGGCCTTATTAAGGCCCTTAGATAAGGTCCTATCTCTTAACCATTAGATCAAACTAACCAATTTGATCCAACGACTAACCAGTTTGATCCAATGGCTAACCAATTTGATCTAATGGTTAAGAGATAGGGCCACACATAAGGAAGGCCCTCACTATAGAATTCTTGCAACAATATTATCTTAATTTATTTTTATGAATATCTTAATCTAGGAAAATTCAAATATCAAAAACAAAATTTTATTTCATTAATTATGAACAAATAGGTGGATAAGTTTGGGATCATCTTTTAGGTATAATATGATTTAGATTAATTAATAGGGTAAACTACAATAAACCCCCCAACCTATAGGGTCATTACGAGTTCATACCCGATTTTGAGGACATTTATGAGTACATACTTAACGTCACCGAAAACCTACAGATTGCCCCATCCGTTAGCGAGACCATCAGGAAATCTGTTAAATGCCGACATGTCAAAAGTGGGACCCCCTTTTTTTGATGACGTGGACCAAAAATTAATAAAAAATAATTTTACTGTTTAAATAATTTTAAATTAATTTTTAAAAATATCTCTCTCTCTCTCTCTCTCTCTCTCTCTCTCTCTCTCTCTCTCTCTCTCTCTCAACAACCAAAAAAGCAATAGCTAGAAGACCTCGAACACTTCCAGAAGCACATCGCCGATCGATTCTCCGACCGTTTATCTCACTCGTAAAACTTCCCCTCTGACCTAATGCTATCAATTGCGTGGGTCAGAAGCTACTCGACGTTTTTCTCCGTTGCGAGGACGAGTTCAAGGCTGTTCTGTTCATGGGTCGAGACCCATCCCAGATTTGAAGCGCCTAACATCAATCACAATAGTTTTTTTATTTATTTAAATGTTTTGCTTTATTGAAAATCCCTTAATAACGTTGAACTATAGGCGCACATTTATCAGCCCAAGTTTTTAGATTATTTTCGCAACAATTGAAATTTAGGAAGATCAATCTTTGGTTTAAGTTGTGAAGGAGATTTGCAATGCAGTAAAAGCGTTGGACATTTGCAATGCAGTCTCGCACAGGGTCGATTCCAGAAGCTGGCTGAGATTGTTGTCTATGCTCTGGAGCAGAGGCCGATTAGGGAAGGCCCGGAGCTAAAATTTTGTCAGATGAAGTTGGGGAGAGATAGCATAAATCGAGGCTGTCCTAGAGGAAGCAGCTGAACTTGTTAATGAATCTGAACAAAAGAACCAAGTTATTACAGGTGAGTTGAATTTATGATGTGTATTTAATGGAGAATCTGTATTTGAGTATTAAATTTTGGTTTGCATGTTTTTAATGTTAAATTTGATATTTGACTTCTTTTTTCTTGGACTGATTGAAGCACGTATAAAATTTGGTATGTTCTACGAAGGCAAGCAGATGGTTCATGGAGGTTCTGTGAAGGGGAAGTGCAAACACCATCATAACATTAGCCTAGTTACTGGAATGCATGAACCAAAGTAGAGGCCGATTGGGGACGACCCGGATCTTGGACCTAGAGGTGAGGTGGTGGGGAAGGGGGGGAGGCTACTGGGTTTTGGTGTTAGGGGAGGTGGGAAGGGGAGATGCAGTTGATGAGGATGGAGATCTTGCCCTTGGTACTATACAACGACAACAAGGTTGGTGCCAATGACTTTGAAGGCGGTGTGCATGGAGGGAAGGTCGGTTGGTGGGGTGTGGGAAGAGGCAGTCAGTCGGGGTGGGGTTGTTGACGAAGGCTATGGAGGAAGAGAGAGAGAGAGAGAGAGAGAGAGAGAGATTTTTTTAAAATTAATTAAAATTAATTAATTATTAATTTTTGGTCCACGTGGAAGCCCACATCATCAAAAAAAAGGGTCCCACTTTTGACATGTTGACATTTAATAGATTTCCTGACGGTCTCTCTGACGGAGGGGACAATCTGTAGATTTTCAGTGACGTTGAGTATGTACTCGTAAATGTCCCCAAAATCAGGTATGAACTCGTAAATGACCATATAGGTTGGGGGGTTTACTGTAGTTTACCTAAAATATTTACATTTTGGCTATTGCCATTTGGACTGTTCATTTTTTTCTTTTACCGTTAGATTTATTGAGATTTTATTTTGGTCATCCAATGGGATGTAGCCATGAGGTTTTCGTTCCAAAGAAAATTCTGCTTCAAAATTTGATCATCATATCACAATGGCCAAATCATTCCAACCATCAAACAAAGTCGTAGATGTGCTGCTAGTCACTGACAAAAAAACCCCCGATGGGTTTTCCTGCTTTTACTACCAAGTGGGCTCTACCATTTAGGTCGGGTTGAAATGAGGTCTGATATTTAACTCGCTCAGAGCAAGTCCATTGTAAGGCCTTTTGCCTGGGCAGGACAAGGCTTAGGTCCACAAACGGCTGTAGCGCGCAAGGGCAAGCTTGGGCAAGGCATGGGACCTACCAACCCAGACAAGCCCACATGCAAGTCCAACCCATGCTGCTGGCTGGGCAAAGTGACACAATGCTGATGTCATAATGACGTCAACAACCAATTTAAATAACAAAAAAATTGAAAAAAGAACTAAAAAATTCAGAATTTGTTCAAATTATAAATACCAAGCCATATTCTTTACCTCCCACACCCAAATTCTATACAAATTCATTTCTTCATATCTCATGTGAATAGTAATTACCCTTGCCCTTGCCTATACCCGTAGGGGTGAAAACAAAATTCTAGGAGCATTGGCAGCAAGGGGCCCAAGGGGAGGGTTGGGGGGGCAAACCCAAAATGTGGTTTCCAACAATAAGAAGCTGCCAGGGCAAGCAGTGGGGCCCACAAATGTGGGCTGGCCCGAGGGGGAGGCTGATGTCAACGCTGGGTTTAAATTTTTTTAAAGCTAGCGCGTGCAATGCACCCGCCAACTTGAAAAAAAATTTGACGCGCCACTACAGTAACCGCCCAACGGCTCTCTTCCATGTGTCTTCTGCTGGGCCATTCGATAAGCTTTTTAAACATATCCAACGGCAGCCATTTTTTCGCGAATAAAAAAATCGATAAAGCAACCCCCAACGTCTCTATGCCACGTGGAAGCTCCTGGGCTCTCCGATCAATTTTTTCCAGCAATCCAACGGCAGGCAATTTTTTGTGTGAGGCTTGGCTCTAAGTTAGTCATTGTCCCGTAACGGGCAATGAGATCAAATTCTGTCATATGTGGAAAAAAAAATTCATCAGGAATTTTGTGAAAGGGTAATTGGTTCGACCCATACGGATCAAACATTATCTAGTAGGTGGAAAATTCTTAATAAAGAGCTGGGAAAATGGAGAGATGCCTTGACAAAAGCAATGAACAACCATAAAAGCGGGGAAAACCTTAGCAGTGAGGTAAATTATTTGTAATTTTTTGTTTTATTAATTTCTATGTCATATTAAATTTTATTTAAATGTTTCTTGCAATTTATATATTATGTTAATATTTCTTGTATTTCCAATATTAATATGAATGTTTCTTGCAATATTTATATTTTGTTTTGCATTTCTAATAAATGGTTAAAGTTTCTTGCATTTCCATTAATTTTTTTAATACTTGTTGCATTGCCAATATTTTTTTTAGTTTCTTTTATTTTTTTTTTTTTTTTTTACTTGTTGCATTGCCAATATTTTTTAAAGTTTCTTGCCTTTCCCTTTTTTTTTTTTGTTTTGTATAGATTATGCAAGCACAAATGTTTTTTGGTGCTACTGGGCAAGGGAAAAAAAGTTTCAACCATACCCTATGTTGGGAGGTGGTGAAGAATTGTAAGAGATTCCAAATTATTCCAACGGGTCCAACGATAGTGTTGAACGAGATGCCACTCCATGAGACACCGACATCGGATTCCCCGATGACTCACCTATCGAAAAAGAGCCGAGGCCTATTGGGAGGAAGGCGGCGAAGGTGAAGAGAGGGAGTAATTATACCAAGAATACATCTAAATATTTGGAGGAGCTTTCAAAGATGCAAGCCATGAGAATTGAAATGGATATGAAACAACAAGAGCACGATAGGGCAATGGAAGTAGAATATGCAAAAGAAAGGGAGTATGTACGCCAAGGAAAGATTGAAAAAAATGATCGGGAAACCATGACTATGGATACAACCCATATGTCCCCCGAAACAAAACAATTTTGGAAGTTAGAACGAAGGGTTGTTATGAGACGAAGACTTTTTCGTGACGATGGACCTAGCAACACGGATTGGTTAAATGATCAAAACCATTAAGTTAGTTTGCTTGCCTTTCATTTCATTGTACCATTAAGTTAGTTTGCTTGCCTTTCATTTCATTGTATTTTTTGTTTTGTTTAAAAAAGTAGTTGTAATTCATGTATTTTATTTTATGAGTTGTATTCATTTTCTTTTAGTGAATGAAGAAAATATTCAACAACATTCCCTTTTATTCAAAACATTCCATACATAAAAAGCAAACCACAACCAAAGCATAAAAAATAAACAAACCACAACTAAAACATAAAAAAACAACAAAGCATAACTAAAAATACAACATAAACATAATACATTAAAAAAACATCTTCACTTTACTTTATTGTCCTTCATTGCCTTTCACCGCCCATAAATGCTCTATCAAGTCCATTTGACGGTGTTCATGAATATATGACGATTGCATCTCCGTGTAGCACTCAATCTTCCGATGCATGCAACTATCGTCTCTAACTAACGGATCATGCTGCACTGGTTCTCCATTTGGCCCCATAAGTTTTTCATAAATTCGTGTTAAGGCCGTGTTCATTGGATCTGGTTCATACACTTCATCAGCATCGTAATCATACTCATCTTCCACAATAATGTTGTCAAGGATGATACAAGTCATCATTATACTCCTAAGCACCTCCTCATCAAATAGACGTGCCGCTCCCCTGATAATTGGCCACCGGGCTTGAAGGATACCAAAGCACCTCTCCATATCTTTTATGTACCCCTCTTGATAGGTAGCAAAAAAATTTTCCTTGTGGGATCGAGGATGTGGAATTGATTTCACAAATGCTGTCCACCTCAGGTAGATACCATCAGCTAGATAATACCCGTTCTGGTAGACGGTATTATTAATTTGATATGTGATAGTTGGGCCTTCACCTCTCAGAACATCATTGAACACTGGAGATTGACCCAGGACGTTCAAATCATTTTGAGAGCCGGCAACTCCATAGAAGGCGTGCCAAACCCATGTATTAAAACCAGCAACTGCTTCGAGGATGATGCTTTTCTGTCCTTTCCGATTCCCATAATTCCCTTGCCAAGTAAATGGACAATTTTTCCATTGCCAGTGTATGCAGTCAATGCTACCAATCATTCCAGGAAATCCACGAGACTCAGCTTTTTGTAGAAACCGTTGCAGGTCCCTGGGCGTAGGTCTGCGTAGGTAGTCCCTGGTGTACAGATTTTCCACTGCATCACAAAATCGCACCAAGCTCTCCAAAATAGTGGACTTCCCCATTCGGGCAATCTAATCCACCTGATTAGCAGATGACCCATACGCCAACATTCGTATCATAGCTGTGAACTTTTGCTCAGGAAGCAGCCCCAAATCTCCAGCACAATTTTTCTTTTGAACAAAGTAGTCATCATAATTGCAAATATCATGCATGACTTTATTGAACAAATGGGGTTGCATTCTATATCTTTCTCGAAAATGAACATCAGAGTACAGAGATTGTGGGATAAAATAATCTTCCATAAGATTCTTACCCCGAGAATGTCTATATCTGCCCACATTCGGTGCCCAGCCTTCTCGTGAACCACGGCGGCTCTGGTTTTCTTCCTCCAGCAAAGCAACGGCCACACCAAGTTGCTCATCTAGTTCTCTCTGCGCCCTTTTGCTTGCAGCTCTTCTACGCATTCTTGCTCGCCTTTCTCGCTCTTGCCTCTCCAAAACCTCTTCCACGTTGTCTGACATTGAGAATGGAGAATGAAATCTAAAATCAGAGAAATGAAATCTAAAATATGAGAAATGAAGATGTAGAGAAGATATGGTGTGGGAGGTATGAGCTGAGCCTATGCTTTTATAGAAAAATTTAGGCAAATAGAGATGACACGTGGCGCAATTTTAGAGGGTGAAAATCTTATCTGAAATTCGAAATTCACATGAAATTTAAAATTTGAAATTTATCTGGGATTTGAATTTTGAAATGTATCTGAAATTTGAAATTTATCTGAAATTTGAAACCGAAAATCTGATCCGATATGAATAGTATTGACACGTAGGAACCCAAAAATCTTATCCGAAAATATTATCCAAATTAATTGTTTAAGTAAACAAAGTTGTGAAAAAAACAAAAAAAATGAAGTCCTACGCTGTATATATTTTACAGAACGGTATTTTCTCTTTTAAAAAATAGTATTTGCCATGGCAAGCCTTGCACTGCTGGAAACACAATTTTTTTTTGGTGCTAGGGCAGCCACTATTCACATGAATAGTACCCGCCCTAGGGCTCCTCTTGCCATGGCAAGGGGCTAACTGGTGGAAATGCTCTAAGGGCTGCCACTATTCATGTAAATAGTGACAACCCTTGCTTTGCCCTTACCTTGCCCTTGACCTTGACCATAGGGGTGGAAGTGCTCTCAAATGCATGCATTGGAGCATCTCCAGCGCCCAACCCAAATTGGGTGAAAGGCTACCAGAGAGAGCCCGAGGAAGCTCCAGCGCAAGGCCCGTAGCCCGGTTTCGTGGTGGGTCCCACGAGCCCGAGGAAGCCCAAGGGCAAGTCTTGCTCGGGAGTTTGGTGACGTCAGCGCTGGCGTCACGCTGACGCCAGCGCACGGTAACATTCAATTTTTTTTATCGTTGGCGCGTGAATTACACGCGCCAAAGGTAAAAAAATTTGACTTCCGTGCGTTGGCGTCAGCGTGACGCCAGCGCTAACGTCACTACCTGACAGCTCCAACGGGCGTTTGCCACGTGGCGCGACGGGGACTCTCGGATGGCTTTTTTCCAGAAATCCGACGGTCCTCGGTTTTTTGGCTAAAAAAATTGCAAAAAAAATCGAAAAAATTCTGAATTTTTTTTTAAAAAATACCCAAAAATTCTGTATTTTTTCTCTATAAATACCTAACCATTTTATTTACTTTCCACACTAAATCTTCATACAATTTCTTCTCCATCCAATATTTTTTACTCTTTACTCACATTATTAACTTTCCACACCAATTCTTCATACAAACTTTTCTCCTTCCAATATTTTTTTATCTCCACTCACATTTTTCACTTCCACACCAATTCTCCATACAAACTCTTCTTCTTCCAATATTTTTACTCTCCACTCACATTTTTCTACTATTTTCCATTTGTATAAAAAAACGAATGGCATCTTCTATTGAAGTCGGAGGCTCGTGGTCAACGAATGAAGATATTGCGTTGTGTCAATCTTGGGTGAACATTAGTCATGACCCTATCACGGGCAATGAGATGAAGTTTCATCACATGTGGAGCAAAATTCATGGAGAATTTTGTCAAAGATCGGGTTCTATTCGGACCGAAATGGCGTTGTCTAGTAGATGGAAACTTCTGAATAAAGAGTTAGGGAAATGGAGAAATGCCTTGACAAAAGCAAAGGCGAACATTCAAAGCGGTCAAAATTTGACCGATGAGGTAAAATATTTATAATTGCCATTTTAATCAATTCAATGTCACTTTTTTTTTAATGCATATTCTATTTGTTTTTCTTGCATAATTTTTTTTTCTTGGTGCACCTTTAATTTGTCTATATTTTCTTGCATAATCAATTTTATTTTGCATTTCAAAATAGTTTATATTTTCTTGCATAATAATTTTTGTTTCTTGCACTTCCAATTATTTATTTTTAATAGATGATACAAGCACAAATGTGGTTCGGTGCCATGGGGCAAGGCAAAAAAAGTTTCGTGCATTTCCATTGTTGGGAAATTGTGAAGGATTGTTCGAGATTCAAAATTATTCCCACCGGTCCGCCGGTTGTGATGAATGAGACGCCACTCCACGATTCCACATCAACCGATTCTCCATTGGACTCCCCAATGGAAACGGAGTCACCATTTGTGCCACGTCAGCCGAGACATATTGGGAGAAAGGCGGCAAAGGCCAAGAGAGGGGGCACTTCGACCAATGAATGTGTACAATTATTGGAGCAAATAGCTAAGAGCACCTCACTAAGAATGGAGAGAGACTTGAAAAGAGATGAAATGGACGTGGCACGAGAGGAAGCATTTGTTATGCAACAACAAATGGCACAAGAAAAAGACATAGAGGATAGAGAGATGAAAATCATGGCCATGGATACGAGCCATATGTCTCCCGAAACAAAGGCCTATTGGAAGGTACGACGAAGAGATGTGATGAGAAGAAAACTTTTCCATGACGACGGACCTAGCAATACGGATTGGTTAAATGATGAAAACCATTAGGTTGTATTGAAACACCTTTGCCATATGTTGTATTGTTGTATTATCCTTTAATTTGTTGTATTGTTTCCTTTTTATTCAATAAAAAAAGCATTAAATAAAATGACTATTTATTAAAAACATTTGAGCATCAAAACAAATATTAATTAAAAAAAACCTTCATTTATTGCAAACAACACACAAACAAACCATACATAAAAGCATAATAATAATAAAAAGCATAATTCCAAAACAAACCACACACAAAATAAAGCATAATTAAAAACAAAGCATAATTCCAAACAAAGCACTAATCTTGACTTCATCCATTGTGATTGCCTTTCATCTCCCACAAGTGCTCGACCAAGTCACCTTGACGTATCTCGTGAACATATGAAGATTATATTTCTTGATACCGATCAATCATGGGGTTGTTGAATTGACCATCCCGAAGTAAGGGTTCGGGCTCCAGTGGTAGTCCATTTGGTCCAATCGGCCTTTCATATATTCTTGTCAACGATGTGTTCATTGGATCGGGTTCAAACACCTCTTGAGCATCATAGTCATACTCATCCTCCACAATCATGTTGTGAAGGATGATGCAAGTCATCATAATACTCCGCAGCACCTCCTCATCTAGCATCCGAGCAGCACCTCTAATAATTGCCCAACGAGCTTGCAAGATACCGAAACACCTCTCCACGTCTTTCCTGTAACCTTCTTGAAAGGAAGCAAAGTTTCTTTCCTTCTCGGATTGGGGATTCGGAATTGTTTTCACGAATGTCGTCCACCTAGGATAAATTCCGTCGGCAAGGTAGTACGCACCAGAGTAAACGGTATTGTTGATTTGGTACGTGACCTGGGGGGAATGACCTCGCAATACCTCGTCGAACACTGGGGATTGACCAAGGACATTGAGGTCATTCTGAGATCCGGCAACCCCGAAGAAGGCATGCCAAACCCAACAATCGAATGAAGCTACGGCCTCCAAAATTATACTTTTTTGGCCCTTCCGATTCCCGTACTCCCCTTGCCAAGCAGTAGGACAGTTCTTCCACTGCCAGTGCATGCAATCGATGCTTCCAATCATTCCTGGGAAACCTCGAGCCTCGCCTTTTTGTAGAAGCCGTTGCAGGTCTCTTGGCGTGGGTTTGCGAAGGTACTCCCTCGTGTACAAATTTTCCACTGCATCACAGAATCTCACCAAGCACTCTAGGACAGTAGATTTTCCCATCCTTGCAATCTCATCCACCTGCTCTGCAGATGCCCCATAAGCAAACATCCGCAAAGCAGCTGTAAGTTTTTGCTCCGGGATAAGACCCAAAGCTCCAACAACATCATGCTTTTGAATGAAGTATGTGTCGTAATTACAAATATCATGCATGATTTTTTGGAACAAATGTGGCTGCATTCTATATCTTTCTCGAAACTTAGAAGCAGGATATAACGAATTTGGGATAAAATAATCCTCCATGAGATTCTTACCCCGAGACTCCCTACGTCTGTCCACATTCGGGGCACGACGACGACGGTGTTGCCTTGATTGATCCATCATACACACCGCTGCTGCAAGCAGTTGTTCCTTTTCTTCATCGGCGTCCCGATCTTCTTGAGCACGTCTACGCCGGATTTCTTCCTTTTGTTTCTGTTGCCTCTCCAACACCCTCGACAAGTTTGACATTGAGAGTAGAATGTGTTTTCTAAAATTTGAGAAATGAAGGAATAGATAAGAGATGGTGTGAGAGGTATGAGTTGATGGTGTAGTTTTATAGAGGGATTTAGAAGATAGAAATGACACGTGGCACAATTTTAGAGGATGAAAATCTTATCTAAAATCTGAGATTATAATTTTTTTAAAATATCTGAAAATTTTATCTGACATTTGACACGTGGCACAATTGTAGAGGGTGAAAATCTTATCTGAAATATGAGATTATAATTTTTTTAAAATATCTGAAAATCTTATCTGACATTGGACACGTGGCACAATTTTAGAGGGTGAAAATTTTATCTGAAATCTGATATTATAATTTTTTTTTCAATATCTAAAAATCGTATCTGACATGGGACACGTGACACAATTTTAGAGGGTAAAAATCTTATCCGAAAATTTAATTACAAAAGATTATCAAAATTAATGGTTTAAAGTATAAAAAAAATAGGAAATAAAGTACAATGAATAGTAATTGCCTTAGACTTGCCCTAGACTTTGCCCTTGTGGGTGGAACCACAAATGCAAAGGCTGACACTATTCACGTGAATAGTGGCAGCCCTTGCTTGCCCTTGCCTTAGACTTAGCCCTTGTGGGTGGAGATGCTCTTAGAGCACTTCCACCAGTTAGCCCCTTGCCATGGCAAGGGGAGCCCTAGGGCGGGTACTATTCATGTGAATAGTGGCTGCCCTAGCACAAAAAAAAATTGTGTTTCCAGCAATGCAAGGCTTGCCATGGCAAATACTATTCATTTTTTTGTTTTTTTCACAACTTTGTTTACTTAAACAATTAATTTGGATAATATTTTCGAATAAGATTTTTGGGTTAAAAGTCAGTATTGGTTGGTATTTATAGGAAAAAAAAATTCAGTATTTTTTTCGTATTTTTTTAAATTTTTTCCTTTTTTTTTATTTTTTTATTACAAATTTATAAATAAACTCAATCCTAGACATGTATTTATAAAAAAACCCAAGCACTATTTAAACATAGAAACACACCCAAAATCAACCCCAAAGTCAACTTTTTGGGTGTGTTTATAAATGGGTTTTGAGTGTGTGTAATGATGGGTTTTGGGTGTTGGGTTTTTTTATAATTTCAACCTCCATTTTGGGTGTTTTAGTGAAACTCCCTTTTTTTATTGGGCAAAAAATTGTCTGCCGTTGGATTGCTGGAAAAAACTAATCGGAGAGCCCAGGAGCTTCCACGTGGCATAGAGCTGTTGGGGGTTGCTTTTTGGATTTTTTTATTCGCGAAAAAATGGCTGCCGTTGGATAATTTTAAAAAGCAAATCGGATGGCCTAGCATCCGACACGTGGAATCATGCCGTTGGGCGGCTACTGTAGCGCGCGTCAAATTTTTTTTAAACTGGGCGCGTGCATTGCACGCGCCAGCTTTAAAAAAATTTAAACAGCAGCGTTGACGTCAGCCCAAAACGAGTTTTGTTGCTCGGGTTGGACCTCCCTAAGAGCATTTCCAGCAAAGGGCCCAAGGGGAGGGTTGGGGGGGGGCAAATCCAAAATGGGGTTTCCAGCAACAAAGATCTGCCAGGGCAAGGAGTGGGGCCCAGCTACCTGGGCTGGCCCGAAGGGGAGGCTGGCCCGAGCGCCAGCCCGGGCAATATGACGTCAGCGCTACAGTGCCCGCTACAGTACTCCTTTTCTCCAATAAAAAAATAAAAAAAATCGAAAAAAATACTGAAATTTTTTTACTTTTATTTATTTTTATATTACTCCATTTACTTAAGTTTACAATGTAAATAAGGAAGTACCCCCCATTTGGATTCAAATAAAAATACTAGAAAATCAAATTCCCACCAAATCAAAATATGAAAAATCGGTTTTAGTGCAAAATACGATTTAGGCTAAAAATGATGACTCATTAAGTCAATATATACTTCATATTAAAATCCCATAAAATCAAGTTTTCTTATTTGATGTGTAAGGAATAAAAGCCGCCAAAAATTTTCTTGAGAAAATGATTATTTCGAAAAACCATTTTTCATACTTAGTCAATATTGCACATCCGCTAAAAATCTTGAGAAAATGATTTTTTATACGTAGGAACCCAAAAATCTTATCCGAAAATATTATCAAAATTAATTGTTTAAGTAAACAAAGTTGTGAAAAAAACAAAAAAAATGAATAGTATTTGCCATGGCAAGCCTAAACTGCTGGAAACACACTTTGCTAAGGGAGGGTAGGGCAGCCACTATTCACGTGAATAGTAGCTGCCCTAGGACTCTCCTTGCCATGGCAAGGGGCTAACTGGTGGAAGTGCTCTAAGGGCTAGCCCAGGCAAATTTTTTTTGCTGGGGCCCACACCTTGCCCTGGCAGATTTGTGTTGCTGGAAACACCATTTTTCCCAATTTGGTCATTATTTTGCCCTAATTTTCTTTTTTGCGAATTTGGATTGATTCAGTTTCTGAAAATATCACCCCCCCAAAAAAAGGATCGAGACTGGCCCAAAGTTTCAAACCAAACCAAAATCTTCACTAGTAGTTTTGGACTGGGTTGGATTCTCAATTTATGTTTTGGGCTTTGTAAACTTTTCTTTTAGCAGCCTTGTTGTGTTTTTGTTTGATTCCGTTTCTTCTCTTCCATGGAAACGCACTGTTATGTTTTTTCTCTTTTCTTCCCAGATGAACGAACGCAGATGTTCAGCTGACTGTAAAATCGAAAATTCATTTTAGACCCAAACCCACAGATGCCACAACTTTCAGCAAAAACTTACTTCTCATGGCTGTTCTAGTTTCATTGACTGGCGAGACCCAATTCATTCAGAGTCTCTGTGCAGTTGTCGTAAAGGGTCAGTGGAACAACATCTTGAAACCCAAGATTGGTTCTAGCCTCAGCTCTGTAAACATTCATCAGGTACTTCTGCAACTCTCACTCCATGGCTATGGCCCTTCTCCTTCTTGGGCTTTCTTCAAATGGGTTGAATTAATTCCCACTTACAAGCACTCCTTGCAATGCTGCTGGACCATGATTCACATTCTCACTGAGCACAAACACTTCAAACCTGCACAGCAACTGCTTGAAAAAATTGCTCTTAAGGATTTCTTGTCATCACCGATGGTTTTGAATGCTTTAGTTCCAATCCAAGATGACCCAGAAGTGAATTCACATGTTTTGAGCTGGCTTGTGATATTTTTTGCAAATTCTAAGATGAACCAAGATGCAATTCAGGTTTTTGAGCACATGAGGGTACATGGGTTTAAGCCGCACTTGCATGCTTGTTCTGCCTTGTTGAACTCTTTAGTTAAAGATAGGTTGACTAATATGGTATGGAAAGTTTACAAGAATATGATCCAGGCCGGGGTTGTGCCGAATGTTCACATATACAATGTGTTGATTCATGCTTGCTGCAAATCTGGGGATATAGAGAAGGCAGACAGTTTGGTTGGTGAGATGGAATTGAAGTGCATATTTCCTGATCTTTTCACATATAATACTTTGATATCTCTGTATTCCAAAAGGGGTATGCACTATGAAGCTTTGTCTGTTCAAGATAGAATGGAAAGAGCAGGAGTTAGTCCTGATATGGTGACTTACAATTCTCTTATTTATGCGTTTTGTAGAGAAGGTAGGATGGGAGAAGCTGTAAAACTTTTCCGCGAAATCAAAGGTGCTACTCCTAACCATGTTACATACACGACATTAATTGATGGCTATTGTAGAGTTCATGACCTGGAAGAAGCTTTAAGATTGTGCGAGGTAATGAAGGCCAAGGGGTTGTATCCTGGAGTTGTTACTTATAATTCAATTCTCCGCAAGTTGTGCGAAGATGGCAGGATGCGGGATGCAAATAAACTTTTGAATGAGATGAGTGAAAGGAAAGTCGAACCTGACAATGTCACATGTAACACATTGGTTAATGCTTATTCTAAAATAGGAGATATGAGGTCTGCTGTGAAAGTGAAAGACAGAATGTTGGCAGCTGGATTGAAGCTGGATGAGTTTACATATAAAGCACTCATTCATGGATTTTGCAAGGTGCTAGAGATGGAAAGTGCTAAAGATCTTTTATTTAGCATGCTTGATGCTGGATTATCCCCTAGTTATTGCACCTATACGTGGATTGTAGATGGTTACTGCAACAAAGGGAATGAGGAAGCAGTTATACGACTACCAGATGAGTTTGTTAAAAAAGGGATTTGTGTTGATGTCTCGCTGTACAGGGCATTAATAAGAAGGTTATGTAAACGAGAAAGGGTGGATAGTGCTGAAAAGATTTTCAGTTTTATGGAAGAGAAGGGTATATCAGGAGACAGTGTTATATATACTAGTCTAGCATATGCTTACTTGAAAGCAGGAAAGTCAAGTGTAGTTTCAGTGATGTTAGATGAAATGTACAAGAGGAGGTTGATGGTTACACGCAAGATCTATAGATGTTTCAATGCATCTTATGCCAGTGATAATGACATCATACGTCTATTTTGGGATCATATGGTTGAGAGAGGCCTAATGTCAAAAAATGTTATTATTAAGGAACTGCAGCAAACGTAAATGAACGTCACAGATGTCGCTGTGAGTCTGATTACAGACTCAATCTTTTCATGCTATAGCACAAACCTCTCCGTCTGTCTTGAAAGGTGTTGGAGACTGTTATAGACTTGGGCCATTCAAATGCACATGCACTCCTGGAGAAGCTTAGAGACAATGGTAAGTGCTTGTAACAGAGTAGTTTTGCTGGTCATGCCTGAGTTTATTTTTTTCCCTCGTTGATAACCAAGAAAGTTTATGGTATTTAGTCATAAATGTTTTAGTGGGATTTCGATGAGGTAAGAATCTTGTAATGCTTGTTTATCTGTTGGAATAGCCCTATGGTCTGGAGTAACTACTCTGAAATACTGATTTTGCTTTCGGTGTGTCATGGCATCAACGCAACTAAGCAGAGTGCTCTGGTCTACTATGGATGGGGTGTTTGAATTACTATCTAAGAGAAGCCATTTTGGGCTGTGGTTAGACTCCGTGGAAATGTACATCCTTGCATGAGTGTGGCATTTGGCTTGAAGTGTTACAATGCATCGAGTTGAGGTGTAGGCTGAACATCAAAGTATGAAGAATGGGTGCCTTCAACATCATATGTGACAAAGTGGATAGATGAATTGGGAATTGTACGGAAGTGCTGAACATACCAAGCAGTTTCAGAATCCATCATCTTGCAGGTTTAAAATGACATACGTGGGGGGGCTTCTGGTTTGGCATGTGTGAAGCACAAGCTATAAATCCTAGCTACATGGTGGTGTTTATAGGTTATTGAAATTTCTGTATCTTTTTATTCATTAGATAATATATAGAATGGAAAGGGAAAAAAAGTTAGAATTGGTAGCTTATGAACTGGGAAATGTTTAAGTCATTGTCCTTCTCATTACTGATGTGCCAAACAAACAAATAGTGAATATTTTCAAACAAACTGGTTATGGTTACAGTCTCTTTTCAGAGAAAATTTCGAGTAACATTTCAGTCCTAGAAGAAAGTGGGTCAGTGTGATACGAATAGGAAAACAAAAAGAAGTGAAAAAATTTCTGTTCTCTTTGTGCCTAAAAAGCCTCTAGGACAGCTGCTAGTGCAAATATTTCGTAATCTGAACAAGTGCAACAGTCACCATGACCCTTTTCACAACCACACTCGTCCCACTTCTTCATCCTTCTGTTTCTCTGTCTTCTTTTCTCCAATTCCACGTGGTCTGCTTGAACTCGAACCTTGATCCCTACTTGTAGTTTAGGTGGTTTGACACCTTCAAGAGCATGCCCGCTTGTTGAAACCACTGAGACCCACTGGTTCAACTCCATGTTTGGTGACTCAAGGACTTCCTTCCATTGAACCTCTGCCCTCCCCAAGAGTTGTGACCCCCCAATTCTGCCAAAAACTGGCACAGTGCTCCTCCAGCGGAGCTCGAAAACTATGCTTTCTTGCTTTAGGCAGCTGTCCATGGCATCCATCTCGCTTCCAGAGCACTCCAACGAGATGGACTCGTTCCAAACATGGTTAGACTTGGCGGAGATTTCTCTAGTGTTGAGCCTAATTCTTCCCTTGTTTCCTGCTGAAATATAGTATCTGACAAACAGGTTTCCTGTGGTCTTGAACTCAGTGTTTTTGGCTTGTATGATCCTCAACTCACAGCTGAGAGAAGAAAACTGTGATGAACTCATTATGTATGTGTTTGAGAGTAGCTGTAGATAGATAGAGATAGAGGTAGAGAGAGAGAGAGGGAGGATTGATGGATTCTTTGGTGAAGAGAAGTAATGTGGCTGGTTGGTTATATATAGTGATATTGGAGGGAAGGTGGAATTGCTTTTTGAGGAAGCTGCTTTATCCATTAAATTACTAGTGTGATTAGAGTATATTATGATGAGTGAGCAGGATCAGAATGGTATTATTTTAGTGTTATATGGTTCATATTGGGGGATCAATGAGAGATTGAGTGGAAGATTTTTATGACTTATTATAAGCCCCTTGAGATTCTCCAAGAGCTGGATAGATTCATAAAAACGACCCTTGCAAGTTGAAACACTAGTGTTGGCCTACGGTGCATATAAATTATGGAGTGCTATGTTGGTTGTTCTTCCACTGCAAGATCATTTTAATTTCTTGGTTGGATGCTGCAAGATCATCTTTAAAAAAAAACAAAAACAAAAAAAAAAACAAAAAAAACAAAAAAAACAAAAAAAAACAAAAAAAACAAAAAAAAAACAAAAAAAAACAAAAAAACAAAAAAAAAAAAGAAAAAAGAATCAGCTAAGTTATCTTATTATGATGATTATTTCAGCCAAATTAAAAGCATTGAGCTCGTCTATTTATCTAATTTCTGATTTCGGCCAGTGGAGTATAGCTCTATTGGTTGAGTTCTTTCACCTCCACTTATGTAGTGGAACATCCAATGAATATTTGTGTAAAACCCCTTCCCCAGTCCATTTTACATCTAATTTCTCATTTCGTCATTCATTGGAGAGTTGACTCCACAAAAGTGTTTCCTCAAATATTATCCACTATACTTTGGTCTCCAAATTTTGTTTTGTATCATAAAACGATAGCAATGCAATGGGATAAGGATGGAGAGATGTATATGAATAATGGATGAGAGTATCACAACCATTACAACTATGAATCTGGACTGGACATTCGGGTAATTACCGACGTGATCTAAATTCACGGTTTATCAACATCATCTTTTGTTGTCAGATTATACCCGTCCAGTTGGTGATCTCTTTCGTGGGGGCAGGGCAACAAGAAGTGAGTATCTTTTTATTACTTTTTATTTTGGATAAGAAACACTAACTTACTCAAATGCTCACTTGCTTATAATGGAGGAAGTTATGAATTGAGAAAGTTAGGAATATGGAAGAGAAGGAATAAGTTTGACTCCTCGCAATACGAGTAGAACTCACATAATTTTTGCTGCTTTTGTGGTAGTAAACGAGGAAGCATGAATTACACCCTACTACCCATGTGTTAGTTGACACAGTGAAAATTAGGAATATGTATAATTCCAATACATAACTCAATCATAAGTGCTATCCATCACAAAAAAAAAAAAAAAAAAAAAAAAAAAAAAAAAAAAAATCATATAGTGCTTTTCTATATTAAAATTTACCAGATTCCATAAAATAAAACAAAAAATTACCATATTCAATTTGGATCGTATGTGGAAACAAAAGTCTATTTAGTTAACGATTGTATGACAACACAACATGTCAAATAATCTCAAAAGTCTATTTAGTTAATGATTGTATGGCAACACAACAGGTCAAATAATCCCAAAAGAGAACCCCCCCCCCCCCCCCCCCCCCCCCCCCCCCCACATAATTCAAGTAATTGTGCTTAAACTCACACATCAATATTCATTCTAGTCTCTTATAAAAATAATACTAAGAATTCATTCTTGTCTCTTATCATTGGCTTTGGACAACTTCAAAGATCGCCTTAGATTGTCTAGCCAACTGGCTTGGGTTTGCCACCGAGAACTGATAGTGCTAACTAAATACTTCTATAAACGTATCTACTTTGTTGGACCATTTGAAGTTGTACAAGTTGTGTAACAAAAAAAACAAGGGTTGTACAAGTTGAGAATAATAAAGCACCATAAGATGAACTTGAAGTGGACAAATAAAACCTTAGGAAAATTTAGTATCCTAAAGTGCAAGAAGATTTTACTTTACAACGCAAAAGGCTTAACGGGAGAAGGACTGCATTCCCTTGAAAATCCTGACCACGATCCCCACTTTACTTTTGTTATATAATAATAGGAGCTTTGCATAAAGGAGATTTGAGTTCTTGATCCTTTGGATTTTAAAATAATGGGGAAATTGCCATGGTGATCAATGGTTGAAGTGTTGGAGGAAGAGAATATGCCTCACACGTAGGAAAATGATAGTTATGGTTCTTAACTTATCAATGTCCATCTTGGGTTTATCTTCATCTTCATATTAGATTAACTCAATCTATGGCACTTTTCCTTTCCTTAATCAAATCCAATCTAGGCCTCTAAAATTTCCTTCCTTGAACAAAGTGTTGTATTTTGAACTCAACCACCAAGCCTAATTTACAAGTAAAAACTCCCAACTCAAGGCCTAACACTCCTTAGTAGAGATGTCAAACGAATCGTGATGTGCAGTGTTGGCCCATTTAAATTTATGTCACTAAGTTATTTGGGTCGGGCCGGCTCATTTATTTAATTGGGTTGTGCTACGCTGGTCCATTTATCAAAACCATTAATCCCGACCCAAAGTCTAAGTCCACATTGAAATGTACTGTGCTTGTGTCGTGCTTGGCCCATTTAACTTGAATTTCCTTTTCTTTTCGTTTAAAAAAAAACTCATGTTACCTTATTATAACTTTATACCAAAGAAAAATTATAATATGTTAATATCTTTCTTATATGTAATATGGGATTAAAAATTGAGGAGTTATTGTAGTATTTATTTATTTATTGAAGATTTAATTTGGGATTAAAAATTGAGAACTTATTATAGTATTTATTTAATGTGAAAATTTATGATTTGTTGGAAGAAGAAGCCACCAAATCAAAGTCCATATATGTAGACATCGAGAGGGAAAGAGGCTGCGATATGAAGCACATAATAAGAACCAATTATATTATTAAAAAAAAATTAAAAATCTATTGATGATACTTTTGCTGAAAGAAAATAAATTAAATAAAAGACAATTAAAAAAAAACAAACAAGAAACTGGGCTTGTTGCGAATATTGTAAGCAATTCATGTTTTTGTGAAACTTTGTAATACGAAAGGTTGAAAATGGTTTGGTTGTTGGGTAACTTATTAGCTGCTGCCACCACCATATTAGGATACAGGCTTTGTCCTTGTCCTGGTTGTTGTTGCTTCGCGTCTCCACTTTTGCTTTTGGTTTTGGTTCACTGCCTTCTATTTACCAAAAAACGATAAAAAGTTGGTGCGCCATAAGTTGGCGGGTTAATTTGCTGGTATAAACCTTTTTTCCGTGCCCACGCGGTTTTTATATTCTCCCAGAATAAAATTGCCCTTACAAGAGTCAAACAGAAACACTAGTTTGTTTTATATTTTTGTTTGTTTATCAATAAAAATTATCGCTTTTATGCGATCAATAATATCGTGTTGTTCATTAAAGAAAACAAAAGAGTTACCCTAAGAGTTTTGATAAAAAAGAAAACGGAAGAGTTATTTTGATATGTATCGTATGCATTATAAGAAAATGTAAAATGATCATAATAAAGAATGTTTAGAAGGAACTTAAACAAAGAACAAAAGCGTATCGCCAATAAGGTTTACTCTCCCATGGTACCCGGTAATTGAGCCCCTCCCCCTCCCCCATATTGTAGATAGCTGAATTTAAATGTACTATATGTGGGCATGATTGAGTTCTGCTTTTTAACAAAATGGAAAAAAGAAGGGTACCATATGGAGCATGTAAAGTAAAACTTATAATGCACTACATGCGGAGCTTTTCCTCCAAGAAAGGAAAAATTTGGCCACGTAATAAATTAGAGTGAAAACTTGTACATCCGGCCGCTAGTGACAGTAGAACAATATAGAGAGATAGCTTCATATCATGTCAATCGTTTTTAGGGGAAAGATATCGAACCTACCCCACACTTGAGCTTTCAATCTTGATGATGAATTTCTTCACCGCATAATATTATTTGTAGCCATCAAATCCAAAACTAAGAGACACAGAGTTTAATTTCTTCTCTCTACTATCCAATCCACTGCTGCTGCTTCTTCTTCTTCTTTGTTGTTTTTCATGTCTTCGCGAAAGCAGACACCTCCTAGTTTTCCATGGACGGAGGGAGAGAAATACAGCAGCAGCAACAACTTCAAATTCAAAGAAATATTCTACTTCTTCTTCACCCTAAACACTATTCCCTACGTCCTCGTCAGATGCTGTGCTCTCCTTTTCCTCTTTCTATCCGCTTCTTGGCTTCTCCTTCTCCTCTTTTGCTTCCCGCCCACAACAACCACCACTTCTTCAAACGACGTCGTCAGAGAACAAGCTCAAGTTGCTGAACCACAATCGCCATTCAAAATCCCCACGTGCCACAAAAACATGTCAGTCTATGTATACACTTTGCCGCCCCAGTTCAACCTCGGACTCCTTAGCCAATGCAACAACCTAAGCATAAAGGCCAACATGTGTCCCGCCGTTGCCAATTCCGGCCTCGGCCAGCCACTTAATTTTTCCCGCAAAGGGCACTCCGCTGTCACTAGTAGCTGGTACACCACCCACCAGTACACGGCGGAGATCATATTCCACGCGCGACTACAGAACCACCCGTGTCGCGTGCAGGATCCCACACGCGCCTCCCTCTTCTACGTCCCCTTCTACGGCGGCTTCGACGCTCTAAGCAAGTACCGTGAAGCCAATCTCACGGCCCGTGACGAGCTGACGTTTAGCTTGGTTGACTACATACAGGCTCAGCCTTGGTGGCAGAGGAACCATGGTAAGGACCACTTTATGGCCCTGGGGACGGTCGTATGGGATTTCATGCGAACCATGAGCAACGCCAGTGCCTCCTGCTCCTCCTCCTCCAAAGTTCGTACGCCCGGTACCCTCCTAAAGCTACCCGCCGCAGAAAACATGTCGGTGCTCATCATAGAGAGACATCCTTGGCAACCAAACCAACACGGCATCCCCTACCCTTCCTATTTCCATCCGTCCACGTGGCGGGAGATGGCGGCGTGGCAGAGGAAGATGAGGCTGATGGAGAGGCCCCATCTGTTCTCTTTCGTCGGTGCACGCAGAAAGAACAAGGCGGCCATCAGGAACGAGTTCATAAGGCAATGCGGTGAGTCAATTCGGTGCAAGCTCTTGAACTGCGAGGGGCCCGACGGGACAAGAAGGTGTTTGCAGCCGAGGGAGATCATGAGGGTGATGACGCGTTCTCAGTTCTGCTTGCAAGCGCCCGGCGACACACCGACCAGGCGGTCAACGTTTGACTCGGTGCTTGCTGGTTGCGTTCCTGTTTTCTTCTCACGTCACACGGCTTACAGTCAGTATGCATGGTATTTGCCTGGAGACGCAAGCAGGTACTCGGTTTACATAGACGATAAGAGCAATGCGAGTAGAAGAATAGAAGAGGAGTTGTTGAAGATTTCGAGCGAGAAGGTGAAGATGATGCGTGAAGAAATTATAGATTTGATGCCAAGTCTCACTTATGCGCATCCTAATGCCACTGATTTTGGGTTTGGGGATGCTGTGGATGTTGCACTTGCATCATTGGCCAAGCACATTGGTGAATTAATTATTTAATTAAAAATGGTACCTTACAAGTAATAATAAAAGAATTTAGGACATATTGATAGAATATATATTTTTCATCACTTATATTTTTTTATATTATATAGATTGTAATTCGTTACCAAGTTTTGTACATGTGGCGGCTATTTGGCTAGCACATCATTAAATAAGTGGGCCCTATTTGTGCCACATCATTATATTCAATGAATTTTTTATTTTTTATAGAAAAATTCTGAGATTGCATTAATAATTCAGTCAAAAAAGTCACTGACCACAAATTGCCATTACAATAATGGAATGATCTAACATGAAATTAAGACAATCTAAGACTCCTCCACTAACGATCACGCAAGATCGAAGACACTCTAGCATAGGCATTCCAACTAAGAGTACAAACTTAGGACCAAAAAAGAAAAAAAAATGCTTATTATGGAAAAATTAAAAATTGATAAAACTTGGGGGAAAAAAAAAGTCATAACAATACAAATAAAACTCTTACATAAAAGAAACAAATTAATTCTTTAATGGAGTTAATAGAAATGGGCAAATTGAGATTTGGTGTTCTTGAAAGATAAAGTGAGGCAAATCAGTTTTAAAGGCACAAAGATTCGAATTAAGTTTCAAGGGATATCAATAATTAAGCCTATATGCCATAATTAAAGTGGATCCTAAACCTTTGTCAATAGTGAGATTTGTAAATGTGATTCATATATACGATTCAGGGCTGCAAGTATTTTGTTTTTAAATTTTATTTATTCTTTTTTATGTGAAAATTGAAATTACAAAACAAAACTCCTAGGACAAGAAAGCCCAAGGTCAAAATAAAAAGAGGAACATCTTGATAAAGGAAGCCCAAGCTCCCAACTAACTTGCTATGAGAGCCCATGGCCCAGCTCGCAGTGAAGTTTGCCTCCCTAAACACATGTTGGAATCGAACAGAAGCTGTAGAAGACCTAAGGTGCCAGATATCTTGAATGATTTCTTGGATACTCCACGGGAAAGTAACTTTTTTGAGGACATTGTCAATAACAAGTTTAAAGTCACCTTCAACCACAATTTGACCCCAACCTCGATCAATAGCAGCAGTGAGACTATCTAGAAGAGCAACACTTTTAGCCACATTTATGGAATTTTCACCAATGTTATTGGCACCAACCAATAACACATGACCATCACTATTCCGAATGAAAAAACCAGTGGAAGCTTGAGAATTAATGACAGACCCATCAAAATTAATTTTAATCCAAGCTGTAGAAGGGAGGTGTCATCTAATCACCATAGGGATATCATTTTTCTTTTTAACCAAATGGTTAAGTTGTTCAGGTGCCTGATGAAGGACTTCATGCAAATAATAAAGAGATAGGGAGAAAGGGGATCACCTTGCCTAATACCTCTAAAAGGGACAAAGAAGGCCTCAGGGTTGCCATTAAGAAGAATTGAGAAGGAGGTTGTTGAAATGCAATTCATGATTATGTCGCACTAGTCAACATTGAAACCGAACTTAATTAAAGCTCTTCTGTAGTTCCAATCGAGGAGGTCATAAGCTTTCCCAAGGTCTAATTTAAGTGCCATTGCACCCAAAGAAACCTTTTTCCTTTTAAAGTCACTAAACAATTCATGAGCAATTAAGATATTGTCAAAAATAGACCTCCCAGGGGTAAAGGCACCTTGGTTTGGAGAGATACACTTAGAAAGGATGGCCTAAGTCTAGTAATGATGATTTTAGTAATAAATTTGTAAACCACATTGCAGAGACTGATAGGCCTAAAATGATTGAAAACTCAACCTTAGGAATCAAATCAATATTGGTGTGGTTTATGGGGTTGAAAGGAAGGTTATTCACAACGAAATCCTTAACAAGCTGAATAAGAAGGTGCTTAGTCTCTGCCCAGAACTGATGGAATAAAATTACATGTAAACCATCAGAGCCAGGGGCTTTGAGAGCGCCAATACTTCTAACCGCTTCAAAGACTTCCGACTCAGAAATATCACCCATAAGCTTAGAGTTGTCCTTGCTAGAAATACTAGGCTCAATCACACTTATAAAGTCCTGGATATTAGAGCTAGCAATAGGGTCTGACTCTGTAAAAACGTTTCCTAAAAGTTTCAATGACAACATTTCCCAAGAATGAAGGCTCAATCCAATTACCTTGATCATCTTTAGTTCTACTAATTTGGTTTCGTTTTCTACGAATGGTGGCTTGAATTTGGAAGAATTTTATGTTTTTGTCACCAAGCTAGAGCCAATTTGCCTTAGCATTTTGGGCATAGAACATTTCCTCTTTCTTAAGGAGGGTCTTGAGATTGGAGTTGAGCTATTTATCCTTGTTGATAAGGAAGGTTGAGGTGGGAGAGTTTGCTAATTGGGTTTGGATAAATTCTAAGTGGTTTTGGGTTTCTTTTAGTTGCTGGAAAAGATTCCCAAAAACATCAAAGTCGGTTCCACCTCCTCAAATGAACCTGGAAGGTTTTGCAGCAAGTAGAAATTTGTTGAGCTGGATTTCCTACATAAGCATGGGACCAAGATTGATTGACAACTCAAGGGAACTCAACATGGGAAAGCCATGTGCCTGGTACAACAGGTTCCGCGAACCAACTCTTTTTTAATATATAATTATATTCCTTTTCCAAAGCCTTTTTTTATTTATATTATTTTTTTAAGTCGTTTCGTTTCAACAAGTTATACCAGGTCTGACAAATTAGTGAATTATGTACTAATCATACACTAATCATGCCTTATCTCACTCTATTAGTTTGGTCAACTCCATCAAGCCTCAATTACCTCTACTCAATTTCACCATTTTTCATCCATCATGCTATAATTTTCTCCCTTAATTTAATTCATTTCATGATTCCAAAAAGAGTCGTCCGCCATTTTGGACTATGGATATGCTTTTTCAATATATATATATATATATATATATATAACATAATAATAAAGCTGGTGTCCCACACGTAGATCAACGTAACACAACCTTCACACATTGATATTCATGAGGTAAACCCTCGACCAATTAGAATCCCACACGTAGATCAAACCATAGCAGATCAACCATCTATCTATGTGCCTTGAACCTGCATCAAACGACTGAGATTATCTGTTTCTCAAAACAAAATTGTCTTCTTGTCTCTCTTCTCTCTTGCTGTTTCAGTTCTTCATGTTTTCCGAAAAGCAAAGACCTCCCTCTCTAACCAGGCGCGGTGGCTTCCTTTTCCTCTTTGTATCGGCTGCTTGGCTCGTCTTTCGGTACCCGTTCACTGACTTTGACGTTATCCAACAACAACATGAACATCCTCTTCTTAACAAAACCCAACACGACAACCAAGTCAACGAATCACCATCCACAGCCGCCATTTGCGACAAAAACATGTCAGTCTATGTATACCCTCTGCCGGCCAAGTTCAACCTCGGCCTCCTTCGCCACTGCCACAAACTCAACGTGCACACCGACATGTGTCCCCACGTCGCCAACTCCGGTCTTGGCCAGCCAATTTCCAGCGGCGGCTGGTTCGCCACCAACCAGTTCACAGCGGAGATGATCTTCCACGCACGTGTGGAGAACCATCCCTGCCGCACGCGGGATCCCGCGCGTGCCTCCCTCTTCTACGTTCCCTACTACGGCGGCTTCCACGTTTCAAACAAGTTCCGCGAACGTAACCTGACAGCTCGTGATGAGCTGGACGTCAGCCTGGTTGACTTTATCCAAGCGCAGCCTTGGTGGAACAAGCGCAATGGTCAGGACCACTTTATGGCCCTGGGGAGGGTCGTACGAGATTTCATCCGAAGGCCCAACGACCGCGACTACGGAGCCGGCCGCCTCCTAAATCTACCCGCAGTGAAGAACATGTCAGTGTTGATCATAGAGAGACATCCATGGCAAGGAAAGAACCAGTACGGCATCCCTTACCCTTCGTACTTCCACCCGTCCACGAGTCAGGAGATGGCGTGGTGGCAGAACAAGATGAGGAAAGTCCGGCGGCCCTACTTGTTCTCCTTCATTGGCGCCCCCAGAAGGAAGGCGGCTATCAGGAAAGAGTTTATAAGGCAATGCGGCGAGTCAACTCGGTGCAAGCTCTTGAACTGCGGTTCTCCTGACGGCCGCAGCAAGTGCGGCGAGCCTAGTGAGGTGCTGAAGGTTATGTCCGAGTCTCGGTTTTGCCTGCAGGCGCCCGGTGACTCGTTTACTCGGCGGTCAACGTTTGACTCGGTGCTTGCGGGTTGCATACCGGTGTTTTTTTCACCTCACTCGGCTTACACTCAGTATGGGTGGTATTTACCTGGAGAGAGAAGCAGTTACTCGGTGTTCATAGATCAGAAAAGCAAAGCAGTGAGAGAATAGAGGAGGAGCTCATGAAGATTTCGAGTAAAAAGGTTAAGATGATGCGTGAAAAGCTTCTGGGTTTGATCCCAAGTCTTACTTACACCCACCCCAATGCGACTAATTCTGGGATTGGGGACGCGGTTGATGTTGCACTTGTATCATTGGCCAAGCAGGTCAACAAAGTTATTAATTAATTCTTTGTTTTTTTATGTTTATTGAATTTTTTTATGGGAGAGGCATTGGTTGGTTGGATGAGATATAATAAAACATTTCTTTTTCTTTTTCTTTTTCCAATTGTTTCTGGGGAAAGAATCAATACCCCTCCTCCTAGTTGTTTTAGATTTATTTTAAAGTTTTCTTTTCTGTCAAAAGATGGGGGATTTATTTTAAAGTTTCAGGGGTATAGTTAAAAATTGTTTCTGGAAACCAACAACCTCTATCTCTCTCTCGTTGTTGTGCAGCCATTAAGTGCCCGTTTGACATTGCTTATTTGAGAAGCCCAGCCCGTTTGGTAAACTATGAGAAAATCACTTATTGTTAAAAATTGTTGTGAGAGAAAGCTATAAGGGAAATCAGCTAATGAGGTGCTTTCATTTTCTGATTATGCAGGATTCAATTTCGAAGAGGCGCTAAGTTTAATTATTATGCAGGAATTAGTACCAATAACATTTTTAACAAAAAGTTTACGAAATGCCAATCTGCTTTCTCTCACAGCAAATCTGACAACAATTATTTTCACAGCACAGCAATGTCAAACTGACCCTAAAGTAGCGAACGGAGTGCAACGTTCAATAAGGAATGCTGATAGTGAAAGAATTTCTAAACATTATTTTCTATTGTTCCTTATTTTTTTTATTTTTTTTAAATTTTCTATTGTTTTCTTATTTTAATTTATAATTTTTTAGGAAGTTGACTTTTCCACTCCCCGTTTGTTAGCTTATACTCCCTTTTTAAAAATATTTTTTTAAATATTTTTGTTCTTTTCTGTTATTTCTCTTTCCAATTCTACCCTTACCTTGCATTAACTTGGGTTTATTTCACTCTAAATTTTCAGCTATATTAGAGGGTTACTCATATTAGCTTAAGACATGTGTATGTAAAACATTGATAATAGATGGAGTTATCAATATAACGTATGTAAGGTCAAATAAAAATTTGGCAGATCCATTTACTAAGGGACTCTCTAGAGATATGGTAAAAAGTACATCTAGTGGAATGAGGTTGAAACCCTTTACTTAAATCACCAGTAATGGTAAACCGACTTTGCCTAGAACATCACTACACCAAAGTTAAATGGATAATAACAAGTTACTGATAAGTGATTTGAATAAGCACTGAATAAATTTATATACCCTAGTTTAGGATGCTCAGTGCATACTGCTATGATAGAGAGGATGAGTTTATTAAACTCTTAGTGACGTATGATTGTTTTTCATGTCCTCAATAGCAAGGACATATCATGAGTAACCTCACCTATATAAATATAAGAAGTGGTACTGCTTATAAGAGAAGTTTTTGGGTGTTTCTCTTGTAAATATTTATGAAACCAGGAAGTAGCACACGACCATAATAGTGCTTACTCAGTTCAGAATTTTTTACAAGGAAATTTTAATGTGATCATGTGTGTGGTATTATCCGGTTTTGACAAAATGGATACACGGTTTAAGGTATGGAAAGGCCACCACTGTCACCGTCAAATCTTTGAAATATTTACACTAATTGAAGGTTAAAATCAAAAGATACCTCTTTGTATACATGAACATATAAAGATGATTTTATTGAGGTGTTTAAAGTATATTACAATTTTGATGAGAATTATTGTTACTGTAATATATGTTTATAATCGGTTTGAATGAGAGAATGATATTTCCATTATATACATATTTTGAAATATGAAGGAATTGTTAGAGATTTCAAAAAATATATATATATGAATAGATATGTGATTGATTGCATATATTAGTGATGAGTCGTTGGTGCATTGTGAAACAGAGTTATCCTTTGAAAAATATCCCAACAGTTGTGAACTTCGGGTATTGACAGTTATATTCAATAAGAGACATCTGTTCGCCGAAAGAGTGTTTTGGCGCCTCTTCACAAAAATCAAATGGGTACTTTTGCCACTCACTGGAATCTATAAAAACCCCACAACGTGGGACTTCTAAACACAACAAAAATAAATCTCTCTCTAAATCTTCTTCTCAATATATCATACAATTTTCTTTTAGAAATTCTAAAGGAATTTTAGTTTTTGCTAAACTCTATAATCCCAATCTTTGTTGTATCATGTGAGTGATTTGTCTAGAACTCATTAGCAAACTCTATTGAGTGGGGGCAAATATCACTTTAAGAAAAACATAGTAAAGTGCCTCAAAGCCAAATTTTCTGTCTATTCTCAACTTAATTTCCAACTGTTTGATTCTTCAATTTTGCTCAAGGCTTGGATACTTCGTCCCTTTGGGCTCAAAACCTTGCCTCAATGGGGCATTGCCATGTCATTTCATTTTGTGGGGCGAAAGGGGGAAAAATTAGGTATAAACAATTGCACGATGAATGAGAATTAAATTTATGAGCTTTAGTAAGTAAGTTATTTTGGAAAGGATGTTCATCCATGAGTATTTTAGAGTATGTGTTCTATAGAAACATTTGGGTTATATTCAATTACTGTCACTAATATTTATGTTCACGATGATAAAATGTTTTATCCATATGTAAGGTTACAAATTATAAATGACAAACAAAGTCGAGTCCACAGAGTGACAAATGCAGCGCAGGTAGCCTGTTATGTTCTGTTTATTTGTTTATGGAATGTCTTATTTGTATTGAACAAAAGAAGATCAATCATTCCATTTTCAATTATTTCCCAATCAAAGACAACTTGCACAACATGTTCCGCGAAACTCTTTTTAAAATCATATTCCTCCTGCCCCTGCCCCACCGACCTTTTTTCTTTATTTGGTCAAGTTACAGTTGTCACCACCGTGTACGTTTATTACGAGTAACCGCTCTCACAAGATTAGGACACGTAGACGCATGCACGTGCTTTGAAGTCCTTGCCTTTTGTCTCATTCAAGTTGGTGCTGCCACACCCACACCACAGCTTCTTTAATTCTTCTATTGCGATAGGACATAAATGCCCTTGCACCACCGTCAAACACAATGTATTGTGAAAGTAAACAATCACATAAAAAAAGAAAATAAAAAGAACTGTTTTACCATGAATGAAGGCGTTTTCCCAACAAGGGTTGAGGGTGTAGGCAACAAATTATATGTGTCTTTCTCTCTGACGGAAACGGAACAATAGATAACCTTCATTGTCCGTCGGCCCCGCCACTTGACCTTTCTTAATTAATTTCTGGCTAAATTTCTCACCAAGATTGCTGACCACTTTGCCACTTTGTGCCCATGCACCAAGCCAATCACATACCTCTCTCTGATGCTTCTCCTTCTTTTTTCCTTTTCCTTTTCCTTTTATTTTATTGAAACGCAGTCTCTTCTCTCTCTCACTGCTACTTAGCATTCACCAAGTCTCTCTCTCTTTAAAATTCTAAGTATTGCCATACCTTCTTCTTCTTCTTCTTCTTCTTCATGTTTTCAAGAAAGCAAATCTCGCCTCCAAATACTCCATTGGAGGAGGAGAAAGACAAGTACTATTATTCAAAATATAAAGAAACCCAATTCTCCCTCAACAATCCCAATTTAAAGTTTGCTGCCTTAGTTTTTGTCTTCCTATCTTCTTGGCTGCTTCTTCTTCTCTTTTGGTTCCCACCCAAAACCACAAACAATGTCGCTGTTCTCCATCTCGCTCACAAAACTCAAAATCCCGAAACCATCAATCTCACCACCGCCGCCGCCACAAAATCGCCGTTTGAGGTTCCCACGTGCAACCCAGGCGTCGCAGTTTACGTGTACCCTCTGCCGCCCAAGTTCAACACCGGGCTTTTGAGCCGCTGCAAAACCCTCAACGTGTACACCGACATGTGTCCCCACGTGGCAAATCGCGGCCTCGGCCAGCCCCTTCCCAAGCTTGGCTCCTCCGCCGACTGGTTCGCCACCCACCAGTTCATCGCCGAGATGATCTTCCACGCACGTGTGGAGAACCACCCCTGTCGCACCCTCGACCCCGCACGTGCCGCCCTCTTCTACGTCCCCTTCTACGGCGGCCTCCACGCCTCCAGCATGTTCAAGGAGGCCAACCTCACCGCTCGCGACGAGCTTGCAGTTGACCTCGTTGACCACCTCCAGGCGCAACCCTGGTGGGCGAGGAATAGCGGTAGGGACCACTTCATCGCCCTGGGGAGGACCGCGTGGGATTTCATGAGGGCCACCGACGGTCCGGATTTCGGCGCCAACTCCCTCCTCAACTTGCCAGCTGTCAAAAACATGTCGGTGCTGACCGTGGAGCGGCACCCCTGGCAAGGCTCAAACCAGCACGGCATACCCTACCCTTCCTACTTCCACCCCTCCACGTGGCAGGAGATGCTGACGTGGCAAAACAAAGTGCGGGAGATGAAGCGGCCAAACCTGTTCTCCTTCATCGGCGGGCCCCGCAAGGGGTTGGAGAAGGCGGCGATCCGGAACGAGTTCATACGGCAATGCGGCGAGTCGACTCGGTGTTTGCTCATGAACTGTGGGCCCAGTGGGGCCAGCAAGTGCCACGAGCCCGGCGAGGTCTTGAAGGTTATGACCGAGTCGACGTTCTGCCTGCAGGCTCCCGGCGACTCGTTCACTCGTCGGTCAACGTTTGACTCGGTGTTGGCGGGCTGCATACCGGTGTTCTTTTCGCCGCACACGGCGTACACGCAGTATAAATGGTTTTTACCGGAGGAGGTAAAAACGTACTCCGTCTATATCGACGAGAAGAGCCCCGCGAGTAGAAAGATAGAGGACGAGTTGTTGAAGATATCGGGAGAGAAGGTGAAGGCGATGCGCGAGAAGCTCGTGGATTTGATACCGAGTCTTACCTACGCGCATCCGAACGCCACAGATGTTGGGTTCGGAGACGCCGTCGACGTGGCGCTTGCGTCGCTGGCCAACCACGTGAGCAAAATGATGAATTAATTCAATTAAATTTTTGGAGCTGCGAATTGGATTGTGTGTGTGTTGAGTTTGGGAGAGATGAACAGTATTGGGACGTAGAAGGTGGAGGTTCAATGAATTAATTGCTTTATGAGTTGGACCATTAGACCTTCCTTTTTAGCCTGCCGACAGTCCAGTTCTCCCTTACTCACCGTCTTTTTCTTATTTTGTAAAGAACATTTCTATTTATTTCTTCATAAATATATTAAAAGAATTAATTAATTTTTTTTTAATTAGTCACATATTTGTATTGATTGTGAGACACAATACTTTCTTGTCAACCGATTATATTGTTGAAGTGCAATTTTAGAGCTTGATCAAGCAATTATATTGTAGAAGTACAATTTTAATGACGAATTTGATGACACAACTTCAAGTGTCTGAATGTATTTTTCTTGAGCTACAAACCTTTTGCATTTGTTGTTTTCGTTTAGAAGCCGAGTGTTTGAATGTTTTCTTGAACAAAATGAGTCTATTGGCATTCAGTCTACACTTACATTTTGATCGAAGAAGAAAGTAGTGATTCAAATTCCATAAATGAGTCTATTTATGAAGAAGTTCTTTTTATATTTTTGATGAATTATATTTGCATACCCAAACTGTGATTCGGAGAAAAGATGAACATTTGCTTATTGGGAAGGAGTATGTGATGAAACTGTTAAAAAATTCGTAAGGGAATCAAGTGAAATACACGAGGCAAAAAATGAAGGTATTTTATTATAACAAAATAGTTATACGACAAAGAATTGGACGGTAGCTAGGATCTCTATTTTATCATACAAAATAAAAAGAATAATGGGCGGCGACAAACGTGGCCCCTCCCTTCCACATATAATAAACTAAAGTCAGAAATCGAAAAACGTGTGTAAAATATAATTCACAAATGACAGAAATATATATATATATATATATATATATGTGGATTATTCGGCTCGCAATTGAAGAATCTCCTGGATGATGTTCAAAATCAAAAACATGCATCCAAAACGCAGCAGCAGCACAAGGCAGCACAGCATCCCTTCCAGAAGCCATCACCTTTTGACTTCGTTTCTACGGCGACATGTCCATGGGGATTTGGGCCATCTCTTGTTGGATAACCAGCAGGTGGTGGGGCCTGCACATAATAAGGACCTCGAGCTGTGGAATGAGGTGGGGGAGGATATGCTGCGCCGGAGTTATTAGCTGATGAACTCATGATCTTTGAATAATAATATTCTAAGGCTCTTTGGAAAAAAACCGATCAGACAGAGAAGAAAATAATGAAATTAAGGTAGAGAAGTATTTGGGTTTTGGTTATTTGGGATGGATAGTTGATGAGATGAAGCGCAGTTTATATAGCAAGAAAAGCAGATGAGAATTGTTGGAGTGGTTGTTTCTTAGAAGCTCGATTGACACGGCGTAGCTTTGATTATGTGGCGAAGAAAAATCACAGCACAAGATTGGCACACGGCAAAAGCCTACTATAAGGCTTCTAGAAGTATTCTTTGTTCATATTTGCCTTTTGGACAGGAAGGTCAAGGCACCTACGTAGGAAAGATGAGTACAGACACTTTCGGAAAATAAAAACGGACCCTAGCACTATATCTGAGACAAGGCAAAGGGCTTTATTATAAAGCTACCACAACTATATTCTTGCCCAAATAGGTACCAACTATTGAAAGTAATGGAAATTGGGGTTTAACACAAGCATTTTTGTTAGATATCAAATGATGCCTACTCATGTGTATAGACTGTACAGAAGTTTAAAGTAGTAGTATACCTACCTACTTTACTACTTATACAGTTGGCAGATTTTCAAACCACACTCAAAACTGTGCATGCTCTAGTTTTAGAGCAAGGGCAGCGCTAGGGCCCTGCCATGGCAATAAGGCCCGCCCCCCTCTCCCCCCCACCCGGCGCGGGGGCCACAATTTTACAAACCCAATTCGGGCAAGCCATGGGATCCACCAGCCTAGGCAAGCCTACGAGCAAAACTAGACTGGTCTCTTGCCCGAAGGCGCCGCTGACGTCAACAAGCCAAAATCAAATTTTTTTTTACCATTGACGCATGAATTTGATTTTGGCTTGCTGACATCAGCGTGACATCACGGCTAACAGGCCTCAACGAGAAGATGCCACATGGCGCTTCCTAGACGCTGCGATTGAATTTTGTCCAGAAATTTGACTGCATTTGAAAAAATAAAAAGAAATTTTTTAAAAAAATACCAAAAAATTCTGGATTTTTTTCCCTATAAATACCTAACAATTTTATTCACTTTCTACACCAAATCTTCATACAAACTTTTCTCCTTCCAATATTTTTTAACTTTCACTCACATTTTTCTACTACTTTCCATTTATTAAAAAAAAATGGTCTCTTCCATCGAAGCCGGAGGGTCATGGAAAAACGTTTGAAGAGATCAATTCTTGGCGACAAGGTAGAAAAGAATTAATTGCCGTTTTATTTAATTTAATGTATTTAAAAAATATATATTTCTTGCATTTCCAATTTCATTTTTGTAATAGATTGTTCAAGGCAAAAGAAAAAAATAGGAAAACCATTACACATGGCTTCTCAAGTGAACAATGCCCGCAGTCGATTCCAGTGGTGCGTTCCGTGTCGAAAAAAATGGCACTATTACGTCCTCCTGAGGAAAATACTCCCCCACATCGTGATCCGGTGGAACCGCCTCCGCCAATGATTGAGTCGTCCTTGTACTCGATTGTATTAGACTATGAGGACCGAGAGTATCTCAATTGTATGATGAGTGAGTAGGTATTTCAATCGTATGATGAGTGAGATGTGAATTTTATAATAAATATGGACACGTGGCAACCGAAAATTTAATTCGAAAATTTTATCTGAAATTTTAGATGAGAATTTTATAATAAATAGTGACACGTGGCAACTGAAAATATTATTTGAAAACCTTATCAAAATTAATGGTTTAAGTATAAAAAAATAGAAAATAAATTAAAGTGAATAGTATTTGCCCTTACCCTTTGGGGTTGAACCAAAAAAGGCAAGACTGCCACTATTCACGTGAATAGTATCAAACATTGTCTTGCCTTTGCCTTGCCCTTGCCATTTGGGGTAGAGGTGCTCTTAAAGTGTAGTACTAGTCAATCCATATCCACGATGACCCACACAAAACTGAATAGGGACTATTTTTCAATCAAGGGGTGGAGATTCAAACTTAGGCCTTCTTTCAACTTTGAGAACATTGAAAAAATGGTGTTTGAATTAAATCCCTTCTTTTTGTGATTTAATTCATTTATTCAGTTTGAATTTTTGACTTTATTGTATGGTCCATTAATTGCCACATAGGTGGTTGCAAATTTATCTATCATTGTACAAGTCTCAAGCTTTTCTCTTAGAATAATGCTACTTTTAGCATATTTGTATATCACATTCTCATACCATCTTATGTGGCAAATGAGATGGACAACTATATCAATTAAAATTAATTTAACATTTTCTTTTCTTTTATGATTTATTGACACTTTTTAATTGATGTGGTTATATACTTCATCTACCACATAAAATGGTATGGGAATGTGGTATACAAATATGGTAAGATTAGCATTATTCTTTCTCTTAAGAAAAGAATCTAAGAAATATCAAAATATATTTAAGGCCATCTCCAACCTAGCATGTCAAACCTAAAAAATTCTAAATTTGAGCTCAATTTCTCTCCCAACCCAAGAAAAGTAAAGGGTTGAAATTTGGGAAAACTCAAAATCGAGGAGGACTACCAGTCTAGCTATTGCCTGGACTGGAAATTTTTTTGGTGGAGCCCATTAAGCCATGACGCAGCCCATGTGTAAGGAGGAAACAATGGGGCATGCCGCAACTGTGCTGCAGAAGTTGTCGTGCTACGTGTCTGAAGCGGGTGATATTGTTGTTGGAATCCAACGACACAATCCAAACATCTCCTTTATTTATTTATTTCAACAGTAACCCAAATTAACGATACAGATTAAATCTAACGGTCAAAATAATATTTTTAATTAATATAAATCAGATCCAACCCCAAAAACTCACTCTGAACTCTATAAATACCTACCCATTTCTCAAATATTGTACCAAAAATATTTGTTCTATTTCTCAATTTATTTTTCCTTTCTCAATTTCATCTATCTCCTTTCATTCTTGTTGAAGATGTCCACAAAATCTATTTTCAAAGAGTGCCATTGGTTTTCAAACACATCATCTTCTTCATTCTCATACTTTTCATCTCATTTCAAGCTTTCAATGGATAACCGTGGCAAGACCATCTTTTCCTTATGTTTGATGATGATTTCAATGATGAGGAACATCATCACAGAGTGATACAAGCTATTGTCCGCCATATTTATAGAAACTTAAACACAAATTTCTTATGTAGTAAATGAGTTTTGGGTGTGTTTCTAAAGTGCATTCTATGTGGGAATTTTTTTTTATAATTTCAGCCCCTATTTTGGGTATATTAGTGAAGCTCCCTAAATTAAATGAGACCCCTTCCTTATTATACAATAAAGCTTAATATGAAAGGATGTTATTTTATTTTTGCTCATTCATTCTTTTTTATTTAAACATAGTAATGATCATTCTAATAAAGCAAAAGTACATGAATCATAAAAAACAAAAATCATATTTAGGTCCATGTATAGTCAGATAGCTTCTAACATTTAACAAAACAACTTATTCTTTGACAATAAGTTCTCAAGTATCTTTTTTTTTTAGGGCCGAAAGGTGCTAATTAAACCAATAAAGAGAATTAACAAACCACCTAACAAAAGATAGAGGCCAAGCCACAACAACAAAAAGCAAGAACAAAATCCAACAGAGACCAGCATATAGGGTTTAGGGTGGGAAAAAATAGTTTACTAGATAGGAAAAAAATATAAAGAAAAATTCATAAATATGATTACCTTTTTAAATTCTCATGTTCCTCTCTTCTTGATTACCATCAATCTCAAAGACAAAGATCAAAAAAGAAAAATTGTAAGCTTTTCAATGAGAGATCGATTCTTAAGATTACAATATGAGAAAAGAGGGATGAGAGAAACTGAAAATAATGGATGGATTGAAGAGAGATTGGAACATAAAATAATATAATGGTGGATTAAGAGCTCGGTGGATTAAATAGAGAGTATGTTCTTCCATGGAGAAACTAGGAGTAGGCGTGTGGGAATAGTGAAAGCGTGTTGGGATTTCTTCTCGGAAGAGGAATTGTGTTTCCTCATTTAATTTCACCGTGTGTGTGTTTTTTTTAAGTTGGACGCTTGTATAAAATATGTACATACATATAATATATATATATATATATATAATTTGGGGCCCCCTTAATTGGACGCTGATTACAATGCTACTTTTGGCTACAATTCTGTTTTGTTTTTATTATGTACTTCAAGCAAGATACAAAAGCTCATATTTAAGCAAGGCATAGAACTTCCTAGAACAATATAATTAAATGCTAACCACCAGCTGCTATCTAACTCTTAAGCAAACATTAACATAGCAGATGTCTTTTCTAGAAATTTTAAAACTAGTTATGGAATTTTCAAAATTAACTCAACACTCTGATGTTCTATTGTGTTTGTTTATCAATTGTGGTATCGGATGATTGTATGCTCCCACATAATCAACTCATGACAATGTATATGTATTCGCCATACAGCTAGCTTATACCAATTTGAACCATTCATCAACTGAATACAGGAATGCGCGGTGCTACATGTCAAGCTATTTAACACTTAATAAAACTTGAAGTATCTCTTTTTATTTGAATAAATGAAGGAATTTTACTATAAGAATAATTCACAAACGAATAAAGAAATATATGATTATTGGACTCAATTCAAGAAGAATCCCCTTGGGAAGATGATGTTCAAAAACAAGCATCCAAGAGACAACAACAACACAAGGCAGCACAGCATCCTTTCCAGAAGCCATCACCCTTGGACTTGGTTTCTACAGGTCCATGATGAGCAGAAGCAGGATTTGGAGCATCTCTTGTGGGATAACCAGCGGGTGGCGGAGCCTGCACGTAAGAAGGTCCCGGTGCCAGTGCTGTCGAATAAGGTTGGGGATGAGGGTATGCTGCTGCTGCTGCTGAATTAGTCGACGATCCCATCTTAGTTGAAAAATAAGCTAAGTAATTGTAGTTTGGGTTTGGTTTTGTTGGATGGTTTAGTTTGATGAATGGAGCCCCATTTTATAGATGAAGAAAAGCATATGGGAATTGGTTTCGTTTCCTAGAAGGTTAATAATTCTAGTGTGTCTTAACGCGGGTAGCCACCCGCGTCAAATCCTATATGCATATGGAGAAGAAAAATACAAAATGTTCTTTGTTTTCGTTACTTTTGGACTTGGGGTAGGGTCGAATGGAAGCTACATAGGAAAGAGCACATTATATAGTCAATTCGTGAGACGATATCCAAGATAATATATAAAATTTATATTAATTTTTTAAGTTTTTTTTGCCGTCGCATTTTTATCAGCAATTAAATTTATTCATGTTTTATAATTATCTAAGGTTCAGGAGAGTGAAAAAAGGATCTCGACTTACCTTGTGTGTTTTGATATTTTATTAGGCGTATGTATACCGTATTAGGGTACACCGTATATCTATATCAGGTCTGAATAGCCGCTGGCACAAAGGTCACAGTATACCAAAATATCGAAGTGTGTATGAAGAACAAAAGCAAGACGTTCTGATAGAATATATTCTTTCTCAAATTAGGGCTTGTATATTTTGTAGGCAATTGAATATATCTAGGCCCATGTCTCCCCAGTTTCACATCAAACTAATCTGTACAACTTACATAAATACAAGTCCATTAGCTAGATCAATATACTTAGATTGGACCTAATTATTTATAGGACATCCAAGCCACTTGCAACAGACAACCAGTAACATCCAATCTCCCTTTAAACAGAAGAAAAAGAAAAAAGAAAATAATATATGTGGTATCTGGACCTGACCTGCTCCATAATACTAATATTACAAAACATGCCAACGGTGGAGAAGAAATAAAGGCACCAGAGTGTCGTGGTTGGGGTGAGGGATTGAACATCCTGGCCTAAAAACGAACATACCCCGAATGAAACTACCGAACAAGACATCCTCCAAATGAACCAGTCTCGTACGGGACAAGGAGGATCTGGTCGGTGTCGCAGGAAATAGGAATGATATTATAGCCAAATTACGAACCACCACCTCAAAATAACACACAAGTGTTCTTGTTAGATCATCCTTGTACAAATGCAATGCTGCTTATGTGTATAGACGGTATATAAGTTTAAAGTAGTATCTCCTTTAATACTTATACAATTGGCAGTTTAAATTAGTATTCACATCCATCACGGCCAATTGAAACTGAATATTGACTTTTTTTAAAAAAAATCATCAAAGGAGGAGATTTGAACTTAGGACTTCTTTCAAATATTTTTTGTTTAGTTTGACTTTTTGACTTTATTGTATGGTCGATCAATATGCCGCATGGATGGTTAGGATTTTATCTATCCTTGTATAATAAGCCTTAGGCTTTTGTCTTAAGCAAAGAATCTGAGAAATACCCAAAACTGTCTAAGAATTGCACCATAGAAGTTTTACTCAAACAACTACTCCATCTTCCTCTGTTTTTCCTTCTGAAACTCTTCCTCAAATCTTCTATTGTTTATCTATTATGGTGGTAGTATCGAATCGAATGACATAAGCGTTCTATTATTGTATTGATATTAGATTGAACGGCCAGTATACATTTTCCACATGTTTGGTCACACGTTCTCCCACATCATCAACTGATGACATTGCATACCCCACCCAGCCTAAAATACAGTTAATAACTTCAGAATTTGAATCATTCATCAACCGGGTTCATGTTTTCTTTCTTCTTCTTTTTTTTGTTTTTTGTTTTCAAGTGAATTCGTGAATGTACGGTGTTAATATCATAACGTGAAACTATTTAATACTCACAAAAACTTCTCTCTTTTATTTGAACAAATTAAAGAATTTTACTGTACGAATAATGCAACAACAAGAATTACATAATCGAATAATAACGTAAAAGTTAAAAAAAGTGAGGAAAACATAATTCACAAACGAATAAAGAAATATATGATTACTGGGCTGAATTCAAGAATCACATAGGATGATGATGCTCAAAAACAAGCATCCACGAGACAACAACAACACAAGGCAGCACAACATCCCTTCCAGAAGCCATCACCCTTGGACTTGGTTTCTACAGGCCCATGATGAGCAGAAGCAGGATTTGGAGCATCTCTTGTGGGATAACCAGCAGGTGGCGGAGCCTGCACGTAAGAAGGTCCGGGCGCCATCGAGTAAGGCTGGGGATGAGGAGGGTATGCTGCTGCGGAATTAGTCGACGAACTCATCTTAGTTGAAAAATAATAAGCTGATTATTAATTTGTAGTTTGGGTTTGGTTTGTTGGATGGTTTGATTTGATGAATGAAGCCCCATTTTATATGTATACATGAAGAAAACCAGATGAGAATTGGAGTGCTTGTTCATTTCCTAGAAGGTCAATAATTAGTGTCTTAACGCGGGTGGCAACACTACACCGCGTGCAGATCCAAAATGTATGTGGAGAAGGAAAATACAAAATGTTATTGTTCTTATTACTTTTGGACTAGCCAGTGGAAGGTTCGTAGGAAAGAGCAAATCATATTTATCCAACTCGCTAGAGGATATCAAACATAGTTGACTTGGAAAAAAGCTTTGGCTCCTTCTAAGAATAAATGGGTTTTTGACACTTGTCATTTTCATTTCATTTTATTATTTGTGAAATTCTTTTAACTTTTTCTGTTTTGAAATTTGACAAGTGTCAAAATCCCATTTATTTTGAGGATGAGCTCCTTCTTAGTTTTAAAGTGCCAACTTTTGTGCGTCTCGCTTTCTAGAAGTATTCTTCAAGATGGTAACCTCCTCCGTTGTTTGTAGGTTAAAGCCCAAACAGCTTAGCAGTCATTTGATATTTATCCTTTACAAATAAATTATAGTTTCACACGTGGATAAAACTTTTTATATTAAATTTTTTAGTTTCTTTTTTTGCCGTCACATTTGCATCAATGATTTCATTCACATTTTATAGTTATATAACAACACTAGTGCAGGCAGGGGCTTAGCCAAATTGGTTAGAGTAGATGTGCTTCATACTCTACACTCGAGTTCAAATCTCCCTCTTTGTAATTTAGATTAAATTGAAATAGATTATCGCTTGTATCAAAAATAACAATAGTAAACACGTGGACACATGATTTTTATTATACTTTTTGCAATTGTATTTGTCCAAGAAATTGTTTTCCATATCTCTATAATGAGATTTTAATACTCTATCAAACTGAAGAGCACATATAAGAGCATCTCCAATGCAAATATGTAAAAATAAGGATGTAAGTGACACTTTTACATCTTCGGTGGTATCTTGATTGGAATATTCCAAAATGTAAAACCAATTTGCTCCAGAGGGAAATGTAAAATCTTGGGATGTTAAATATGCATTTTCAACCCGAAATTTACATTCTCCCACTACAGAGGTAAAATGTCAAAAAGTGTATATTATATTTTTTGGACCGTCGGATTTTTTTTCCTATTGAATTTAATTAATGTTATGTTTAATTTTAATTTTCTAACGTCATAAAGCTTTTCTATTTACTTTTTGCATTGGAATTCATCCGACATATTAAGGAAATGAAACATCAGTCATTGTTTTTTGTTTCGTATTATACTAGTTAAGATTGTTGGGTTAAGCGATATGTCCCACATTGGGAACGTAAGCCTCTATAAAATATGGTCTGACCCAAAAATAAAGGCCTCCATAAAATATCTTTTTATACCGTGACCAATGCCCCAGTTGGTTCTATGCATGTGACCCGCTATCAGGAAAAACGAAGTGCAATAACTAAATGATGGTGTGAGTCAGCCATGACCTCCAGTTACTAGATCTAATCCTCTACAAAAAGTAAAAAATTCCATATATTTTAACCAATTCAAGGTGGAAAATGGGGTTGCTCCCTCAGTAGAACTGGGATAAAGTTGAGCCAAAAGATCCCGATTCGAGATAAATTCATGAATGATTTCCTTATATTAGCTGCAAATGAAGAAATTTTATTATAAGAATCATTATACAATAAAAAGAATTGGACAATCGGTACGTAGGATGGGTTTGGGTCTTTCAGTTCTCCAATTAATGAAATCCATTTTTGTAACCATTTCAATTTTTACTGCAACTTACATGAAGAATATAGAAATGCATTAAACAATAAATAAACAAACAGTGCCTAATTGATTGATTAACAAGTTGCTTATCTTGCGTTGTTGAATTTGGTGAATACCAAGTTGGATCTCAGATTGCATTGGTGAATACCAAGGTGGCGACCGCTCTGCTGGTCTTAGGATATGGCTATGGAATTAGGAGAAAATTAGTGAGATGGTGTGTTTTGAGGGGTTAGCTTTAGTCCGATACAGAAACAGAGGGGGAGAGAGAAGGATGGGGATGCGACGGCTGGGGATGAGCTCAGGGAAGGCTACAATAGGGGTGGGGGGTGTACGCTGCTCTGGATTTGTTTGTTTTTTAATTTTATTTTGTTTATATGTATTTTTTTTTCTGTTTTTATTTTTATTTTTAATTATTATAATATTTAATTATGTTTTTATCAATGTGGAGATAGGCTCCACTTGCCACGTCACCCATTTAATTGGTGAGTAATGATCCATATATACGAAATTATAAAAATACCCTTGCCACATCATCAAAGTTAACAGAGTTTTGGATGGAGTTGACCGCAGGGGGTAAAATGGATCACCAAACCTCAGTCAAGGGATGAAAATGAGTCATTTTAAGTTTTAGGGGGTAAAGTGTGATTTGACCAAAGTTTCAGGGGCATCAGGGGCATTAATGTTATTAAGCCGTAAGGAAATGAAACATCAGTCATTGTTTTTTGTTTTGTATTATACGTTAAGATTGTTGGGTTAAGCGATATGTCCCACGTTGGGAATGTAAGCCTCTATAAAATATCTTTTATACCATGATCAATGCGGCAGTTGGTTCTATACATGTGACCCGCTATCAGGAAAAAAGAATTGCAATAACTAAATAATGGTGTGAGTCAGCTATGACCTCCAGTTACCGGATCTAATCCTCCACTAGAAGTAAAAAATTCCACATATTTTGACCAATTCAAGGTGAAAAATGGAGTTGCTCCCTCAGTAGAACTGGGATAAAGTTGAGCCAAAAGATCCCGATTCAAGATAAATTCATGGATGATTTCCTTATATTAGCTGCAAATGAAGAAATTTTATTATAAGAATCATTATACAGTAAAAAGAATTGGACAATCGGTACATAGGATCACTAAATGGGAAATCGACATGGTCCCTTCCTCATGAAAGTATAACAACAGAAAAACTGAAATAAATGTGTGTAAAATAAAATTCACAAACGAAAGATATATGTGGATTATTGGGCTCTCAATTCAAGAATCTCCTGGACGATGTTCAAAAACATGCATCCAAAACGCAACAGCAGCACAAGGCAGCACAGCATCCCTTCCAGAAGCCATCACCTTTTGACTTTGTTTCTACAGCTTCATGTCCATGGGGATTTGGGGCATCTCTTGTTGGATAACCAGCAGGTGGTGGTGCCTGCACATGATAAGGACCCGGCGCTGTAGAACAAGGTGGGGGAGGGTATGCTGCTCCAGAGTTAGTTGATGAACTCATCTTTGAATAATATTTCTAATGGCCTTCAAAGTATTCTGTGGAGGTAGAAGAAGAAAATAATGAAAACAATAAAGAGAAATGCTAAACTGGGTTTGGTTTATTGCCGAAGTATTGGATGGAGCTAGAAGCAGAAAGGAATGAAAACAAAGTGAAACACTTAGCTGGGTTTGGTTTGTTGGGTAGATGACAGATGAGGCGCAATTTATAGATCAAGAAAAGCAGATGACAATTGTTGGAGTGGTTGTTTCTGGGAAGATATATATTTGATATCTTGCTAGTGTCTCTTACGCGGGTGGCTACAGTGTACACCGTGTACACCTATGTGGGGCAGTTCAGACCCGAAAAAGAAGAAATAAGAAAGAAAGGAAAAAAAAAAGACTACTAAGCAAAACGCAATGGGCCCTATTCTGTTCTCATAATTACGTAGGAAAGAGCAATTATATTACGGAAAATACATCCCACCATTCTCCATAAGTAAGAAGTTCTGATATTTATGTTAATGACAGTTTGATATGCGTAAAAGTTTTTCCTTTTGTGTTTTTCATGAATTATTTTCACATATATGTCAAACTGTAATTTGCAAAAAGAATGAATATCTTCTCTCGGATAATGGCACTTTCTAGAAGTAATTTTTTCAATATAATCCTGGTTGTAGAAATCAAAAGCTGCTCATGAGGTGGGAAGAAAAACATTCCTCAACAGTGTAAATCACTCACTAATCTCATGATGAAGATTTTGATCAGCAAGAATTTAAAAATACCAAATTCTAGGCTTTTGTTCATACGAAAAATTGAAGATGAATGATGCGTCAGATTGAAGCTCATGATAGAGCACTGGGTGCTTTCCTTCTCATCAGACCTCATCTTATAGACTATTGGTACATCTTAAATCAAATAAAGCTCTTGTATTATTATCAGTACCTTAACATACCCATCAGATAAACACCTAATTATCATCTATATTACATTATGATAAGATAAGATTGGCGCACATAACTTAGAATTTATCCTCAAAGTAGTGTTTATCCCAAAATTCCCCTAGCAATAGGCCGAAAGGTTGTATTAGTTGCGAGCGTTCCACTATTAGTACGAAAGAAAGTATAATACAAAGATAAATAAAAGGAATCAGAATTCAAAGGAATCAGAATTCAATGGAATCAGACCTTATTAGAATCCAACCTGAGATAAGGTAGCAAATTAACTAAAAGAGAATATATGACAAAATAGGCCAGGAAATGGAGATCAAATTAACATCATCAACTGAGGGAACTAATCATGACGCAAAAATGAAAAACCAAGTAATAGCAAAATAGAAACTCAAATTACATATAGATGAAGTTCAAAGCAAGCATCGAACAGACAGCAGCAACACAAGGCAGCAGCACATCCCTTCCAGAAACCATCACCCTTGGACTTGGTTTCTACAGGTCCATGAGCTGCAGAAGGAGGATTTTGGTCATCTCTTGTGGGATACCCAGCTGGTGGTGGTGGGGCCTGTACATAATAAGGTGCAGGGTGTGCTACTGTGGTCTGAGTAGTAGCTGAACTCATTATCACTAAAGTAGACGATGGAGAGAAGAAAATCAAAGTGATGAAAGGAATGAACAGGTCAATACTAATTCATTGAGAAGATGGCAGATGATGAATTTATATAGAGAGAAAAATTAATTAAAGCAGCTGAGAATCGGAGTGGTTTGCTACTTAGAACTCAGAAGGCCGGTAATATTTTTGGTTGCTTTTACCGGGCGGCAACAACGCGTAAGTACGCAGGGAAGAAAAATAATAGGACGATTACAACAAGGCAAAGGACTGCCGCTTTGTTCAATGGGCTTCGATGTGTAACCAATCAAGGGCCACAACCCCCAAATTCCCTTTCTTTTTTGACTCCATCTGAATTATATTTATAGGTATAAAAAGAGATGGTGATGTATGAGAAATTCCGTGACACCACCCCCCCAAGTTTTATAATCAAATTCACTCATGTTATAATGGATTGGCCTCTCAACTTGAACTCTCACAGAAAATACATATTAACAAGCTTTGTTGCATCTAAACCGGATTATTTGTGTTTAACACTAGCTCGGCAAGTTTATTCTCCTTATTAGTCAAGTACTGTATAGATCAGCCCTAACATATACGTACCAACTTCATATTGATCAGTTCGAGTTGTGTACTTACAAGTTACAACGTCATGTTAAAATTCTCACGACTTTCATGGCAACCTCTAAACTATGGTGGGTGTTCTAGCAGCCAAACCTTAAAAAATAAATAAAGACAATGATGACAATTGAACATTGCACCAAGGATGCGAAACAGTAGGGGAGCTGCCATGACAAACCTCCAATATACTTAAACATTATCATGCACATCAACATTAATATTTTGAACAAACCAAAAAAATTGTTAATAATGCATTCCCCATTATTAAAAATTAGAGCGTACTCAACGCACGCCTTAATATATAAAAAGAAAGTTTTAGATTTATGGCATATATCCAATCACGCAGTTGAAAAACATAGAAAGTACCTTTTTAAGGCATGCTTCCATATGTTGTCTATCAATTATTAACGACACACTTTATTATTTTTTTAAGACATACTTATATGCTATAAATATCAGTTATTAACGACACACAAAAAGCGTGCTGTAAATATCAAAGTTGTAAAAGCTCCAATTTGGTATAGTACAATGATAACAATTGAGTATTGCACCAAAGACCCGAAACAGTGGAGGAACTGCCATGACAAACCTCCAGTATACTTACTCAAACATTTGCATGCACATCAACATTAATACTGTTTGAACAACAACAAAAAAATCATTGCATTCCCCGTTATTCTGAAAATTTAACCGTAATTTTCAACATCTAGTACCTACTTATTACTAAACTTTCACTAGAACTTAGAATTCTGAAGATACACATATTTTTTTTAATCAATGGTGAGTCTCATGTTCGTTAATAGTGTGTGGAGGATACCTTCCAATTTCATCATTATTAGGAGGTTAGTCAAATAAGAAATTTTACAAATTCTATAACTCTAAATTTTCTTGGTACGTACTTTCAAATTTCTCATCCAAACCCCATATAACCATGAAGTCAAAATTCAAGCACTAGACATATATGCATTAGAAGAATCGAGTACTATGAGTGCAAGGTGCTGACAACTAGGTAAAGTACTTCTGTAACTATTTTTCGTGAAATAAAGAACGATCACACTAACGATAAAATTTTTGACAAGTAGTAGCATCTAATGAGCATCATCACAAACCCTAAACCCGAAAACAAACAAAAAAGAAAGAACGACGGATGTATATGATATTGGAGTGAACAATGGGGTTTAAAAACAGCAGCAGCAACAGAAGCCAGCAAACCAACGCTTCCAGAATCCGCCATCCTTCGTCTTGGTGTCGGTAGGTCGATGAGGAGGAGGGGGAGGAGGATTTGAAGCTGCTGTTTTGGGACAACGGGCAGGTTGTTTTTTTGAAGCCCACAAGTAAACAGGCTTTGGTGGTGTAGCCCACTTGTAATAAGAAGGTTCAGGGTATGCTATTGTGGACGCAGTACTTGAACTCATCTTTGAACAACAGGAAGAGGCTCTTCAAAACCCGATGGGTCTGATCTGATCAAAACAATGGAAAGAATATTGAGAAAATACTAATTAACGTGCTGGGTGATTGGGTTATTAGTGGGATGAATTTACAGACAGAGACGAATTAAAAGAGGTGAGAATTGGTGCCTTTTAACGCGTCTACTTGCTTGGGGGAGAAGTAAGTCGAGATTTCAAGTAACACTAGGACAAGGAATTCTACTACTATAACTATATTGTGTTCTTTTTGTTTTGGTTTTGTGTGTGTGTGTATGTACTAGAATTACTTTCTTTTTCTTTTTTAATACAATCGAGAATCTAAATTACTCTAAAGTATTTAATATACAGAAATTGAGGGTTCTAACTTTAGTATAAGGGGTAGACTTACTGTCCTGACTAACTGACCTAACCCACGTATACATGTACTGGAATTACTTTTGTACACATAAAACCAGTAAAAAGGCCACTATCCAGTAATTAATCTTCCTATTTTACTCTATCGTGTGAAAAAAACGAGATGGTGTGATTAGTGAAGGGACTACTTCATCTGATTTCAAAATGTTTTTTAATTGATTTTTTTAATTATTCATATTAATAATTTTCTGAATTATTTATTAATAAAATTCTTAATTACAACTTTATCCTTGTATAAATTACTTAAAATGTTCGACCAAAAAAAAATTTACTTAAAATGACTGACAAAAGAAATTGGCAACCCCCAAAACTTTTTTCACAGTTAAAAAACCTAAAAATAAAAGCTAAGGAAATGTATTTTTATGATGATGAGTTTGAGTGAGAAGCTAAAACCCAACAAGGATGCCCTTATTGGTCTGTTGATGAGTAATAAAGGGTCTATCCCTCGGGTTGCAGAAGTCTCGGAACACTAGAAGAAGAAGATTGTTGAGTATTTTTCTTTCTGAGGCCTATGATCTGCTTGTTCAAATGTTTCCTCATTCCTAGGGTTGAAAGTTCAAACTCCCACTTCCATAATGCAGATGACACCAATAAGTCTCTGTAATACCTCACACAAAGTTGTTTCTGTGCTTCTTGTTGCAAAGCTACAACGTATCACTCGTAATATTTTCCCTGGAGATGCATATGGAGACTAACATGAAAACATACCCAAAAGAAATAAGGTTTTGAACATTTGATTAACTCAAAATAGTGTAGCATAAAGAGGTAGCAGAAGAAAATCACAATTGCCATTCAAATGCTGATGGATGGTAGTTCAAAAGTCAAAACAAAAACCCCTGAAGTTTTATATACACAACCCTCTTAAATCACTCAAAGCTCCACACTTTCTAAACTCAACTTTCTCTCTAGACTTTAAAACCTTATCTTTTCTACACTTGAAATTTTAAACCAAAAAAAAAAATTGAGAGTAACATTTAAAATAAGCACATAACAACCTTAAATATTTGACACAAATTGACCAGAATATGTTTCCTTTTTCGGCATTCTTTCAAGACAGATGATGAAAATTGCTGTTGAAACCTCTGTAAGGCTAGGTGATCCTGAAAATGAAATCACTTCAATCAAAGCTTCGTCCAAGTTTCCATTCTGTTGCTGTCGCTGCATTGTGCTCACGTTTGATTGGTGATCACCACATCCAAATTCATGGCTCATCTTCCGCAAGCTGCACATTGTATCCATGCTTTAGGTCTGTAACAAGTCAAGGTTTCCATGTAAAATGTTTAGAGGTTCAAAGATCCAATATGCCGCATTAAAATACAAGATGGTTTTGCACATGTTAACTAAAGCTTAAGAAGGAAAAGATAAAAGGTTGACAAAAGAGTATATGACAGTCACAATTGGGAGTCAAGATCAGCTAACAATGGAAAGTTGAAAACAACTCAATACCATCAGGAATTGACTGAACTTTATGACTCCAAGGTGAACTCTTTCACAGCGTAAAATTTTAATTAACAGGTTTAAGTTTGGCCAATTAATGGATATGGAAATACAAATTCTGATAAGTTTACAACTATTTATACATAATATTCTATCATGACATAATCTCAAAGACTACACTTTATCAAATATCTATCCAGTATTACATAGATATGAACAAACAATTATCAAACTAGAACTACTCGCAAGTTCCCATTCACCTACAAGCAAGATTACACGAAATTTGTCCTCCTTCGATTTTCTTTAATCTAAGAGAGAAATCATGATTTACTCGTACTTCAGAAATAATATGAAAAAATTGAGGTTCCTACTGTTAGACAACCTGTAGCTCCAAAAGCTTAAGCTGTCAAACAATGGGCCAACAATGTATATCAAGCTCACAACTACAAGATCCAAAAGTATAGATAGATAAAAATATACATATCCCTCAATAGAAGGGGACTAAATATACATAGAGAGAGAGAGAGAGAGAGAGAGAGAGAGAGAGAGAGAGAGGGACAATTCAAAGGAGAAATTGGAGAGAGAATTAAGCCCTGGCTTTTATCTCCTCACAAGATCAGCAAGAGAGGTAGAATGAGGGAGAGAATGTGTGTGTGTGTGTATGCTGACCCCTTGTAGACATAAGTTTGTGTGTGTGCGTGTGTGGCATAGTATAGCTTAATTATTTTTCTTCTTTATTTTCAAAGGGGGGCTTCGTGGTAAAATCAATGTGGGTATGAGTTGGATATGATATACACATGTATAGTTTACTAACCAATTTGGCTGGCCAATTACACCATCTACACAAAAATCACTGAATGCGTAAAGGAAGCTTCGTTGAAGAGATGGTCTAGGCACTAGAAGGGATGAAACAAGAATGCAACTCATATATTACCAGGACCAGGGCAATGAAGGAACTAATTAAATAAAGTGGTTAGGCGGTGGAATATTTACTCCAACCTGATGATTGTATTCCACCAATACTATACAAAAACAGATTAAATGCTTTATACCAAGTATTGAATATGTTTAATGATACCTTTCATTGAAGACTTATCATATTTCTCTTTCCTCTCATCATCATTCTTCCATTTACTATCATCATCATTCTTCCATTTACTATCATCATCATTCTTCCATTCACTATCATCCTCATCCTCATCATCATCATCATCATTGCCCATTTCATCTCTTCCATCATTTCCTATATCGCTCTCACTTGCTGTCTCCCATTCGGAATCATCGGTCTCTCGGCCATAGATGTCACCAGCATCACCCTCACAGTGGACACCCCCATGTTTGATAGCTGCCTCTCTAAATAACCAAGCTGCACGCATCTGCTTTTAACCAATCGTTCCGCATAGTCAGGAACTTTATTTTGCCTCAATGAGAGATCAGGATCATTTGACTGAGAGCACTCGTTTATGAACAGAATGGCATCTAACAAACTCTCTTTTGCAAGCCCAAGCATGTCATAAGCCTGTGCTCTTCTCCAAAGACTTTTGGCATGACGGTTCAGTGGGTTGTGAAGACAAAGTGCACGAGTAGCATCACTAATAGCTGCCAAGGGCTGTTGCAACAGAAGATGACACTGTGCTCGATTACTGTAAAGAACGACTCTCTCCTTTTTTGATCTCATTGGACACAATGCCAACGCTTCTGAGTACTTTGATGCAGCTCCAGATATATTTCCTGATGAAAATAATGAATTTCCTTCGAGCTTGACCACTAGAGCTGCTGCCTGTTTAATATGGAGATCCTCTTTAGGCATATTCTTTTCCCATTTCAATCTCTGTCTGGAATTCAACAGTTCCTCAATCAATTCCTTCGTTCTGTTACTGAAAGAGTTGCGTCCTGTCCCTTGTGACTGGACACATTCCTCAAGAACATTAACAATGGAATCTCCAAGCTTCTTGTGATCACCCAGAGTTGTAATCTCCGCAAGGTCAACAAGTGCAGGTACAGCCTTATCAATCACCTATATAATGGTTTCAGTAGCATTAGGTATGTTATACATTATGAGGTCATACCAGATATACATACTACAATAATAGGTTAGTTTATGAAGTGAAGTATTCTGAACTCGTGCATACAAAATGTAATAGGACAATACAATACAAATTTATAAATAAACCCAATCCTAGACATGTATTTATAAAAAAACCCAAGCACTATTTAAACATAGAAACACACCCAAAATCAACCCCAAAGTCAACTTTTTGGGTGTGTTATAAATGGGTTTTGAGTGTGTGTAATGATGGGTTTTGGGTGTGTTTATAAAGTATTTTGGGTGTTGGGTTTTTTTATAATTTCAACCTCCATTTTGGGTGTTTTAGTGAAACTCCTTTTCAAAGAAGATGATCATAATTACTGAAATTGGAGAGAAACTCTGAGGACATCTCTTCCACCAATGAGATTTACAAAAACTTAAACAGGACAATGCAGATCTACATAAATTCTGCTCCAAACCGGGGGTTAATATATATGATGCATCAAAGCATTCGTGAAGGAAAAAAAAACCACTTGATATGATATGACAAAAAAAGAAAGGTAAATTACAGGATAACATTAAGGAATATCAATCAGAGAAGTTGGATTTTCCATTACAAAAAGGGCTCATCAAAGGCATACCAGTATCATGACATGCATATCATAAGAAAACTAAAAGAAACAGTAGTGTATGCACTATGCAGGACCAGATGAAGAACCACTAATGTGGAAGATACCTTATGACATGTACTAGGGTCTTGAAGCAACCAAAGAAGACAATCAATAGTCATATACTGCCAATCATCTGATGACCGAGCAATATTACACAATGATTCGATAATACCAGGACAGCTAGCAACAGGTCCTCTACCCAACTTATGATGGCAGATTGTTCTTAATAAACCAATACCAGCTGGTGAGTTTTCATTAACAAGCCCACCCCACATGCCAGGTAGTTTTGTTAAGAATTCAGGCTTGCATATGGTAGGAAGAAACTCTGGTTTAAAGGCAAAGCAGTTAATAAGCTGGAGGGACCAGCATTGTAACTGACTTGCCCATTCTTCTGCCTTTCTGGATTCCATTTCAACACCTCCCATACCGCGGGTGAGCAGATCACAATGATAGCTTAACCTTCTGTCAACATACTGGTAAAAATGAGAATAAACGATTTCTAGTGAGCTCATTGCTAGTTGAATGGAAAGCTCAAGTATTTCACCATGACTTGCTACAGCAGGAAAAGTGCTGGCATAGGTAGCCAAGTGCCCTAAAGCTCGAACTGCAACTCTCTGTTCAACCCAAGTTAACCTTCCTCTCAAAAGTTCAACTAAGGGAGGGATTACCCCAGCATGCACAGCACTTTCTGCAAATTCTTCCATGTTCATGGTGTATGACCCAATAATATGGGCTGCATAATAAGGAATGTATATATTCTGGTCATGAGAAAGCCAGCGACGATTCTTTAGACCCTTCCATATTAGTGCAGCCATACATTCAAAGATGCCAAGCTCGATGAACTCAGGATCATTTGGATGTGCCATGGCAGTGTTCCAAAGGCCACTGATAGGGAGAACTTGTCCATCGTCATCCTGTGCAGGAAGCTCTCTAAAGAATTTCAGAATGCTTGCTCTTCGCTTGCTTGGATTCCCTTCCTTCATGACACAAAAGAAGCATCCTGGGTATGGACAATCAGAAGACACTTTATCCATGTTCGGATTACAACTTAATATCATACAAAGCAGGGCAGGTCAACCCTTCATCTCTTAGCTGAATCAAATTAACTACACGAACAGAGAACATAATTAACATGTTAGCTTGGCATCGATCGGAAAACATATAGCAAGCATAATATTAAATCATAAAATAATTACTGCAGCAGCGAGGAGAGGTTATGTCAGTCAAATAACTCACTTGTTCAGGTTGGTGCATTTTAAGTCTTTGTTAAACATGACCAAACTATCTGAAACAACTTTTCCTCTAATCATTTCAATTGGAATAATATCTCGATTCCCAATTCCTATGTCTATCTTTCTCCATATTGTTGTTCATTAAAATTTTCATCTTGGTTAAACTTTTGCAAACCATTTAACACCCCGCATTTAATTCTAAACCCTAAAGCATAACCACAAGACTATCGCACTTCAACTCTAAGGAATTCCACTGTACCATTAACCATTCCACTCACTCTTCTATTCCACCCATCCTGTTAACCATTCACCGCCCTCATTTTTATTAACTCACAATACCAAGCCAACAAAATATATATATATATAATAAAATAAAATCCAACAACAATCTGAGATGGCAAAAGCAATCAATCTTTAGCAATGAGTAGTGAGTATTAATTCTGAGAACACCCTGGTCACATTTCTCAATGTTTCCAACCTGACATTTAAATATTTGATATATACTCAGTCTTGATCCTACTAAACCTAAACCCCCTTAGCCCTGTAGGCCTCTCTGAAAACCAATAATTAACATGCTACTAAAGCCTATATAGCCTTTGCTTGTTGTACTTGAAAAGTAAGTGTAAACCACTTTATGCCTTATTAAAGTAATGAATTTCGAAGTCCAAATTCAGAATCAAGTTACAGAGTGACAATTCCAGCACAAACAATCGGCAAAGGTACAGCCTTTTGGTAAACAAATAGATCTAAAACGAAAAACAAATGGCAATTTCAAATTGTTTAATGAGATCCCAACTCTAGAAATGCCCCAATCATAAGGAAAACAACATGCGGAAGCAAAAACAAAGGAGGAGGAGGAAAATAGATACCTCTGAGAAAACCTGTTCGGTAGAGATGAGTGAACACTTTAAAAATGAAGTAGTGATCCTGAGCTACAATGAGAAAATGGGTAAGAAAAAGAATCCCAAAATGATCTTTGGGTTTCGAAAAAGCCGATTGCTTTTGCTCTTCTTTTTCTACTTCCGCTGTAGGCTAGCCGAAACACGAAGAGAAGAAGAAAGGGAGAGAGAGTGGAGAAGAGTGGAGCTGGGAAATGAAAACGACGCTGTTTTGGAAAGGGGTTTTGATTCGGACAGCGAAGAAGACTGATTGCACTGTTTCAAACTTCTACTCCATTAATAAATCCAATTCACCCGAAAATATTTTGACTTCCAAATTGAAATGGAATGAAAACGTATCGGTCGACCACGCGCGCTGTTTGTGGAGGGTCGGGCCAGTTGAGAGGCTTTAGAAAGAGCGCGTGAAGATGGCAACCACATTTCGCTCGAGTGTTAATACTGCGGCAAGAAGACAGAAGTGGAGGCAAAAGACTGAAAGAGTAACAGAGTAAACGTGGAGGTGGGACGGTACATTAGATTTTTGCTTTCATTTTATTTGGTGGGGTGTGCTGCTGGTCCCATTTTTTTCCACGCCTGTCCTTTTTGCCATTTTTTAATTAATTCTTAAGGATTCAAACATTGACGACACCCGAATTTATCAAAATACATGTGTCATGTTTACTTATCTAGAATGGAAGAAGTCGTATGAATTATGAAAGTTAAATAGGGTAATTAAGAAATGAGAATGGGATCAAATACTCTCTAGTTAATCCTATTCCTAATTTTGAGGATATTTAAATATGAATTTTAACATAAAACTTACATAAGTTTTAATTTCATATGTGTTAGTAAACGCATAAGAAGTTAGGAATCGGAATCATTTCAAGACCCATGTGTTGTTTTTTTATCTAAACTAGGGTTGAGCAACCAAACTGAACCACACCTATAATTCTAGAATTGCACACCCCACCAACCTCAGCAATGTGTTGTTTTTTTATTGACACAAAACTAACGAATGCTTCAACCGACTATCATGTTTACGATAATGTTCCATTTGATGTATACACACATCCACACACAAAATGTGTTGGGGAAATTACAATCAAGAAAGTTTAAAAAAAATTATTTTCTCTTCCAAGAAGTGCTTAGATATAATTAAGTTGAAGCGCATATATCTCACTCTCTTTAAGGAGATTCAAGCTCATTGTGGTTTGACAAAGACCACGAACTGGTGTGTCGGTATATGTAAAAGATTAGGCAAAGATTCTCAACGGTGATTTTAGTTGTAAGGTGAAGGTGGTCTTACCATTAGAACACCGAGCAACAACACGGTTACATCAAATGAATAACATAATTTAACACGCCCCATCCTTTATTTAGAGTCTTCTACGAAGGAACTGCTCATCGAGATGTGTTGACCGATTTGGTTGGAATTAAATTACTCCATCTTAGGAAAAGCAATAATGATGAAAGATAGAACACGTGATGCATAACTTTACAATTTTTGGGGTGAGACTCCTTTATGTTCACGAGATCCGGTATTTATAAAATTCAGATAATTGGCTAGCAAGGTAACCTAGGTCTGCATAAGTTAACTTCCTATTCAAAATTGATTACTTCACAAGATAAAACTTATCTTATGCCCCTAAACATCCAATTTTCCTTCTCTCATACAAATCTTGAAAAGAAAAAAAAGACAAATTGAAAACCATTTCGACATCTAGTTGTGACCAAAAAATAAAAAAAACCACGATGCTTTCACTGAAGTTGCCAACGGGATCTAGCCCAATGAAAAATGCAGAATATGGGTCTCCAATTCGAATCACCAAGGCATTATAGTTATGTGTGTGTGAGAATTCTCCCCCTGTAATTTAGACTATCACTTGTACTAAAAAAACACTTAAGTTAAAACAATTAATTGAGTTGTCAAATGTTCGAAGTCAAGTGAATTTTTACATAAATAATTTTTGAAGAAATATCTAAAAAATAAATAGTTTGAATTTTTAAAATACAATGTAGATTGGGTCCACGAAGCTGTCTCTCCCTCAACTAAAGGTTTACGTTTTTTTTTTGGACGAAAAAGCTTTACGTTTAATGATTGCAGCAAAAAACCAAATCTCAAATACTCCAAATCTCCATCAATTCAACTGTGTCTAATGGAGATTTGGAGTTATCCTCATGATTATCACCCAGGCACTGGGCTGAAGAAAGAAAACCTTGGTGAATGGGCCATTCTCTAAAATGGGCTTTTCATATTGCACCTTTGTCCTTTAAGACTAGTCAATAATATTAAAAACCCTTTTTTTCCAAAAATAGCATATAAGAGCATCTACAATTGGCTCTCTAAAACACATCCTTAGACAAATTTTAGGAAGGAATTGAAAAAATACAACGCCAACCATGCTCACCTCCTAAAATATGAAGATTTCTAGAAGCTCCTAAATCTGATGAGAGAGAAAGAACTTCTAGTGGCTTTTTATAATTTAATGCTGCTTTATTTAATAAATATTTAAAACTTTTAATTAATGCTAACTATTTTTATATTATTTTTTAATAGAGATTGACCAATTAAAAAAGAATTATAGCATTTATGACTCCCTAAAATAGAGAGCATGATTGGAGTTTAAATTTTATAGAGAACTCCTAAAATAACTTTTATATGTTTTTAACCCAAAAAAATAGAGAGCATGATTGTGGATGCTCTAAACTTGTTACCCAAATAGTGACAAGAAATATAAAAACAATGGACGCTAGCTCTCAACAAACAATGTCTTAATTATATGCATTCAAAGTCAACGGGGTCTAGCCCAATGAAAAAGAACTTTAATTTGCAGATTACAGGTCTCAAATTCAAATCCTCACGGCATCATAATTGTGTGTGTGTGAGAAAAATCTTTCTCCCTTATAATTTAGACTATCGCTTATACTATTTGGCCTTGAATGGTATCATGTTGCGCTTCTGATGATAACAAACAAACAAAAAGTATGTGACAAATGAAATAAATAAAAGGGCTCTTAGGAAGGTGCAAGGTGAGAATGACCAGGAGCTTTTGCCACATGATGTCAATAGAATTTAGGTATGTGGTGGAAAATAGTAGTTGGCAGGCAGTCGCTAGCTTTCAAATACTCCAAATCTCCATCGATTGAATTTCAGGCAACTCCACCCTTGACTTGACGAGGATATAACGGAGACTTATTACCTATAAATGTACAGGACAAAATATTAGGATAAAATTACAGCAGCAAAAATGTCGGTTGTACATTAGGCCATGCAGCCACCGACACATACCTCAATCCAGTCGGTGCAGGAATTCATCGTGTGCCTAATAAATATCGGGGAAATTACGAATCAGAACAAATGTATATTAACAGAAATTGGGAAAGTAAAAAATGGGAATAATTTCAATACCATTTTAGTTCAAGAAACACGTCCCCTGACCTAAAAAAACAAAAAGAAACACTTCATTGAGCATTCCTCGATTTTTGAGGAGATGTGACAAGAAACCTCCCATGGAAAATTCACATGTTCCTAAATTAAGTACACATGGAGATGTGTATCAATTAGAATTGAAAAAACAAACTTCCAACAAATTTTGTTTATGGTAATTGGTTAGGATAGTGAACCCGTCTTTTTATACTCAAGTTCAAATTCTGATCTTTATAAATGGATTAATTTACAGTAATTTAGACTATTACGGTGCAATTATATAACATCATAACTAAATTAGTTGTGTTTAACTTAGGGCAATGCTACTACCACTTTTCGAATGCAGAATTACATGTAAATAGCAACAACATTAAAAAAAAAAATGAAGCAATATGACAAGTTTGTCCCAATTGCATAATTTATTTCATAACACCATGGTTGCACTTGCTTGGCCAATGGTATTAAATGCCACCAGAGCTTATGGCAGGATAAATAATAAATTCTTCCTAAATCTAAAAAAATAAAAACAAAAACTACTATAATAAAAGAGAGGTGAAAATAGGAGGTGATTTTTCAATTTGTATACCAAGAATTTGATTGGTTTTTAACCCACTCATTTTTATTCCACAAAATTAGCTCTTCTTGCCCTCTTCACCCCCCTCTTCCAAGTAAGCCTTCTTCCTCCTCTCAACTGTAGCAAACAGGCAAATCACAAGATAACATGTGGCGTAAATCCCATGCACCTTCCAGTTGGTTTTGGGTGGCTGCCTCAGCACGGCTCTATGAAATACCGACATATAGTAATGAAGCCCAACAGACAAGCCCACGAAGGTCTGGCCCAGGCCCAACATTTTCGAGCCCAGCCCAGAATCCGTCGAGAAAACCAGGATCAAATACATCAAAAGTAGCAACAGATACAGCACGTAGCCGAGCGTCTGCAGCACCTGAAGGCAAACGTAGGTGGACTGCGAAGTAGCGTAGAAAAACTTGAGGGGCTCGAGCCCAGTTACGAGGGAGGAGAGGCAGAGGATGGAGAAGTAGATGGAGAGGTAGACTTGGATGAAGATCAAGAGCTTCTGGAGAGAGAAATAGGCTTTGATGCGGTTGAAGAGGAGAGAGACTAAGAGCAGAGGGATCAAGAGGAAGGCACAGGAGACTATGGAGGCAATTGTGGCAGCATATTTGTTGCCAACAATGGGCTTGAACTGGTTTGTCATTTGCTTGTTGGCTTTGTTGAGATAAATCTTTGAAGTGGTTGAGATTCTCTCTAAATCTGGAATCAAGGTTTGCTGGAATTTTCCAGGCAAATCAGTGAAATCTGAGACAAAATCAGTGTCATCTTCTTGATCAATCCAGCTGGGCTCAATTGGCTTTTTGGGTTTTTGTTGGGTGGGTTTCTTCTCTGTTTTTGGTGGGTTTTGGGATTGTTTTGTGGTGGTGGTGGGTTTGGTTGTTTTGTTCTTGGGAGTGCTTGGCTTGGTTAGATCTGAGATTTTCTTACTAGAAATTGAATTGGGTTTGACAGAGTTTGAGGATTTTGATGTGGAATTGAGCTTTTTGAGCTCAATATTCTTGGTGGGGGATGAGGATGTCTTGGTGGAATTGGAACTGGATTTGATAAGCTTGGTTTGGTTCTTGAAGGAGAGGTTGGGTTTGAGGAGCTTGGTTTGGTTTTTAGAGGATAGGCTAGATTTGATCAGCTTGGTCTGGTTCTTGGAGGAAGACAAGGTGGGCTTGATAAGCTTGGTTTGGTTTTTGGAGGAAAGGGAATTGGTAGGCTTGATTTTCTTAGGCTGGTTTTGAACTTTTTCTACCTCTAACATTTTCCTTGTACCAAGAGACTCTGATGAGCTCTCAAATTGAGGCTCTGAGCAGGCAGAAAGGAGAAGAGTAGAAAAGAGGAACATAATAACAAGAGAAAGCAAAAGTACCTTTCTGAAACTCAAGTACATGAGTGGAGCCATTTCTGAAACCAAGATCTCTGATGAGGGCTTCAAAGATCTAGAACTATATATATATATATACAAGACAGAGTGACAGAGAGAGAGAGAGAGAGAGAGAGAGAGTGAAAGATTAGCAAGGATTGGATTTATATATATGGCTTGGTGGGTGTACTGTACATAGAGAGAAGTGAAGAGAGGAAGAGGGAGACTTTAATGGGAAGGCAGCAAGTGATGAGATCGGTCACATGGTGCAAGCAGGCAGTGGAGAGTGGAGGAGAGAGCTCTCTCTCTACAACACGCGGTTTTACCGGGGGTCCCTCTGCTGGATTACTGGGTGTGAGAGCAATTTAGTTATAAATTAAACCACTATATATATTCTTTGCTTGGTGGATTTATTATTTTAGTGTCATCCATTTATGATATTTTGAGTTAATGACAAATTTTTTTAGACAATGACTTCAATTTCAATGGTCAATAATTACAATTAAAGTCTGCCCACTTTTGTTTTGTCAGTTTTTTAATTGGCCATTAGAAAGACGAAAAGGGTTATCAGAAACCTCATCCTACTTTTGAGTTTACATGTTTTTGACTTTTTTCACCCCATCAACTTTTAAATCACAAGTCTTTCAAGTTTGATTCCCCATCGTTGATTTTTTAGGCTCAAGTGATTAATAATATTTATTTTTGCACATGAGGTTCTAGGTTCGTTTTTTTACTTTTCAAATATCGCTTGTATTCAACAAAACAACAAAACATTGCTTCAAAGAAGACCACAAGCTTAAGGAGTTCGTATATATCTTAAACAACAGAGTTTGGCACAGATTATGCTTGTTTGTTGAACTTTTTGAAAGAAAACAACAAAAACATGTTATATGGTGTGACACTAGTCTAGTGTCGACCAAAGTAGGTGAGTTTATTGTCGTCATGAATAGAACCCAAGCCCCAAGTAGGCGAGTTTATTATTATCGTAATAGGCTTAATATCACAAAACATCTCTAAGGTTTATGAAACTATCAGATTGTATCTTTATTTATTTATTTATTTTATGTCATTTGTGGTCATCAAGGTTATTATATGTGCTCACAAATGGTCCATGCCGTCAAGTTTCGTCAAAAATTCTGTTAGTTTATTGACGTGGTATATATATATATATATATATATATATATATCACAAAACATCCCTGAGGTTCACGGTCACAAATGGTCCTTGTGAAATTTTTTGGTTTTTTCATTTAAATTCATAAAATTTAAAAATGAAAAAAACCAAAATTATGCATTTTAAATGAAAAACCAAGGGTTTAGGGTTTAGTGATATAAAAGCCTCCATAAAATTTAAAAATGAAAAAACCACATCTCCAATAATATAGTGCCATGTGTATTTAAAATACCATATATATATTTTAAAATAATTTAATATTAATAAAATGTTGGTTTTTTCATTTTTAAATTTTATGAATTTTAAATTGTAAAAAAAAAACTCCATTAGTTTGTTGATGTGACATATATGTGGAGCCTACATCTCCAATAAATAATTTAAAATTCATAAAATTTTAAAAACAAAAACAAAATTTTATGAATTTTAAATGAAAAAATCAAAATTTTCGCATGATAGGTGCGCGAACCTCAGGGATATTTTGTGATATATATATCTATATATACGTCAGCAAACTAACGAAGTTTTTTACGGAACCTGACGGTAGGGACCATTTGTAAGCACACATATAACCTTGAGGACCACGGATGACAAAAAAAAATAAAAATAATAATGATGCAATATGATAGTTTCGTAAACCTTAAGGACGTTTTATGATATTAAGCCTATCATAATATTGTGTTTGACCATTAGAGCTACAGGCTTCACAAAAAGCATAATCCTTAATACATAAAAAATAAAATAAATAAATGTGACATTGATCCACAAAGTAGGTTTAATATAACCCTTTATTATACCTCACTTAATCAGATGATAGTAGAAGTTTGTAAAAGGTTTGTAGCAGTTATTAAGTAAATTTAGATTTTAGCCATAAAAAAACTTTCACTTTTTGAAAAAGCCAAAATTTTTTTAAAAAAAATAAAAAAACCTCTTAACTTTCAAATCAAAGACATGCAAATGTAAATGATTCCTTAGAAAATCTAAAAATAAATAAGGGCAATTTTGTCCATTTTGGCTTATTTTAAAAAATTTCTCTCTCCTTTGGGTTTTTCCAAAGTCTCCCCAGTTATTAAAAGTGTTCTAATAATATGGAAAAATCTAAAACTAATATAAAGAAAGACTTCATTATTTTTTATGTCCCGTCACTGGCGGACCTAGGAATTTTTTAGCGGATGTGCACTTTTGAAAGGCTAAAAACTCTTTGTGGATTGAATATCTAAGGTTTTTTTTACCTAGATTGACCTTAGGTCACTTCATGAATTCATATCATACATGAAAAATTGTTCTATGTAAAAATATTGATTAAATTTGAAAAATGATTTTTCGGAATAATCATTTTCTCAAGATAATTTTTGGCGGCTTTTATTCTTTACACATCAAATAAAAAAACTTGATTTTATGGGATTTTATTATGAAGTATATATTGACTTAATAAGCTATCATTTTTAGCCTAAATCTTATTTTGCACTAAAACCGATTTTTCAAATTTTGATTTGGGGGGAATTTAATTTTCTAGTATTTTTATTTGAATCCAAATGGGGGTACTTCCTTATTTACATTGTAAACTTAAGTAAATGGAGTAATATAAAAATAAATTAAAGTAAAAAGATAAAGACATTTACTTAAATGTTGAAGATGGAAATAAAGTAATCTGTACACCACCACCACCAGCTAGGCAAAGGGGCAATTTCAAGCACCTACAATGGTTTTTTTGGCGATGAGAGGTGCAACTGCACCTCCTTGCTCCTTAACAGGTCCGCCTCTGTGTCCCGTTAATTAGTTGATGTGATATACATACATGTAGTTTTTGAAACACACATACATGCAAAGTTCCACATATTTGCACACATATTTAAAACTTTTGCACACATATTTAGAATTTTGTTATATCTAAATTATTTGATTCCAGTGCAAAGTTCCAATAGAGAAAATCCGTCACATAGTGGGAAAAGAAAAAAGAGAAACATAGTGGGGTTCGATCTTCTTCAGATAGGTTGTCGGTAACAAGTCCTGTTCTTTGCAATAGTTACAATTATTTTTAATGGAGCCCAAAAATTCCCCATTATTATGACTTGGGAAAATCAATGCTGGGATTTTGACTTCAATCAGTTTTCCGAGTCCTAACCCTAATAAATAATAAATTTAAAAAACACAGTACCACGTCCTTCTACAGTATGGGGGGCATTTGACTTGGTGCTCCACCGTAGTCTTCACAGCCGTCAGATCTGCGATCTGGGAAAGCATGGCGTGAGACCGAGGGTTGAAATAGTTGACTTCTGTGCTCCCTCCCCCTTCAAGTTGTAGTTAGTTTATTTAGCTTCTCTTGCGTTAATGCTGTCCCATCTGCGACTGAGACTGGGAGAGACTGGGGGAATCAAGAATATAATTAACACTGTAGGGTAGGGCCATGACACGTATGTCCCTGCATGAGGCCACGTTGTGAGCACAAGGATTGATGGGACCCAGATGTGAGTATCCTAAGTTATAGCTCCCAATGCTTAGCCTACCATAGTGAAATCAATTTAAACAGTTTACATGCCACAGGCGTTAAAACATTAAAAAAATATGCTACTTGCCTCTTTATTGATAAGGAAATATTCTTCATTTCTACGAATAACAATTTGACACATACACAAAAAATAAAAATAAAGTTTTTTACACACATGTCACACTGTTATTAACAAAAATATATAAGTTCCTATTTACCTAGTAAAGAGGAAAGTATTTTCCTAGTCCTAATATTTTTTTAAAATCAATTAGTGTTGAATTTATGACATGAAATAGACAAGATAATATAATATATTTGTTTCTTTTTTGGTCTGGAAAATTCTTGTTTCGTCCTCTGGATTCCATTCTAGGTTTAAGACTGACCTGTGTCGGTGACTATGTAATTCCTCAACTGACCCCAAGTTAATATGATACGAGAGGGAAGGGACCCATGAAACAAGGGCAGGTGACTATTGTAATCATCTTGTGATTCCGAGCCAGTCTTAAGGTGAGCACATCAATCATTGGCAACGTCCCATTCCTTTTTAACTAATTTCTCAAGAGAATTTTTCTTCTTTTATGTGGCTGTCCCTTAGGGATGAATAGTTGTGACTTTTTATGCATTTTCATGAAAGTTTCTCCTAAATTCTCCATGACCACTATTACTATAACAATCGAGGGCAAAGCTAGAAATTTACTCAGGATTAGGTTATAATTTTTCTAAAAAATTAACACAAGATTGCTATATTTCGAAAACTTGCACTCGACTGAAGCTTATCCCAATTTAAAAGTGACTTCAGTCTTAATTGAAATCACAATTGTATATCACATTAGAAACTATATTCTGTCGTATTTTTTTACATCAATTAATAACTTACACATCACTTTCACATAATGGGATTACAAATATAGTATCAAATAGAGTCCCTTTTGAAGTTATTGCAATCTTCAAAAGTTTCAATGTCCCTAACCTCTTGACCACAAAAACTTCGGTCCTTGAGCAGCATATATTAATGGTAGCGCCTAACCTCTTGAAAACAACAGGAAAAATTTCGGTCCAAAACCATATGTATGTATATGCCACATGAAAAGGGAAGTCGGTATAAGAGTGATCGGTATCATTTTTATATTCTTAGAGTGCTTCGATATTATGAATAAATCATATTTCCTAATAAAACAAAAAAAAAGTATGATACTTCGCGCCCTATGTACACATGACCTTTTCTCTTTTGACATGGGAGGGGTAATGCTTCTATTTTGAATTCATGATTCAAATATGAGATTTGGCTAAGACAAGAGGGTCAGTTATCCACTACAAGAAAAAATAATTAATAGTCACTTGGCACAAGAGGATGAAAATAAAGTAGACAATAGAGAAGTATTTGCAGACTATTCCTAATTTTTCCTATTTTACATCATTAAATATTTTTTCTTTTTGAAACAATTGATATTGGCGAGTAGGAAATCAAACTTAGAACATCCACAATGGATTTCCTAAACCACCTCCTTAGACAAATTTTAGGGAGGAATCGTAAAAATGCAACTCCAATCACGCTCTCTATCCACCTCCTAAAATAGGGAGTCCTCTAGGAGCTCCTAAATCTGAGGAGAGAGAAAGGACTCCTAGTGACTCCTTATAATTTAATGCTGCTTTATTTAATGAGTATTTCAAACCTTTATGTAATGCTAACTATTTTATTTTTATTTTTAATAGAGATGGACAAATGTCTCCAAATTAGGGAGTATGGTTGGAGTTGAAATTTTTTAGAGAGCTCATAAAATAGCTTTTTTATATTTTTAGCCAAATTTTAGCTAAGAAATAGAGAGTATCATTGTGGATGCTCTTAGGACCCTAGGTATGATTATAAATGCTCTTAATCACTTGAGTTACAAGCCCCTTGTAAAGAATTGAACTCATTAAATATCACATAATGGTTTTGAGGTAAAGAATTCACTATTATACCCAATATAGGGGCCCAAATTATAAAAATATCATATATGAAATGGATTTTAGAAACACACCCAAAACTCATTTACATCATAACAAAGAGGCTTTTAACTTCTTATAAATTACAAAACTCCCCTCTCCCTTCCCAACTCTGGGCCCATTGTGCTTCCACTCCTCGTTTCATACCATTTCATTCCCATGACAACTCTTATTCCCAACAACTATACATCAAGCTTACCACTGGATGCTTTCGAGGGAACATTTCTTGGATTGATCACATGAAGAAAGTCATGTGAAAAAGACCATGCAAAAGCAAAGCAACTAAAGGAACAAAGGAAAAAAAGTGAAAGGCCACTACTTTTTTTGTTCCCTTCTTTTTTCATCTTTTTGTACATGGATCAAAACATGGCCCTCTGTTCATGTGTAAGTGGGTCATATGCCTTCTCATTATTTAGTTGTCTATGCAAGCCCATGTGATATTATACAACAGAAGGTTACAAAGGACTGGAGGGGCTTCCTCATGTGTTCCTGGACTTCTGGAATCCCAAAATGCCCACAAATTCTCCTTTCCCATTTCTCAGAGTGCCATCTCCAAAATGGTAAAAGCAAACCACTTCTTTGGGTAATTGGGTGGGTGAAAAATTTAATTTAAAATTGTAAAAGATTGTTGGGGTGAGAGAGGCTCGAACTCTCGACCTCAGGATAACTCAGAAGCTATGAGACCTACGCGCTAGCCAACTGCGCCACCACCCCGATGTTGATAATATCTTGACTTTTATATATTAAGAAAGGCAGTCTACACTAATAAAATAATGACTTTTCATATAGGGTCTCTGATATTTTACATTATCTTAGATACTAACAATGAAAAAAAGGACATAGTAGATCAAGGATATGTACTTGTTAGCTGCTGGACTGTTCCAGGAAGTGAAGCATCCCACAATGAACAAGACCAGCCCATGCCTCAGCCATGATGACTCATCAGGCAACACCAGCAACAAAACAGCTGCTAAAGGAATGGTTGAACGGAAGCTCATCAGCAATGTTATTCTATATGCAATGAATCATCAAAAACAGGATATTCATTATACAGAATTGTCATAAAAATATAATAAATTACACTCTGGTTTGATTCACATTGATCCAGATCCTGAAAATCAACAGACTTGGATAATTTTCTCCACAAATCAACAGACTTGGATCGATCTTCAACCACTAACGAGGATGTGGTTCAGTAAAAGTCTCATATTCCATTACTTTGGCAGCGTTACTCTTGGATCGATCTGACCTTGTTGCCCCTGAATTATATTCAGATCGTAACGACATCTCCAATCCAATGCTTCTATGCAAATAAAATGCAGGTTCGGAGGGCACTGGGAGAGTGAAGTAGTAGCTATTCATCATGAGAATAACAGAAGCCATGGTTGGCCTATCAGCTACATTTTCTTGCACACATAATAATCCAATGTGGATGCATCTCATTATTTCATTTCTTGAACCAGTCGTCAATGTGGGATCTATTAGATTTGAAGCTGTCCCTTCCCTCCAACTTCTCCAGGCCTGCAATGATTTGTGAATTTGATCAGAGATAAGTTTTCTTTCTTTGATTCGTTGCACTAAATTGTATTGAGATACCAAAACTACATTATATTTTCACTTACGAAGCTTAGAAGATCCTCCGCATGTTCTCCATGCTGGAAGCCACTATTTTTTGTCCACTGACTATCTCTAGAACTAACACACCAAAACTGTAGACATCGGACTTAACAGAAAAGTGCCCACGCATTGCATACTCTGGAGCCATATACCCACTGCATATCAGCAAAAAGAATGTCCGTGTTCACCAACACATATGGAAAGGAAATTGTTGACATATAACAGACATAAGCCCACAGGCAGTTAAGTGCATATTCTTACAAGGTCCCAACAATCCGACTAGTATTGCCTTGCGTTTGATCAGGCACAAACAACCTTGCCATGCCAAAATCTGAAATTTTGGGGTTCATTTTTGCATCTATCAAGATGTTACTAGCTTTGAGATCACGATGAATAATTTTAAGGCGAGAGTCTTCGTGGAGGTAAAGGAGGCCTCGAGCAGTGCCTACTATGATTTTGTAGCGCCTCACCCAATCTAGTTGTGCACGCTTTGTTGGGTCTGCAAATATATTAATGCAAAATCAAGACTTCAATTACAATGTTTGCTTGCATACATGTCACACAATTGGAATTTTATAATAAACATTCGAAGTTAAACGAAAACAATGCATAATTCCAGACATACCAAATATGATGTGATCGAGACTTGCATTAGGGACAAATTCATAGACAAGAAGCCTTTCACTTCCTTCTAAGCAGAAACCTAGGAGTCTAACTAAATTCCGGTGTTGAAGTTTAGCCACTAACAAGACCTCATTTTTGAATTCTAAATCTCCTTGCCCAGAATTTGTAGAGAGCCTTTTTACAGCTATATCTTTTCCATTGAGAAGCCTACCCTGAAAAAATATATAGGTATGGAATGAAAAAACAGAAATGAGATAAGTGGTATTCAAGAAATATCAAAGTTATAAGTTCTTGTTATTAACTTGTCATTACCCTGTAAACAGATCCAAATCCGCCCTCTCCAAGTTTATTTGCTTCAGAAAAGTCATCTGTGGAAACTCTAATGGTGGCCAAGTCAAATTGCAAGGATTCTGTAGATCGAATTTCATCTGTATCGTCGCTGCCTGAGGAACAATTGAAATTCTAAAAACGCCTATAAAAGTGGTAGTACTTGGTTTCCTCCGTATCAAATGGAATAATATGATTAATTAATGTTCACTAGAGTTGCGTCCTTACCTGGAATTAACTTCCTAGTTTCAAGTTTTTTCTTTGTCCTCACTCTCAAACAAATGCAGAAGAATATAACTATTAGTACCACAGAAACAACAATTGGCACAACAATAATGATGACAATATGAGATCTGTTACTCTTCGATCCTGCAAAAGTCAGAAATCTCATTTGCATTAATTTGAATACATACATACATCTGTGTATGAACCTAACAAAATATGCATTAGAAATCCATTCGACCCAAAATTGTTGTACTGTCAATGGTAGCAATGGTCCCTCAACTAGTACACGAGACAACTACATCAACTAAAAATTGAATTGAAGGACTAAAATGTAACTCGTCTACAAATTCCTGGACAATTGCTCTAGTTATGCCAACTTTATTTCTTCAAAGCATAATTTACTGGGATGTAAATATATATATTTATGTATATATATGTACCTCCTGTACTGGTTGACGGGGGAGGAGGACTAGACAGTGGCGGCGGAGAAGACGGCAATGGTCGGACAGTTGTAGGGTCAACGATGGGATAGATCTCATACCTAAGATGACAGCTGGGTTTACTAATAATACCACCTTGCTTCCCCTGAAAATATTCTGGGATATCTGCCAAAGAACTACCCAAGCAATAACTGCAGTTCTGCTCGGTCAAATCCGGCCTACACTCCGCAAGTCCATAGATTGTTTGGAAGTTGGGAGCGGTTGCGGTCCCTATCGCAAATTTTCGAAGTGAACCGTTTCCTGCAGCTTGACCCCTTAGGTCATCCAGTAGCGTCCACAGGTCTTGAAAAAAGCCGTCGACGTCGGAGGACACGTTCTGTACGCTATACCACTGGAAAGCTGGGAAAGTTTCAATGGCTCCGTAGATGGAGTGGTTGGCGTAGCGAAGCGAGCACAGGTCAAATACGCCGAAAGCTTCCTTTTGATTAGGACAGACCTGTGTGAGCTGTTTTGTGCCTCTGCTGAGGCAGCCACGGCACATGTCCACCGTGACATCCCCTCGACATAGCCCGATTGCGTAAACCTGGTCGGGGTTTTCCCCGTAGGATGAGTTGTAGAAGCCGTAGCCATTGCCGTTGTTGGAGGGGGAAGAAAGAGAAGAGAGAAGGGTGTTGAGGTTTGTCTGGTAGGTACTGTTGGTGGTGTAGTTGCCTTTATCGTTGTAACACCATGGGGTTATAGATTGAGTGCTGATCATGAGGAACAAAACGGGAGAAAGGAAGAACAGAAATCTGAAGGAGAACATTAATGGCGCCATTCTGTTTGTACATTATTTGGTCAAATCAAAACTGTGTTTGTGTACTTTTTATTCTCTTGTCCTGTTGATAAAAAAAGAACCAAATTAAACGTTGGTCAAAGGAAAGGAAAATTCCACAAAAGCCACACACACATATTGACAGAGAAGAGACTGGTTCTTCTTGTGATTTTTGATGAGGACTAATTGGAGATTTCAAATAAATAAAACAATTGAATATTGGAAGGGGGACTGCATGGTTGACGTCAAGGCAAGAAGATATTGCAAGGAATTTTCTACTGAAACCCAACGTCCATTTAGTGATAAGAGATCGAGTCAAGCATCCAGCTTTTTCTTCTTTTTTGTTTTTGCAAATTATGATTCTGGTCTCTATAATTTGGCAAAATCCGACTTGGTGTTAGTACATTAAATTTCAATTTTGGTGGAAAATTAAAAATCATTTAGTGCCACATCAAATATTTGACTAGAATAATTATGAATTATGATCTCGTCCGACCATATAATACTGCCCACTAAATTGGCCCAAAAAGAAAGCTACATCACAACAAATGAGTCTACCACAACAAAAGTATCAAACTCATTGTGAACATATATCATCCTCGCTGTCCATGTGAATCAAACTTGAGACCTCTTCTAACTAAAAATACTACTAAAACAAAGGCTAATTAGTAGACCGAATTTCCTTTCAAGTTTAGAAATTGTCATAGCTTTGTTCTGTGAGCAAACCCGGAACAACTTGTAAAATAACATCGATTTTGATTCCCATCACCCATCTAAATTTACAGAGTTTACAAGCTAAATTTACAAAGAAAATTAACTAGGTTATTACTTGTAGACTACTCCAAATCAATTACAATCAATATAAACAAGGAAACTAAAACTAACTTTCCTAATTCTTAACACCCTTGTTCTTATGAGAACTAGGTGCAATTGTCAGTTACAAGAATCGACATACCTTCTGCAAAAAGGAATCCAGCAACTGAAGGCTTTAACAACTTATATAATGTTATAGCCGAGTTATTGATTGAAATGGTCCCTTAATTTTTGCTCCAATCTCATTTTAGTCCACCAACTAAAATTTTCATTTCAATAGTCTTCCAACTCTCTATTTAGTATCAAAATAGTCCTAATTCAAAGTCTGTCAATTTTGCCATTAAATTCAGGGGTAAAATTGCCAATATGAATTAAAATAGTAATATATAATTAAAAATGAAAGGAAACTATAATAAAACTTAGAAATTTTTAAAAAATTGAATCTCACCAGCCACATGGCTTTCTTTTTTCGTGAGATTGACCTAAAAATTAATAAAAAATTTCTCTATTGTTTAAATTAATTAAAAAAATTTAAAATTAGATAAATACAAAAATAAAATAACAAATTTTTTTTTAAAAGAGTAAACAAACTCAGATTTATACTAAAACACTGCCTCGCATCCCAACTCCGCAACCTTCCCCCACACACCCCTCTGCTTTTTCTCCCTCATAACATGACCATCCCATCCCCACCCACAACCCACAGCCCAACCGCAAGCCCCAAGATTCTAATTTGGGCAAAAAATTGAGGAAATGACATCGCCCAAAACTCAAGAGCGAGGGACGCTGAACACACTCTATTTCTTTGATTTGGTTTTCATCCAATCTATCCCCAAAGCACATCAAAACCAGCAAGCAAAACATAGTGTATTACAAAAAATAAAATAAAATTTTTTACACACATGTCACACTGTTATTAACAAAAATATATAAGTTCCTACTTACCTAGTAAAGATGGAAGTATTTTTCTAGTCATAATATTTTTTTTAAATCAATTAGTGTTGAATTTATGACATGAAATAGACAAGATAATATAATATATTTGTTTCTTTTTTTGGTCTGGAAAATTCTTGTTTCGTCCTCTGGATTCCATTCTAGGTTTAAAACTGACCTGTGTGGGTATTAATGAATATTGACGCACAAAGTAGTCGGTGACTATGTAATTCCTCAACTGACCCCAAGTTAATATGATACGAGAGGGAAGGGACCCATGAAACAAGGGCAGGTGACTATTGTAATCATCTTGTGATTCCGAGCCAGTCTTAAGGTGAGCACATCAATCATTGGCAACGTCCCATTCCTTTTTAACTAATTTCTCAAGAGATTTTTTCTTCTTTTATGTGGCTGTCCCTTAGGGATGAATAGTTGTGACTTTTTATGCATTTTCATGAAAGTTTCTCCTAAATTCTCTATGACCACTATTACTATAACAATCGAGGGCAAAGCTAGAAATTTACTCAGGATTAGGTTCTAATTTTTAAAAAAATTAACACAAGATTGCTATATTTCAAAAACTTGCACTCGATTGGAGCTTAGCCCAATTTAAAAGTGACTCTGTTCTTGATTGAAATCACTATTGTATATCACATTAGGAACTATATTCTGTCGTATTTTTTACATCAATTAATAACTTACACATCACTTTCACATAATGTGATTACAAATATAGTATCAAATAGAGTCCCTTTTGAAGTTATTGCAATCTTCAAAAGTTTCAATGTGCCTAACCTCTTGACCACAAAAACTTCGGTCCTTGAGCAGCATATATTAATGGTAGCGCCTAACCTCTTGAAAACAACAGGAAAAATTTCGGTCCAAAACCATATGTATGTATATGCCACATGAAAAGGGAAGTCGGTATAAGAGTGATCGGTATCATTTTTATATTCTTAGAGTGCTTCGATATTATGAATAAATCATATTTCCTAATAAAACAAAAAAAAAGTATGATACTTCGCGCCCTATGTACACATGACCTTTTCTCTTTTGACATGGGAGGGGTAATGCTTCTATTTTGAATTCATGATTCAAATATGAGATTTGGCTAAGACAAGAGGGTCAGTTATCCACTACAAGAAAAAATAATTAATAGTCACTTGGCACAAGAGGATGGCTTACGAGTATTTGTGTTCATTATTTTTAGTCACCTTATCATGTGTCACGGATGTCAGTGACTATATATAATGTTGTTTTCTTCTACTGTCACGTGGATGTTTTAAGGTTGATGATTAGTGGATTAGGTATCTACAATTTGGTATAATCCCATTCTAAGAAATTTGAATTTCACCTTCTTTTAAATATAGGAGCCTGTTGAAATTAAAGTAGACAATAGAGAAGTATTTGCAAACTATTCCCAATTTCTCCTATTTTACATCATTAAATATTTTTTTTTGAAACAATTGATATTGGGGAGTAGGAAATCAAACCTAAGACCTCGAGTGCAGTTATAAATGCTTTTAA